GTCACCAGACACTTCATCCGGAGCGGAGATGAATACGCGATGTCATCTGCAACCGGAACGTTTCGAGGAAAAAAAAACACAACGACCGCGCGCAAAGTCCGTTCGTCGGAACGCTCGTGACGCTCGAGCGATTTGTATAGATGTTATTCGATCAGCAATTTTTGTGTAAGCTGAATTTAATAAATTTTGACGTATATTCTGTTTTATAACGGAAAGAAAAATGTGTAACGAATATGAAAACAATTCGAAACTCATACGAACACTATTCCCACGATGGAAATATGTTTTATTCGAACAATACTTTTATATTTTAAATATAAATAATTCTATAGATGTCTTCTTTTGCAAACTCTAGCATCCTATTAATTACGCTGCAATTATGCACGTTGTGCTACATAAAAAGTGGCTTATCGCGCCCTTTTCCCCTCGCATTCACATTTTATCATTTGCATTTTCCTTAAATTAAAGAAATCAAGAAATGAAGTTTAAAATGTGAAAAAGATAACGGGACGAAAAATTACACTCTGCGAGTTTTTTGAGAATTGTATGATACACGTGGAGTCTTGTAGCCTCTGTGTTGGTGTGTATATGAAAGAGACACAACTTTCAACGAGGGCAACACGTGTGCGCGCTTAAAAAAAAACTCGGGAAGATATTTTATCGTATGATATACCAGACCACCCTTATAGGCGATAATAACAAAACGAAGGCGCGATAATAATGATTCAGCATACGATACTGTTTACGCTTTTCTCTTGCGTCGTCAGCGCGAAATCAAACCGTTGGTCAAGGCATCATAGTATACTTATCATAGTAACCAACAACATATCTTATTAAACTCATAATTTGTATAGGCAATGAATCGAAAAATTATAAAACTTGATACGAGCATAGATACGAGAAGGTAAAGATAAAAATAAACATTGATTTTCTATAACTGCGCTGAAAATTCTAGTTTATTTTTATAAATAAAGCTATTTGAAATCTTTTGGAAAATATTTGATTTGTAAAAACAACTCTTTATGAGTTTTTCCTGTCAATAATGAATGCATACGGTCGAAACGGTACAATTGCACGATTACAATTATTAAATTCCGCATAGAGTTTCGCGTGATTCAATTTTATTGATGCACAATTAAAAAAAAAAATCATCTCTTAATAGAGCTACGCGTGGCCCGACCTTGTTCTATTCACGAAAATATGAGCGACATATTTTACGGTATCTGCATACGCGGCATTTTCCAACATTGCGGCACGCTTTTGAAATGTCAACTGCATACATACGTTGCCTCAATGTCACGCGAGTAATTCAGCTCTAGTTATCTTTTTTTTTCGATTGCTGAAGAAGACCTTATTTAGCAACCATATGAATACTTGGAATTTTATTTGTATTGCGATGACATAGTTGTAAGGATTCAACGACGATCTCAACTATAATTTTCTAAGGTGCGCAATTTGATCTGATTATAAACCCAAGATATTTTATACGTAATAATACTCGAGAGATATAAAATACAAATGATAGAAAATCTAACATAGACACATAAACTTGTGCTGCATGTTTCCTTCATCGATTATAAATTTCCGATTACACTGTTCAGTCTATAGTTACGTTAAGTCCAACATTCAATTATTTAGTATATCGTCAGACATTTTAGTCGTTACTAAAAAAAACTCATTACCTGAACCACGGCTTGTCAATCGTGTCTTATATACCAGCACACGCGATATCGTCCGTTTCCCCTCGCCGGTCCGCCGGCAAATCCTGCGGTTTTGCACGAAGAAGAGCGTAATCGATTAATCGTTCACGCTCAACGGCGCCTTCGAGATCGCGAGCGATCTCCGGCCAGCGGAGCAACATTCCACGGTCCAGAACGACCGTGCCCATTCCGATCGAGTCCGAAGCGAAGGAAAGGGCTCGATCGAGCCGTGGAAACGTGCAGCGCGTTTCATAGCGCGCGCTCGCGAGCTGGAAAGCAGCAATTCCTTACTTCACCTGTCCGGCGTGGCGCCGAAAATCGGACCTCCATCTCGGAGCCTTGATGCGACCTTCCTACCACGATCTACCGAGCTGATCGGTCGTTCCCTGAGCTGGCCCGGCGGCATTCCTCGGCCCACGCCTCTTTATTCTCCTTCGTCACTATCGTGATTTCTTCCTCTTCCTTCCTACCGACCATAGTCAGCCTAATCTTTACAGCTCCCAAATTCTTTGGCCTCTACCGTGTTGATCGATGTCAAAATGTTGCGCATTAAAATACTGAAAAAATACCACGCTGCAATAATTATACTAATAAATGCCAGAAGAATTTAAAGATTTTCAAGTATCTTTTACAGGAGCGTTATCCGGGATTTTTAATGAATCCGGAATTTCACAATCATCAAATATTGATTGTGAAACTATGAAGATCATACAATCTTTTATTTCACAATGATACTCGTTGAGGGAAAATGCATTGGTAATACACTCAATATGTCTGAGATACGTAAGCGTATGATTCTTATATGCATATTACGGAACTGTTCAAGAATATATCACTCCCATAAGCATTTTAAAACCTATGCAAATTAGTCTGGAGAACCGCTAAACCTTCGTTCGCTCTGGCGCAATGCGCATAACTCTGCGAATTTCTATACGCGAACATCCGATAAATCAACTGCAGAATCGATCATTTTCAGAAAACGATGATTTATCATAATAACTTAAATTATCTAGGCAAGCAACTAGCTGCTGAATTAGCTAAGAAATACGATAAATCGCACTAGATTTTTAATAGATTTCCATATTTGTTATAAATATCGGGCTCAATTGCTAGTTAAAGAATGCGATAAAGTTTGTCTACGTCTCTCTTTCTCATAATTATGCAATTAACTTTCGTATGAAGTCAATACTTCGATTTTCCACACACACACTAATTCAGATAGTAATTATATATTTAACTCTTCTTAATCTCTCTGATTTATGCAACGATATCGATGCTCGTTCGTTTCCCTCTCGGCGTTCCGTCGACTCGCGGGCACGGGAAGACGGGCTCAAGAACCGAGGAAAACAACGGATCTTCAATTCTTTTTTTTTCTCTCCACAAAGAGGTATCTCACAATCTACGGAACGGCGGATCTCGGCGTCCCTAGATCTCGTTCTCGTCGACTTTCACCGGAGACTTCGGTTTTCAGCAAGGACGTTTCTCGACGTACACGCGGTCCACGAGCACTCCCATATATTCACGCACGACTATTGTCTCGTTACTAAACGCAGCCAATTGCTTCCTTTTCGGTTCCTTTCCACGCGATCCCATACGTCGCATTGTTCGTATGCTTTTCTAATGAAGAGCAGTTTAACACACTGTTTGATAGTTAATCGTTGAATTTGCATGAAACAAAAGCTTTGAAAGGGTTCTAAATTTCTTTCTTTAGAATTTAAAAAAATGTTCTCTTATTTATTTATTAACTCTATTGCAGTAGATCGCGATAATTCATTTGATTTTTTTTTCTTTCTGAAACGAAACTATTTTCATGTTTTATAATTACGCTGTTAGAACACAACAAGCGATGCCGATGTTGTTAGCCGTAAAACTCCATCAAGCAATTCCGTAACCGTTGATGACTCGCGCCGGCGAATGCATGCTAGATGCACTGCATTTGCATACGAACGAGCCTCACCGAGCCGTTGCACCTAATTGTTAGTCCGCTTGACCCAATCGAGAATCGCTGCACGCGCAGCATCGCACAGTCGCGAGTTTCATTTTCTCGGCTGTGTTACGTGCCGCCTTGCAATAAAATCACGTTTACGCTTCGCGAGAGACTCCAGGGTGATTCCAGGAGAATAGCCTCTCAACGTCAGTTTTATTCAACGAAACCCTCGTTCTTTGAGCAATCGAAAAAAAAAAACGGCTAAACGTTTTATCTCTGTACCGACATACATAATCCATCATTTAATTGAATTTATTTTTCATGAAAATGAAACATCAGGTGCGAATAAATTTCTCTATCAATTTTTGAAAAAATTTGTAAAATTTTGTGTGAAATCGACGTCTTCGAATTATTCCTATATATAAGTATGTAGAGCAAAAAGATCCACAAGGTACGCAAACATATCGCGGCGTGCCAGCGCATACGAATGTCGTCGAAGCAGATTTGTGATGGCTTCGCAAATTGGGCCAATCGATGATCCAAACCGAAGCGTAATCCAATAACTACCATGCTCGCTCTAGCAAATATTCAACATTCCTGCATAGGGACGACTACACACACGTCCGTTTGCAGTTCGTGAATTTCTCGCAGATAATTTGAGGAATTTGCGACTTCTCAGAATATAAAATAGACTGATAAAGATGGACGCTATATTTTGCAAAAATATGTAGAATGAAAAAATCATTAAGATTTTCCGCATAAATTTATAAAAATGTTTGTATTTGAAATACTGTAGAGTTATTATTTAATCGTTATGTATTATAGAAATCAACATTAATTGAATACTTAAGTTGAAACTTAAATCTGTATGAATACATTTGTAATAAATTTGTACTTTTTCTGATCTCTAAGAAGTATCGTTCGTTAAATAACTTCTTGCGAATTGAACGACATGAATGAATGATAATCAAATATTAGATGATACTACGCACAATCAATAACGTAATTTCTTAGTTTAGTATAGTTTTTTTAATAATGTATTCATCGTCGAGTAACTTTTCTCTCTAATGACTCTGTCTTTCTCTTATTATGTCTTTATTTTTCATCAAATGGGTTCTATATGGCAGTGTTTGTTAGGCTAACAACAGTTCCACAGGAACAGTAATGACCGTAATTTGCGAGAGAGAAGGTTTTTTTACCTCGTATGTGGATTCGAAAGCTATATTAGTACACGTTATAAAAGAGCCTAAATCAAGTGCCATTTACATACAAAGTTTTATGTCGCATCATAAAACTTTGTATGATGATAAAAAATTCTTTCCACCATTTACCGAATAATATTGCCATCTCCCTAAGCCCACTTTTATTTCCAGGTGAAAGGGATTTCTCGACTTAGGCTAAGATGTCACATCACAGCGACGACAACATGCTGATAGCGACGTCGGACTCCTTCTGGGAGCCGGGCAACTACAAGCGAACGACGAGGAGGATCGAGGACGGCCACAAGCTCTGCGACAGTCTGATAGCTCTGGTCCAGGAAAGGGCGGAGATCGAGAAGAACTATGCCAAGGCGCTCAAAAACTGGTCGAAGAATTGGAACGACAAGATCGAGAAGGGACCCGAGTACGGCACGACCGAGGCAGCGTGGAAGGGCGTTCTGGTGGAGTCCGACAGGCTCTGCGATCTTCATCTCAGGGTCAAAGAGAACCTCTGCAACGACATCGTTCAGCAAGTCAAGACGTGGCAGAAGGATACGTATCACAAGGTAAAAGAGCGGTATTATTGAGCCGATGAAATCTTTAAATCTGCATGATGAATGAAATTTCTGTATTTTTTCCGTGTAATGATAGACTTTTATAAATCGCATTTTCGTTAAAATAATAAATGGCGCAATAAATTGATCTTAATTCATTTTTAACTAATTTGGAAATGCGATTGAAGTTTAGTTTTTTGTAAATAAATTTCTTATAAGTTTATAAGGCATTTACTAGCATCAGTAATATTAAATTGATCACCAATTAACGATGCGATATTATACATTTTCAGCTTTGGCATAAAACTGCGTTTCAAGAACAGTAATCGGCGCGTGGTTGCAAAAGCACGAAGTGGCGAAATGTTTAAAATTTACAAAAAATTATTAGCCATGAAATTCCGCTCGATGACCGAAAATGTCAATTATTTATTTTATATATTATTGATTATCATACACTTATTAAAGTAGCTGTCTGCTGTTTTGCCAATGATTTACTTTACACAAGTTTCTGTAATAGTGGCTGATGTCGCACGGGTTTGGATTGCAGTCAATGATGACGCTGAAGGAGCGCAAGGAAATGGAAGACGCGTTTAAGAAGGCGCAGAAGCCATGGGCGAAGCTCCTGCAGAAGGTCGAGAAGGCGAAGTCGGAGTTCCACAACAGCTGCAAGACCGAGCGTACCGCGACGAACATGGAGAGGAATGCCTCGGCGGACAGTTCTCTCTCGCCAGATCAGGTGAGCGTCGTTACGTTTCCATTGTGTCCCGCGTATCCCGCCGGACACGTACGTTACATCACTTGTCACTTGTAACGTGTTATTAACCGATCGGCGCAACGTATATCACGTATATATACCATAGAAGTCACTTCATCATCACGTGCACTTTTTAAAAAGACTGACGGATTGCGATTGAGCCGCGTCGCGTCGCGGACACAATAGAGCGAATCGAGCGAATGGATTTCTTCCTGACAAAGTAACGCAAACTTGCAGAGGCTGCAATAACATTCCCGTGGTACAAGTACAGAACACGTACAAAATCTCTAGATTCCTGTTTACTGTTAAATATTTCTATATACATTATTATAACTGCGTTGAAATTCAGACGAAAATATAGATGAAAAGTACGTAACGCGCATAAAACTGCAATTGATACTAACAAGTTAAATTAGCGTTCTCTTCCACAGCCGCTAATTCATAACTGGCGTACTTGCGCGTTGTAAATTAATTAGTTTAATTAACAGCCCTGCATATTGTACGTGATTAAAAGCCGTGAGTTAAGTGACTTAATCCCACAATATCCCTTTGCGTTTTTATTAATAACTCTTTTCGAAGCGACGAGACTAACCGGAGTGCAAATGAGCGCAACGTATAACATAATAACGTAACGCATTACTGTATAAACATTTTAGTCGCGCATCTCGATCTCAAGCGCGACTCTATAAAGCGCGATAGATACAGTCGTTCTCTAGCGAGTTTTATTTGCAGACGGCCCGAGGCTCGGGAGATAACGTACGTTACACCTTATTCTTAAGAATTCTTGCATGCGCCGCTACTCTCTTCTTGCTTGACGTTTCGCGGTACGCTAACGATAACGCGACTCTCGTCGATGCTTCTGGACGCGGAGTTCCCTCCTGCACGTATGTGTGTTTCTTGCCCAACGTCTCTCTTATTCGGAACGGAAAAGGAGTACCTTGTAACTGATCGCAGTTTACAAACCGAACGATACATACCCGTACGATCATTCCGCTTCGTGTACGGTAGCAATTATACGAATGATACCCAAGAGTGACGGGGACGCGAGCATGTGACGCGTTAAAGAAAAACTGTATTGCAGCTTTCCAACTGAATTTCGCTGCCCTCGCTATATTGTTCTAATTGCCGTTAGAGTTTACGGATGGAGGGGGGGGGATTGTGAGCCGTGTCTAGGAAAGGGGAAGGAAATTCTAAAAGTAAAAAATAAAAGGCAATTCGTGTTTCATATCTCTCGGTTCTGAGAGTGTCCAACAGATCGTGAATCGCGATCACTGGCAGAACTTGCGAGCACGCGGCCCAATAATCGGCACAATAATCGATCCCGATATCCGGAGACAAGGCATCTCTGAAAGACGGCTAACGACGGTTTCTAGATGACAGATTGTGGATGTGGTGCATGGAGGCTCAGAGTACCAAAAAACCTTAGGGATAATAAAATAGGCGACGTTCAGTTTGTATGTATATGATATTGCATGTCGCATGTTTCTCAATTTATGTCTTTCTTTTTTTTTTTCGCCCCGTTATTACAGAAGGCTCTGCTGGTAAGCAAAACTCAATGCCTTTTCGCACGAGAAGTATCTGCTCGAAGTTGATCAGTCGAATGGATCGAAATCGGAATAAACGCGGAAAAGCGTTTATAACGACTATAGCCAAATATTCTTTTTCGCGTGCCTTCCTCTCTCTCTCTCTCTCTCTCCATGCCGTATAAAAATATATCTTGTCAAGTCCTGATGTCGATCCATCCCTTATCTTAGACGCAGCTCGCCTGGCTTGTTTGTATCGGACGTACTGCTGCTTAATAATTATTCCGAGTGCCTGTATTTAAGAGGTTGCTACGTAGAGAAAATATGACTGACAACGGGTATAATCTCTGTACCGTCGCTTGATTGATTGAGCCTTAATCGTAATTACAAGAACCCACACTTGGACGTGTATTACCGTAATTTAGTGAACGCCAGAGCCCGGTACGAAGACGGAGAAATGCGGCGCACGTGCGTGGAATATATTCATGATCCGATGTACGTAAATCTCTTTGCGCGAAATTCTTAGAGCGCTCGCGCCGCTCGCAGAGACGATGCCTCTCGGGGGAGCATCACGTTCGACGCGTTTTTCCCTTCCTGTAAAATCGAATAATGACATAAATTTCACTCGACCAACCTCAACCTTGTCTTCGCCGCGGTGCGGTCGGAAAGTGAGCGCTGTAATTATGGAATTATGTAAAGCAGCGAGATTACGGTGTTACCGGAACATTTTAAGTTCCACGAAATTCGCGCAAGTTCCAATATTGCGAAGTTTCCAATAAAGATTACCGAGACTGTAAAAAATTCTCTAAGATTTTACGTCGAATAGTCGTTTGCAAAATTTTTATACTGCACTTTAATAAAACGAATCTTTTTATATATTCCAGTAGATGGCAATAAATTCCAGTTTTAATCCGAAATGATACCTTGGAAATGCAATCATTATTAGAATGGCCATTATTTATTATTTACGTGTAGTTGCATGGTGGAATAAGCGTATATTCAGTATAAGTAGATTAAATAATATGTAGTTTGTTGTAGCAAGAGTAGCCAGTTACCAGTTATAGTATACTTCTTCGCACATTTTGACGTACGGAAATTGTCATATATTTCTTGTCCCCTTTCTGAATGTCGCATCCAGGCTTAACATTGCTAGAAAGCGCCTTCGGCTTTTTAGCGATGGGCTAGACGAGGTTGAAGATAAAGAATTGGGCCCGTTAAATTATCGCTTCAACCAACATAAGTAACATCTAAGACAATCGCATGAAATGACTCCGATCTCTTCGAAGATCGAAAGCTCTTAAACCATACGTCCCGTCCGACCAAGGCCTTTACCTTCAACCTGGCGTTAAAGAGAGAGCGCTCCTCGCAAAGTCTCTAAGTGTCTCCTCGTCTCTTTCGACAGGTGAAGAAAATGCAGGACCGAGTGCAAAAAACGAAGGAGGAGGTGCAAAAAGCGAAGGAGAAGTACGAGGCGGCGCTTCAAGAAATCAATCAGTACAACCCAAAGTACATGGAAGACATGACGCAGGTGTTCGAGAAGTGCCAGGAGATGGAGGCGCAGAGACTACAGTTCTTCAAAGAAGTCCTCTTCGGTATTCACAAGTGTCTCAACGTATCGCAGGACCCAGTGTAAGTCCCTTCCCATTACCGCTGTAACCGTATTGTGCAATGTTGCGTAACTGCAAATTCAGAGGGGATATATATATATATATGTATATATGTACATATATTCTCTACAAAAATCGATACGTTGCTCCACGAACCGCGACACGACTATCCGTCATAATCAACATTGATTAGAAACCGTCGTTTTCATCGCTCAATTAATTCTCTCGATTTTACCTCGACAATCGAAATAAAACTGAAATTGGAGTGACGTCTCTCGTTCCCGCCTATTTCATGAATATGAAACTTTCGCGTATCATTATTATTCGTTACTATAGATTTTTCGTATTATCGTTTTCAGGCTTCCACAGATATACGAGGAATTCTATCACACGATAAATAATGCCGACCACGAGAAAGACCTCAAATGGTGGTCTAACAATCACGGCATCAATATGGCTATGAATTGGCCGCAGTTCGAAGTAAGTCGCTTACGCTTGTCGCTAAAGAAAGCTCTACAAAAAGCTCTACTGTCGCATGTAAAAGCCCTGCTCGTGGTTGAAGACCTGTTGTTAGACAACAACTAGCTGTAGCGTGGACTGAATATTACTCTCTATATAGCTGCCCCCCCCCCTTTTTTACAATAATTTTATCATTACTTGTTGGACGTTCTGTGCGCCTCGGTACACTCCTTTTATTCCCAGCACTCGAGTCGACGGAATTTAATGGTATTCGCTGTGATTTCTCGAAAATATTAAAAAGATAAGAGATAGAGATGTCTAGAAAGGAGATAAAACTCTGTTGAAAAATAAATTATGTCCAAATTCAAGTAATAAGCGTAATATTGACTCTTACAAGAAATAGATGATAATGGAAATTACATCTTGTTGTCGCGTTAAAATAACGAAAAACCGAGAATACTCTTAATCAGCGTTTTTAACCCTCACACTCGTCACTGTTGTCGTCAGTCTCTTCCGTAGTTATTACATTAAAATAAGAATTACGCTTTCCTCTGTACATTCTCTTCTGAAAAAGTGCCCTGCTTAACAACAATGTTTTGCCTTCTTCAGTTTTCAAGCTTCTTAACCCGTAATCACTCATACTTTCGGAAGCGCAATATTTTCGCGATTTTTTTTTACTCTTCCGAAAAAAAGAATAGTGTTATAAAATTTCACGCGGTCGTTGTACATAACGCGAATTCATCGATCATTTCTCTTGTACTGATTACGGGTTGCAAGCGTTGCCGAATCCCCTTTATCAAGAGTTCTCCTTTAACCAACTTACATGGAAGATCTTACGCAAAAGAACTGTGTTGTTCATTATCGCAATCATACTATTGTCACTCGTCCAAATTATATTACGTCCCCCATATGGAGTGCACACACTGTCAAGGGTTAAATTCGTTGCGAGAGTAACACCCCTGCCCCAACACCGTCGCCTCTCTCTTGCCTGGTCCTTTCATTCAAGAGATTCACTTAGATTGTATCGAGAGCTCCCACATCGTATTCTTAATACCTGAGAAGAAAGCGTAGAACAAGAAAAAGAGAGAGAGAAAGAACCCCTGACAATTTTCCGGAATGCATGCATGTGATTGTTTTGGGACGTTGCTATTATGCAGGACTACACAGAGGAGTTCCGCGAGATCACGAAGGGCTCGAAGTCGAAGGAGGCGCTCCCGGCAGGCTCCATCACTCTCATCAATCAACGCCCGGTCGGCGAGGATCTGCATGTAAAGTTTTGTTTACACGTTACACACACATGACGCGCCAGTCTCACTTTAGCTGTTTTTTTTTTTTTTTCACAAAACGCGCGCATCCAAGATCCACCCCGCCTTACTATTACCTAGACGCCGACGAGCCGGTGCGTCTCGATCGGTCGAGGGAGAATGAGATAGAAAGAGAAAGAATCGCCGGCACCGGTTAGGCTGGCACGCGACAGCTTTTAACGGGTGTCCCAGCTAGTCGCGAGGTCATCCAGGATGGGTTTCCTTTCTCAGCTTCTAGCTCTTAACCGAATTAACCGTAATCCGCTCCGCTCTTGCGCTCGCACGTAATCGCACGGATCTGTGCCTAAAGGTGAACACGGACAGCCTCCTGCGGCAGGTACTACAGCAGAAACGCATTTACAAACTGGAGAGGTAACGTGATAAAAGATCCGAGAGAGAGCAAAGAGCAAAAGATTGCAAAGTCAGCTCAATCGAGAAGAAATTATTCCTTGATTTAGTTTTTCTGACATATCTCTTACGAATAAATTTGTGATATTGTCATCAGATGGAAGGAAAATCGTACAGCGATAAATAATACTAATATCTAATGAAAATAACTGTATCTTAAAAATTATTCTTAGCTAACCAAGCTTAGAAAAGCTCGTCGAGCCTCGAAAGTTTGTAAATCGCTTTCCTGCAAGACGCTTGTTACCTTGCTCATGGTATACGGTATGGATAATTATAATATTATTAAGAAATACGTATATATAAATCGTATATTAAATTTAGCTTAAGTCATACATATATGCCTGCAACCGATTGTTAAAAGTCACATGCAACATCCGCATGTTCACGTTTAAAAATTTACGACGACCTTATGGAAAATCGAATGGCGGAAACTAATATGGAATTAATTTCGCGAATGGAAGAATAACTGCAGATTGCGCCAAAATTGTCGCGCTTCCTTCCAGAAACTTCTTTTAATCTCGAGTAAATTGTAAACTGCTACTTTAACAGACTTTTAATTCAACGTGCGGCAGTCGAGGTGATTATTTAATGGAAATTTAAGATCTGCATGGACACAGCTTTCGAATGAATTCTTACGAAAGAGAAACAAGTTTCGATGGAAACGCGACAGTTGCAATTCTGCATGTTAATTTCTTGCATGGTACAGCATAAAACTATTTGTACATAGCCGACATAGCTGAATTATTATTCTCGCACAAGGACATCTCGTGTTTGAAATATGTCTCGTCAATAACGCAATAACATTAATCGGTGATATACAGGATTGAAAATGGCATTACCTTAATTGTTCATAATTAACTATTCAAATAATCTGCTCATCACGGTATCGAGAGGTATCACGCATCCATCACGATTGTCTATTTAAAGAAGCGTCATCTCGAGCCTGATTGTGCTTTGTAAATAACGCATTTTTGTTTTTAAATTGGTACGTCTATCACATTGGGAATCCGGATACTATCTTCTCCATAAAAGTACATAGACTTCTTACTTTGTCAAGCCTTATCGAGAATGTAAGCCTCAAGATAATGAATTTTCTCTTGACGCACGCAAGATTATTGAGAAGATAGACGCAGCGAGATAGCGAGATGGGCTTCAACGAAAAAAAAAAAATTGCACATGCAACGTCGGCATGCTCGTTTGAGGCGCAAAAATTTCGCAGCGAGCGACTCGTATCGTTATACACTTGGTTGCACGCATGGCGTTTTCATCGAGTAATTCGTGCATCCGGTATCGCGGTATACGCACTCAACGCAGATTTCGTCGAGATGTGTTGTATCTAAGATCTCTCTTTCTTCCCTCCCGTTCAAACAGGAATTTCCACCAGTCAATAACAAATCAAAATCGAAGTCCGCCGGACGAGTCATATCAGCGGACGGCAATCACGGGGACAGCAAAGCGGACGACGTAAGTTCCGGCAAGCCGTCCTCGGAGAAGAACGATACCGACAGCGTCAACAGGACCACGACTATCACGTAAGTTGTCGTGAGATTCTCGCGAAAGATAAATCGATATATATTTTTTTTTTATATACGCGTTTATTTATCAATGCGTGACGATTGCAGTAACGGCACTAATGCCAAGCAAGAGTCGAATCCGTTCGAGGAGGAGGAATGGGACGAGGAGGGTGGTGAACCGCTGGTCGACAATGGCGAACCCGGTGTCCCCGTGCGAGCCTTGTACGATTACGAGGGTGCCGAGGCGGACGAGCTCAGTTTCAAGCAAGGTATAATAAAAAGAGGGCGTCCGCGCAAAATTTTGGAAAGGCTCGACACGGATGATTATCTGCTATACGTTTAGCAGAAGCGATACAAAATTGTTCGAAATCGTCGTTATTCATAAAATTAATGCAATTCGATTGAGCGACTCGATGACAGTGATTTATTAATTGGAATTCTTTTCAGGGGATGTATTCGATAAACTGGAAGACGAAGACGAGCAGGGGTGGTGTAAAGGAAGGAAGGACGGCAGAGTGGGCCTCTATCCGGCGAATTATGTAGGCTTGGTGTCGCAATAGATTAATGCAAAGCCAAATCCACAAGAGTTAGTTACTTAAATATATAATCTACGCGAAGAACAAGATATTGCGTTTTCATTTTCTCTTCGCTGTCGTTTGGCGCGGAGTGGAGATTTCGCGGGATGTCAGTTTCGCGGCGCCTTGTAGGGCAACGATTATGATGAATGAACTCTAAATGTAAGGAAGCGAGTTACAACAGTCCGATACATTTAGGGTGAAGCGCAAACTGATCGTCTGCATTTACGAATTGTATAAAATGGCAAGGTGGCAATTCCATTTCGAGATCTTTCCCCCGCGACTAGCGGGGGTTAAAATGAACGGTTTCCCACGTGAAGATATACCCTACCCCCCCCCCCTCCCCCTCACTCAGAATGAAATTTGTTTTTAGATAGCTAGGTTAGTTAAAATCCTTCACTAGTTAGACTCTATAGATGAACATGAATTACACGCGCGCGCGCGCGCGTATAGCGGAGTTTAGAGTATTGGAATATTGTACGTTTTACGACTCATTGTTGTAACTCATTGTTGTAACAAAAAGAATCTTTTGGTTGAGACGCGACGAGAGTTCTATTTAATTTATTGTTATTAAAAAAAAAAGTACTATTAAAAACTAATGTCTATATAAATGGTGTCATTGTACATAATAAATTTAAGAGCCTAGCAATACGTGAAACTATTAATTGTCGTCTAACGAATTTGAAGTGTTACAATATATTTGCGGTATGTGAACATGAAACGCAGCACTTTGAGAATGGGCATAAATTTAATAAAATAAATAAGAGATTCGGGGAAATCGCGCGATAATTGTTCCGGCTATTAATTAAATCTTATAGTCGAGATATAATTTGATGAGATAATTATCAATTATGTTGTAAAAGAAAAATATTTTCATGTAAAATATATCGTATGTATACACATATATACATGTGTAACTTGTTTTTATATAAATCCGATATGAGAGAATCGTCTTTGAAAGAAAATTATTTGATCGTTTATTTTCATTTGAAAGAAGGATCCTCATATATTTCGGAATAATAAACGTCAAAAAGAGAGAATAAAGATATCTCTTATTAATCGTTACTTTACTTAGTATAATAGTACCTACCAAATACCACGCATGCATTGAATGAAATAAGTTTTTCTGAAACTAAATGTATGAATTTTTAGAGAGAGTGGCATGGATCATGTAAAAAGTTAATATGTAGCTAACGTTTTACTTTCGAGAAAACGTTTGTTTTTCATAAAACATCTGCGTCATCCAATGCGTTAGCTGCAGAGTCATAGGGATACTTGATTTATAATTATTATAATATAGACATTGAGGAAAAAAAAACAAAGTATTCATCGCGAATACGTCGTGTCTATGTACACAGTATTTATGTAAATATCGTATAGAATATAGATGAAATTATAAATTCATTCTGATTTTTTTTTACAAACATTCATTTAATTAATCCTCCAAATTACCTTTTGTAAACTGTGTTCACAGCTCCATAAAGTTGTTAAGTATATGTAAATTATAGCTTGTGTATAAAATTTATTATGTATGTTTAATAAATGACTTCTACATAACATTTTATCGACTTATCGTATTATATTTATATTGATGTTCATAATTATATACAGATGAAACTGAAGACAAAAATATATCTTGTTCAAGATAAAAAAGCACAATTATCTGTACTTGAATTCAAAGTAACATCGAAGTTCTGTGTGAAACATATCATATGACAAGCCGCTAAAATAAACAAAATTAATAAAGACTATTTTTACATTCTATTATGGTAGACGAAACTCAAGAGTCTTTTTTAAAGACAATTTTTTATTAGAATGCTTTGAAAAAATGTAAATTACTTATACTTAATAGAACTTTATCTCGGATCATCATACATTTATCATTAATACAGTTACTGGCATTAATTAAATTAGAGAAGTATATCTTCTTAATAAAATATATTGTAACAATTGCTTATTCATGCATTTGAGTTATACATTTTAACGCTATTATTTATATTTAACAAGGTTTCAGTAAGACATCAAGTATCACACACATTACTGTTGTATACACAAATTTTAAATAATGGATATTTATTGAAAATAAACTGTTTCTGTCATCAGTGTGATATAAGTGTTTCGAAAAGTTCTTGGTGAAAAAGATAACGGTTTTTTTTTTATTACCATTGCCAACGAAAATATTGTAAAGAAAAAAATCCCAGTATATTTTTCAAAAAGTTTCACCCTGCATATAATATATTTCACCATGCAAAATTCAAAATTCATTTATTATTTAGCTAGGGCTATATCTTAGAAAATTTGATACCTTACATCGCTAATTTAACGTGTGTGATATATTTACATTAATATGTATCATTTTATTCATAAGTTTTAAACAAAAATAATTCATTGTATATGCATATATTCATTATGTATCGACAAAATGATACGAGTGTCTTATAAAAGTTGTTTTCTTCGTATGTTTCCTTCTTTTTTTTCTATACATGTGTGTGTATATATATGTATATATATAATTGGAAAGTATATTTTCTAGAACATACATTTATAATATATATTTCAAACAAATAACTAGACATAAACATTCTAGAACATAAACTTTCCAAAACTTATATTTGAATTGAAGGAGTGATTTCAATTCGATATTTATAATTAAGATAAAACAAATACAATCTTTTTCACATTTGCGTCGTAATAAATGTAATAGAATTTTTCTTCTTATTACACCAAGAGAATTTTTAATTAATTACACAAACACCCGTACACACAGTGTTGTTTTATAAATTATATTAAAATTTATTAATGATTATGCACATCACAAGAAAAAAAATTAAATGTAGACTGTAGTCGAGCGTATGGCTAACAGTTTGTACATTTCGTACAGAAAATTTCTATTCTATATGGTAAGACAGTTCTCTCGTTACAAATGACAATAACGCTGTACAACACGAAATTTATCTTGAGATTTAACAAGTTATTTTTTATGTACTTTGAGCAGTTAAACATGAATCTCGACATAAAATGTTTCTATTACGTTAGGATTTTGAAAAATGCTGAACGAATTCATAGATCATGCAAGGTCAGTTTCTGTGAAATTAGGTACAATCTTAAAACTACTTGTTTGTTTATTTTTTTTATTCCATAACAGTAATTTAGATTTTTCGTTTCAAACTTTGTGGAAGCACATTTTGTAGCACGTTCCCGTGCTATCAAAGCATTAATAAACTCTAAGAGTTATTAATTATCAAATGTTAAAATTTTTAGCAACTTTCATAACAGATTTCTCAAAATCCTGATGTGATAGACATTTCACATCCAGATTCTTATTTAGCAGTCAAAAATACATAAGAAATGACTTGTAAAACCTTAAGAGGGAAATCTACTTTGCACGACTAAAAGAAACAGTGATTTTAAAAACATATGATTTTAAAAACAAGTTATTAATAAAAAAAATTTTTTTACCGCTCAAATATACAGTAAAACACTGTTTAAACTTTTCAAATTATTCAATTTCATTTTAGTTAAAAAAAAAATTCTTAAAAATCACTTTTTTTAGTCTTGTAAAGTAAATTCCCCTCTTAAAAAAGAATATGAAATTTTTTTGTTACTCAGTGTAATTATAACAGAATATTACAAACAGTAGCTGCATTCGAGGAGCGCAGAGCGTCATTCTTGTTTTACGTTCTAAGAACGATAAAGATAGATGCAATAATTCTATATAATACGCTCCACGAAAACGCAGCCATTATTTTAAAGATGTCTTGTAATATCTATTAATGTCCGCACATGAAACGTCAATGAGTCGCGACGTGTTCTTGTAGATCCTCTAGCGTGCGGAACGGCTTGTCACACAATTGACATACTTGCGCGTTTGCATTATGTACATCCAAATGTTCGGCCAACTCCTCTTCTGTATTGAATAATTCGTCGCAAAGCATACACTGATAATGGTAGACCCTCATGCCTTCCTTCTCCCACTCCGCTATCGCGAATTCTTCCTCGTGCGCATGCATGTGCATCTCCAGCAACATCTCCGAGTCGAATGTCTCCGAGCACTGGCCGCACTGGTACGTCTCGGACTCCCGAGAGATTGACTTATCATTATCATTCTCCTTGCCTTGGTCTATGCTAATCAGATTAGGGTTGTCGTCTTCGTCATCGTACAGGTGTTTGCCGACGTGCTCTTCTAACGCTTGATCCGACTCCAGTGTACTGCCGCAAATAGCACACTGGTATTGCTCCTTGCTACTGTTTTGCTCCCCTTCGCTCAGATCGTCGCAATGCTGCTGCAAGTGATCCTTCAGTATCTCCTCGTCCGTGAAGATCTTGTCGCACACGAAACAAGTGTACGTTTCCTTGGGCTTTCTCGCGATATTCTCGGCGCCGTCCAACTTCACGCCCGTACTGGTTATCTTGTCGGACTGGATGTCATTCTTCTCGGTTGCAGCAGTCGGCGTTTTCGTCGCGGTCTCAGTTTCCTGCTCCTGCTCCTTCTTCGGCGACGCGGACGCGACCGACAGAATCTTCAGCAGCGCGTCAGCGTTGTTCAGCTTCTTGTTCCCGATCGCGTTCGCCACGTTGAACTCGGTATGATCGTGGCTCTCCAAGTGCTTCGACAGAAGACTCTTCGTGCGGAACATGGAGTCGCAGACGTAGCACTTGTGAAGCGACGTTTTGCACACGTGCGTCTTCACGAGACGCGCCTCGACTATCTCGTGACACCTCTTGCAGCGCATCATCTTCTGCTTACCCTTCTGCGCGCTCGCAATCTTTTGCGACGTGGCCGCAGTCTTCTGCGGCGAAGTCGCAGTCTTTTGCGGCGAGTTCTCCAGCACGACCTGCACGACGGAGGCGCCCGACGCTTTATGACCGCGAACGTGCGCCTCGGCGTCGTCGCGGTTGTAAAATGTAATGCCGCATACTCCGCATATATGATTCTCAGATTTGACACCCGGTGCCTTGTTAGCCGCTTGGTGAGCCTCAGTCTTCTGTACACCTTGCTTCTGTTCCGCCGGTTTGCTGGCAATCGTTAACTGTTTCCTCGCTGTATTTCTCGATATTTTTGAGTTGATCGCTTTGGGCGTCTCCTGAATTATCGCGTCGGACACATCGGAATCGGAGTCCAATATCGTATTGTAGTCGCAGTATCTTATCGGAGGTACGCTCTTACGTTTGGTCACCACGTTGAATGGTCTGGCGAGCTTGCCCCCTGTCGACTTCAACAACGCATGAACGTTATTAATGTTGTAATGCTTACTCTCCTTCGTTATGTCTAGACGTTTTAGCATAACCTTTGGCTGATATCTGGGCGAATTCATAGCAGACTTCGTCAACGTCGGCGAAAGCCTCGTGGAGCTTGGGCCGCGTGCGTTGGCCAATTTCACAGAGAACTCAACGTTTTTCTTTATAGCTACTTCTATTATATCTTTCAACTTCTGGTCGAGTTTGTCCTGGACGGTGGCGTTATCCGTCATTTTGTTAGATTTATTGGCTCGCACGTCATTGCACGAACTGAGTAACTTCTGCTTCATGTCCTTCTCGACGAATTTCGCCAATTCCTGTTGCACGTGTCTCAAGACCGACAATTCGTTACCCTCTACTTCGATATTCAAAAATCTTTCAGTGAGCTTACTGTTGGACTTGCTGTTTGCCTTAGTCACCACCGGTTTTATTCTGCGCAGCTGAACCGCGTCGATGATGTCGGTATTCTTCTCCCGATTGCTCTCGTCGGGGCTAAGGCTCTTGGAATCCGTCGTTAAATTATTCAAGTCCTTATTGAAGTCCTGTTTGTTTGACGGGTCCACGAGAATCAACGTTGACGTTACAGCGTACGTGGTGTCGCCGATCATTACCTGGGACTTCAGCGATTGAGGTACAAATTTTTCGTTACTCTGCGTTTCGGACTTTATCGAGTCGTCTAGCATAACGTTATCCGTCAAAGCTGAGTTCTCTATTTCCATCGAGCTGTCTAGAGAGGAGAAATTTCTCTCGACAACGTTTGCCTTATTCCTTTGGTTCAACAGTGAATTTTTGTTATTCTGCTGGGAAGCACTCAATCTCGTTCTACGCGCCTCGGAATCCGTGTCTTTGTCACGAAACGGAACTTTGTACTTCTCCGTAAGATTCGTCTCGAGACTTTTCAGCACCTTCGCCACTTTCCTCTGCCTCTCCAGCTCCTTATCCGCATTCTTGGTCTTCGCACGGGCCTTCTGCACGGGCGACAATTGCACGTCGTCGGAAGCTATGGAATCTGTATCGGACACATCGCCCGTCGCAGCCAAGAGCGCCTTCTTCCTCTCTACCCAACGCTTCGTGAACGCCCTCCGCCGCTCGATATTTCTGCCGCGTCTCGCGGGTAACAGTCTAGGTCTTATTGGTCCTGAATACTTTTTACCTTCTGCATGCTCTTCGCCACTCTTCCCATCCTTCGCCTTAGCTGAATCGTTATCATCCGACGATATGTATATCGTGTCTAATGCATGATCTGTGTCGCAGGTAATATTCGGACCTTCGGGTGAAGCTACATCTAGCCTTGCTTTTTTCTAAAATAGAACAGTTGAATTATTTTTTTGATCGTCGTAAGTAATTCTCCTAAGCTTATCGACTTAATAGTTTTGTAAATGTGAAACTGAACATATAAAATTAATTAATTAACATACAAAAATAATAGAAATAACGTTTAGAAAATATAAAATCAATAGTTATCGAATCTATAAAAATATGTACAAAAATACCTTTTCCAAAACGCCATCCTCATTGCCTTTACGTTTGTTTTTCACATTCTTTGTTGTACAACTTTTATCCTTGGAAGAATCTTTAATCTAGGACGAAAAAACAAGAATGTTACGCTAAAGCGATATAAAAGTTGACGAAGCAAAAAGGTAGTGGGATCAGGCCGAGATCTTACAGTGCTATCAGATACGTCTGATATCTCCAGCTGCTCCAGGAGAACCTTGTTGGACTGTATAAACCGTTCTTTGAACTCGCTCCACATATCCAGCTTGTACAAGCATACGTGGCATACAACCCCGGGTAGAGTCTCCTCATACTTGATCTGCGGCGGACAAAAATAGCGGCATAAGCGAACGTAAAAATAAGTAACGTGTGTGGGCAACCGATGAGATACGACGAAAGAAGGGACTTACGTCGATGCAGGTGCACTTGGTCAAGTCCTTGAGCTGGGTCTCCAAGCGCTCGTCCTGCAAGCTGGTCATGCAGCCGTGGTCGATCAGGCATAATCGGCAGCGCTCGGCCATGTTTGGCGACTCGTGCCTGCCCGACATCGTCTCGGCGGACCCGGTTATTCCCGGGGAAGCGAGCCGGGGCAACGATCAACGGCGATACAGGGTACGCTGTTCCCGCGGCGGGCACCAGCACTTCGCCATCAATAACCTTTCAAGCCCTCCGCCGTCACACGACTCGCGCGCGGACGTGGGAGACGCGGCGCGCGTATCCTCCCTCCCTCGGACGCGGACAACGCCGACGGTCCGTCCGACGGTCTCTCTCTCTCTCTCTCTCTCGGCACGCTGAAATTCCGCTCAACTGGGAACTTCGACCGCCGCTTCGACTGACGAAACCACCGATCACTCGCCGCGAAAACGAGACACATTCGCCATAACTGCGACCACTGTGAGTGTGTGAGCACGGCGTAAAGCGCGCGGAACGAAAATATGGCGCACACGACGACGTACGGTGCGTGCGACAGCGTGAATCCGCGGGTGTGGATGCAAACTGCTCCGATTCGCTGACACGCGGGACGCTTCGGCGTAAGCGGGCCTCCTATTGGCCGGTAAGCGTCAAAATGACGGGACGGCTCGCGCGTCCGCGAATATCGCAGGCGGGATCGGCGGGATATCGGCGCGCTCGAGCAACCGGGAATAGATGCCCCACGCCGTTTATTGCGCAGATTATTGAGTGACGCGCTAATGACAGCGATCCACGGGTCAGAAAATATTAAGTATAATCTGGTATGTAAGTACATACATACATATAACGACTGATATGATTTTATTTCGGTTGCTCCTCTCATCCTGTTGGCTTCTGACCGACGCGTATTTAATCCACGAAATAAAATATATCGTTATAATGAAAGATTAATCGAATTTAATCGTCACTGTGCACATACGTACATTAAGTGCATATTACTGAAAAATGATTTTCTGATAAAAGGAGTCGATAATGTAAAAATACACCGAGATACTCTTAAAGACCGACACCCTTATGGGACTTAGCGTGGCATGTTTAATAAAATTTAAGCAATTAGTCAATAATATAACATTAATTTTATGATTTATTAATAGATCAATGTTTTTTAGACATGTACATTGTAATTCATACGTATTATATCTAATTGCTATAATAGTTATAATTTTATTTAAAACTGCATTTTTATAGTTACCACACGAGTTTGATTATCCAGAGAGATGGTAAAACAGTTGGAAAAAAAATGTAATTTTGCGGCAATATATTTGATATTATAGCATTATAAGTATTCATACTTATTTATAATGCATTTATATAATAAAAATTATGATCTTAATAATGTATTATTCAAATAAATCGCAAATTTATGTCCAAAGTTGATAACATCGACACTCTGCAATTACCTCTGGGCCCACCGGGCCCATTTGCTGGCACGAAAATTTGTCCAGGGCTGTCGGTCTTTAAGAGTATCTCGTCGGTGAAAAATATTTGAACGCACTAATCCGTAATGTCTCGAGTTTGCTGCTGCAATAATAAAATCTTCGCGATCGGTAATGTAGAAATCTTCAATGCCGCTCCGCGGCTCGCCGGCGCGAGGAGCGCACCGGAAGTGCGAGACAGGGAACGAGAGTATCGACCGTGGGCACCGAGTTTTTCCAGCAAATTCTACGGAGATCGATTTGCGCCGGGGCCACGATCCACGATTGTGTGGGAAGGTCGATCCGCACACCGACCATAACTATATACGCACACGGTTGTTTCGAATCAGCCGGCTACGCGTGTTGGAGGGTTCATCAGGACCTCAGGTCGGAACGAAATTTCACGCCGCGTTGTAACGCACACCTGTTCCCATTTCCGCAAATCGTACGTATCCACGATCGATTTTAACACATTTTTCACACATAATTCGTCGGCGAAACCCGAGCGCGTCTTCTTGCAGAGTCATTTCCTCCCGTCATTAACATTCGCGCATTAACATTACGTGTCGAGAAAGTTCGGCGCGGAAGGAAGCACGCCAGACACGGTTGGATCGTCGCCGCGGTTTGGAGTAGCTCTTCAATCAACTCGTCTCACCGGATCCTCTTCTCCTTCGTCCGCAGAGAATGGCCGAGGTGGATTTGTCTCCCGCACAGGACCGCGGCGTGTTGAAGGAGATCATCAAGGAGGGAGCAGGAGATGCGACTCCCACGGCCGGCTGTAAGGTAAAGGTCCACTATGTCGGCACCCTGCTGGACGGCACGCAGTTCGACTCCAGCAGAGACAGGGACAAGTCGTTCAAATTCAACCTCGGAAGCGGCAACGTCATCAAAGGATGGGACATCGGCGTCGCCACCATGAAGAAGGGCGAGATCGCTACGCTGACGTGCGCTCCCGAATATGCCTACGGCAACAACGGTAGTCCACCGCTGATCCCAGCCGATGCCACGTTAAAGTTTGAAGTGAGTAAATGCCAATTGATTCATTGCTTAAGACAAACTTCTGCGATCCTGGATGTTTTATTAATTCCATTGCCTGTGCATAAATTGGCAATTCTTCAATATGTATATAATATTTGATAAGATTTTTATATGTACAAACTTAATTGGAGAAACCATCGATTATATTCCAACATGTGTTGCATATCTTTCTAGATCGAATTACTCGATTGGAGCGGAGAAGATCTAAGTCCGAATAAAGATAAAGGCATTGAGAGATTCCAGATTGTCGCTGGCCAAAGCTATACCAATCCGGAGGAAGGTAGCAGTGTAAAAAGTTAGTATCACGAGATCTGGCAGATTTAAGCATAAACTATGTGCTGTTCTTCATCTAACAAACTCTTTATTTGCCCTCAGTACACTTGGTTGGAAAGTACAACGATCAAGTGTTTGAAGATAGAGATGTAGAATTTGTCCTTGGGGAGGGAGAAGTCGCGGGAATTATAGAAGGTGTAGAAACGGCGCTGCAGCGCTTTTTGAAGGGCGAGAAATCTAGGTTGCTAATTAAAAGTAAATACGCGTTTAAGGAAAAAGGAAATTCGGAATATAATATTCCGCCGAATGCGGACGTGGAGTACGAAGTGGAATTACAAAACTTTGAGAAGGTAGTTGCGATTATTTGGAGCCGAGTACTTGTTTCTGAGTTATGTAACCTTCTCTTGATTGTTGAATGTTTACTTTACAGGAGACGAGTGTATGGTCGATGAAGCCGTTGGAAAAGTTAGAACAAGCAAAGATGCAGAAAGAAAAAGGAACGAAGTACTTGACGTCCGATAAAATTAATTTAGCCATAAAAGTGTACCAGAAGGTCTTCAAGTACTTAAACGATGAGTCGGGTTTCGAGGACGATCTCAAAAAGGAGAAGGACAGCCTCCTCGTGGCGGCCCACTTGAACCTCGCTCTGTGCTACTTGAAAACCAATGAAAACCTCCTGGCCAGGGACGAGTGTGCCAAAGCCTTAGAGCTGGATCCGCAGAATGAGAAGGCTCTGTTCAGAAGAGGACAGGCGCATCTCGGGCTCGCATCGCCCGAAATCGCTATTACCGATTTCCAGGAGGTTCTAAAAGTACAGCCGAAAAACACGGCCGCGTCTAAACAAATTTTAATCTGTAATTCTCTTATTAAGAAGCAATTAGCTAAAGAGAAGAAACTTTACGCGAACATGTTCGATAAGTTTGCGCAGGAAGATAAACAGGTTTGTGAAAAACAATAATGTATAACGTTTTTTAAATCGATGACTCGATCTTTTTTTCACGTGCCGAGCTTTCGTATAAATTAGGGTTTGATCACGAAGTCTATAATATAAACATTTAGCTATTTGGAAGGGAAACTTACCTCTCTGCAATGTCCAATAATAAAATACACTAGAATATCCGATCATCCATGTTTTATAATCGGCAAATATGCCCGTAGATTCTGCATTTATCATAAATATAACGAACGGATACATAAAGGCTGATTAATTTAAATCAAATAAATCTTGAAAAATCAACTTGTCAATGCGTTTATGCGTTTGACCATAAACCATAATTAGTAATCTCACAGAAGGAGGAGCAAAAACTGAAGGAACTGCCCGACGTGATGCACGGGACGCTGGGAGAATGGGGACAGGAAGAAAGACCCGGTGGCAGAGACGCGACTGCCTTCGAAAAGGAAAACCCTAACATACTCATGCTCAACGCTAATGGTTCTGGTGAATTCAAAAACATGTAAACAATAGTCCTCTCTCCCCTTTCCCTTTCGTTACACTGCCCCGCGTAACTGCCGAAATGAATTGAGGTCTCGTCAATCTTTAGTTTTCAGTGCCTTCTGTAAGTACTGCTTTGTCTCTTACGAAAAATAAAAAATTGCATATTATATGCTAGCGTATATTGAAACATTATTAAGTGTTTAATTTTAGCATGCAGAAAATTTATATGGATCGATAATAGTTTCTTGTTTAATACTTAATGCACGTGAGTGTATTAATTATAAGAACTTTTTTAAAATTACTACCTTTCAATCTTGAGAAGGTAAAGAAAGTAGTTTATGTTGTGAATTTTTTAAGACACCATTTTATTAACGCAGTACGATTTTTAAGAAATGTGGCTACGCGTTACGTCTACTTCAGTAGTTGATCCCCGATCTCATTAATTTCTGACTTCTGTAATTATGCGCGTTAATTAAGTCATTGTATACTTCAAAGTATATCATTCCATTTATAATATAGTGCCATTGTTTAAATTTTAATACGTCAATCATTACTATGTAAATTGTAGATCTAGAAAATGTTCATTTATATATATATACACACATACACATCTATACAGTCTCCGTGAATGAATGCGCATATAATCAGAAGTAAGAAAAAAATTTGTACATCAGTGTAAAGGATATACGTAAAATTGATTATATGCACAATTGTATAAGAATAACGTAGCGATATACATTTCTTTCCTACGCCAAGTGTACTGAAATGAATGTATGTTCAACACAACAAGATTAGAAAAGAAACATTGCAGAATTAAATAAAAAACAGTCTGACGAAAATCCAATGTCATTCAATGTGAGATTATCATATGATCTGTATAATTCCCTTATCGATCCATAATTTCTGATCCATAAACGAAGAGAATTCTCGATTAATAAATTAGTTAACATAAACTTTCTATCTGCTATATATTTTATATATGTCGAATTTACGTAGGAATGGTATTTCTAGCACACAAATTGATTTTTCATATTTGACAAAATTTTTTCTACATTACAATTTATACATATTAAAAAAATAAAACGTCTATTGCTATCATTTCTCTTCTTTGTATACAAATGCCATGTTATAATATACTAAAATACTGCAGTCAAAACTCTCTTAAATACGTGTAACTTTTGAAAAACAACGTTACGCTTTAATACATTCCAGACTTGAGATTTTTTTTCAATTATTCATAAGAAACTATTGTCCCAGTTTGAATCTATTATCCTTGACTGGTGTAAAATTAACCGATTGTAATATCAAATGGAATCATCTGACTTTATTGATGAGCTAACAGCCTTCAATTGATATCCAGTAAATATTTCGTAACAGTGGCATGATCCAGATATGCGACATAGACACAAAAAATTAATTCAGTGAAAATTGTAGTAAATAATTTTTAATAGGTTTGAATAAGTTTCACCAATTATTTCGCAGTCAAAATTTACATCGAAAAGACGATATATTTGTAAATATATTAATGGAAATATATTTATATAATTTGAGTTTCTCTAAAATATTTTTAATTTTCAGGCAGTGTACAGAATGCAATATAAAATTCGATGCAATTGTAATAACAACGTAAAAATTTTACACCTTAATCACGCTTTGCGCTCGTCGTAAGTAAACGTCTGACTTGAAAAATTGGCTTCCTCAATTGTCTAGACGTGTCGTCTAGACGTTCTGATATGTTATCTGCAATATTAGTACATTACACATGCACATACACGTGCATGACCGCAGGGACGGCTTTACGATCCGCCGAGCCATCATCGAGATCAGGATTTTGCGCAATGCGCCATGTCGATCTCTCCTGCTGGCGTTCATCCAGATCCAGAGTAATAAAAATTTAGTAATTAGGTGTTCTGACTTCGCAGCCGCATCGCGATTTTCGCAAGGAAGTAACTCGATATGGATCACGTAATGGAAAACGGCGATTGAATTATCGCATTTATATAATTATAATTAATGCATAATTCGCGGTCGACTTCGTACGTTTTGGAGCACAGCGACATTCCTTTGTGAAGAATTAATTCCTCTATTAAAATTGCTCGCGATCGAAATTTCCAAATAAATTTCGATAACAGGACGACGGATTCCTTCAAGTGACGACGGCACCTGAGAGAATGAATACATTTCATTTCCTCGACATTTCTTTTAAATATACGTTTCGGAAGCGGAGTATCGGAGCGGCTCTCGGAGCGCCCCCGGACCGCACCGCCCTGGTTCAATAAGGGGCGACAGAGAGAGAGAAAGAGAGGGACGAAAATAGCTTTCTCTCTCCCTCCCTCGAACGGCGTGTCAAATGTGCTATGCCTGGGTGTACCAGCCAGTACAAGAACGTCCGCGGTCACGGGTCCTCCCCAGTGTTCTCTCCGTGCGTGGCGAGTGACGCGAGTGTGAGCGAGGTCGAGTAGAGTCGTCTGCTTTTGCTAAACTCCTGTAAGGCCGCCGAGGGTGGTTCCGTTTTGCCGCGATGCCGAACATAATAAATGACATAAAGCTGGACTTTAAGGACGTGCTGCTGCGCCCGAAGCGGAGCACATTGAACAGCCGAGCGGATGTGAGTATCGCCGTCTTTATATATATATATATATATATATATAATTGGCATATAAGTCGGAATCGCGTTGCTCGTCAGAAATAATTGCACGCGCGTCTCCGGTGAGAGAGGGAAGAGAGAGAAGGAAAAGATAAAAAAATGCGAGTTATCCGCCGCGCAATATCGTGGATCGTATATATATATATACATTATATACATATATATATATTCGAATATATTTTCAGGAACGAGTACATTTGATTTTAAATTCGACGATTGCACGACGCGTGTGCGTGCATGCGTGTATAATAAATTACGGTCGGGTCGTCGGCCGTCGGCTCGATTAAGAACGCGCCCCGCAGAATGTTTGCGCGATAATCGCTGGTCCCGAATTTATATGGTCCCTCAGACGCAAAACTTTCCCTATTGATTTAATTCCCCGTTCTCGCGAACACGCTACTTCCTGACGGTTTTGATTCCAGCCCACTATCTTACGTCGACAGAAATCTATATATATATATATGTTCTGCATATTTCTGTTATGAGAACATTAACGTAAATTAAAGATAAAGATTAACGAGAATTATTTTATTGAAGCTTTATGATTCACGCTGTAATAAGATTATTAATGATATTTACACGTATGAAATCTTTTAATTTTATTAATTTGATATTTATATACACGTATATTACTATATTTTATGCAAATATTAATAAAGTAGTTTATATTATTTTTATACCTTTATATGTGTATATGTAGACATAAAATTATATGTACATATATATACATATATATGAATTAAATATACCGCATCCTTCAAGATCTATATTATAAAAATAATATTATTCCCCTTTCACATTTCAGGTAGACCTTTTCAGAGAGATTACATTTCGCAATTCTAAACAAACATATAGAGGAATTCCCGTGATGGCTTCTAATATGGACACAGTCGGAACGTTTGAAATGGCAAAAGCTTTATCAAAGGTACAGAATAATTTAATTCATTTCATTTATTTCATTTCGGAATAAATATCAAAAGTTCTTCTATCAGATTTAAATATTAAAATTTTTTCAATTCTTTTCTGCATATATTAAATAAATATAAATTAAAAACTCATTGTATGACATGCTCATGAGATTATATAAATAAAATTTATTTGGGTACATAATGTGTCGCCTTACTTATTGTGCACATTCTTTTAGCATGGTCTTTTTACTACGGTTCATAAATATTATACCGCAGATGAGTGGAAAGATTTTGTCGCGTTAAATCCCGATTGCGTAAAAAATGTAGCGGCCAGTTCAGGAACGGGAAAGGACGATTACGAACGGCTCGCGAGCATTTTGGAAGTTGTGCCGGAATTGTCATTCATATGCCTAGACGTTGCGAACGGATACACGCAGCATTTCGTGGAATATGTGAGGAAAATAAGAGCGCGATATCCGAATCACACTATAATTGTAAGTACAATCGAACTCCTTCGAGTCTCGTTATATATTTAGTATAAAAATACGATGAGTCGGTCATATTCAAGCTCGATCGTTTGAGAACGTTAAACATGCGTATCTTGCATTTAAACATAAAGATTAATTGCTGCCACTACAGGCAGGAAATGTTGTGACAGGAGAAATGGTGGAGGAACTGATACTCTCTGGAGCGGATATAATTAAAATAGGAATTGGTCCCGGTTCCGTGTGCACAACGCGGATGAAAACCGGTGTCGGTTATCCGCAGCTGAGCGCCGTGATTGAATGCGCGGATGCGGCGCACGGCTTGAAGGGCCACATTATCGCCGTAAATACTTACCATACTTTCTGTCAGTTGGCACGAATCGCCGATATGGGTCTCCTTGTATCTATATTCGTATTGATGTTCATTGTTCAGGACGGCGGATGCACTTGCCCCGGAGATCTAGCGAAAGCGTTCGGCGGCGGCGCGGACTTTGTCATGGCGGGCGGAATATTCGCGGGTCACGAGGAATGCGGCGGTGAAGTTATCGAAAAGAACGGGAAGAAGTTCAAGCTCTTTTACGGGATGTCCTCCAATACAGCCATGAGGAAGCACGTCGGTGGTGTTGCAGACTACAGGTGAGACTCGGCAACGATCGTTGCAACACTACGAACAATTGTATACTTGGTGTTAAGTTTGATCGATGAAAAATCGTCCGCACTTGTGTTTGTCAATGCCGTAGATCCTCGGAAGGGAAAACCGTCGAAGTGCCTTACAGAGGTTTGGTCGAGAACACCGTGCTGGATATCCTGGGCGGCCTAAGATCCGCTTGCACTTACACAGGAGCCGAGCGTTTGCGCGAATTACCGCGACGAGCGACGTTCGTGCGTTGCACGCAACAATTAAATCCCATGTACGGACCGCCCCCAGAAATGTAAAGCTTATAATTATTAAATTGTGCTCCTTAGTAAAAAAAAAAAGGCTTAGGAAAGGAAGTTTTAAACGCCAATATTTGTTGATCGTGTATTATTTGCTGGCAAATAATATTTATATATATATATGGATGAAAATGCAGTCTTGTAAAATATTTACCATTGTATCGTGCGCCGACGTCTAAGTATTACGAATTAATTCTTAAAGTATGCTCAAGTGGAAGAACGTTATACAATAATCCTTCATGCACAAATAAAGAATTTCGTTACATTAAGCCGCCGTTTTGTATCATTGAAGATCCTCTTACGAATATATATATAATCAATCATCATATATCAATTTTATAGTTACAAATCGAGATACTTCAATTTTCTTCTAATTATATATTTCATATTTAAACAACGAATGGGCAGTACTAGCTTATACGTTTCGTTGTTGTCTTTTTTTATTATGAAATACGAATATGCATGTATTTTACAAACCTTATAAGAAATATGTACTGTACCTACAGTAAACTCTACCTATTTAGTACCTTTACAGAATTTTTTTTTATATAAGTGAAAAACTTTCGTACGTATTTGCTATTTTGCTTCTCTTGATCAGAGAAACTGGAAAGTTTTCTCTTGCGCCTCTCCCTGAAACATTCGCCAATGTTAATTAATTATGTGCATAAAGTATAAAATATAACAGAACAATATTTCAGAACTTATAAAGGAGATGTATACACAAAAAGAAAGTCGAAAATATTATTGTGCTATTGTAATAAAACAAAAATATAATTTATGAGGTTGTAGATACTAGAGAGTTTGACAAAATAATTGACTAAGACACTTGCCAACAATGTCAATGTTATATAAAGTGAACAATTTCCCTATTAATATTCTATTATATTTTCGAATCGCAATAGATTTCGTATAACACGTTTGAAACTTGCATATAAATAATCCTTCGAATAATTAAATATGATTTGATGTACATATAAAATTCCTGGTTTATCTTATAATACATATTTTATCATTTTAATTTTACTTAATGTCTATGCAAAGCAATATTAAAAATATTATGAAATACTATGCGTAAACTATACAACAAAAATTTTTATACTCAGAAAGAATATCAGACACAATATATTTATGATAATCATAATTTCGAAAACGTATGTGTCTATAAAACAAAAATTAAAAGTAAAAAAGAAAAATGTAATTATTATATTATTTTTTGTTTAATATCTTATTTAAAACATTTTTCAAATAATATAACACAAATTTATTATAAATATCTTTTAATTAAATGTATTCAAAATAATGCCACAGAATATACCAAATGAAAACAAATTGTTTATTAATAACAAATATTAATGCGTGAAAAATATATAAATACTAACATAAAAAAAAATTATTGTTACATGTCTAGGTACATATTTTCTATGTTACATAAAATGTATAAGTAACAAAGCCAAACATATAAATTTGTTAATTTCAAAATAATTTTCATTTTTAGAGACAACAAATTTTTTAACTATGTCCTTTAAAAATTATCCATGTCTCCTAATAATACAATTGTATGAACATAAGCATATTAATGACAGTTTTATATTTCAAAAAATGAGAATTTTTCTAATATTACAATCAAATTGTAGTTGAAGGTATAAATGATTTCCAACGTTTTGTAATTTTAAGTGCCATTATAAGTGGCCATTATAAGCCACATTAAGTGGCTTGAGAAAAAATATATATAATAATTTATAATTCCTACCTAGCTTTCAATCATAACGGAATAAAATTACTGTGACAAAATATTTTCATTAACTTCCTTTCTCATCGAAGAATGAGCATGCAGACGATGAAAGTTTATAGATACTTAATTATATATGAATACAATATCTAGAAAGATTATTAGACATAGACGTATTTCAAATTTTATCTCTTCTTATTTAGTTAATGCATTATTTTATACAGAATGTTTTAAAAATTGCATATTGTAGACGAGATGTTAAAGGCAAAATCGAAAAGTATAATGGTTGCATAAATAGGGAAGCACATCGATCTATGGGTTAAAGTTTCTAATTAAGATTGTGTTGAAGTAAAATTAATCTTCCATTAAAATCAAAGGCAAATCAATTTTATTTCAACATAATCTTAATTGTAAACTTTCTCATTTAATAAGAGAAATCTCAATTAACATAAAAAAAAAAAAAATTCGAAAAGAATCATATCCATTATGATTTTTACTGACATCCAAATTTACCGAAGAATTTATTATTAGCTAGGATAAGAAGCTTCCCACTTTTAGATACATTCTGTATCCATATATATAAATTAGTTGAAACATGTAATAAAGAGTGTACCAAAATTTGAAATATTTTACATATTGACTAGTTAAGTCTTTTGATACTTAATTACTCGGAAATGAAAAGCCAATATACTTTGTTATGTATATCGTATAAAAGCATACGTAATACTGGCTAAGCAATATTTAGAATATTATTAGTAAATTATATTCCACATTATGAGAGTTATATATGTATATCCCGTCCGACTAATCTCCGGTTCGCAGGTCCTGATTCCTTTGTGTGTACATGTAGATTAATGCTGAATGAAACATTTTAAACTGTAGATGCCCCATGCCGCGGCATATTGTAGGACGGGTAAACCTCTTTAATTGGCAGCTCCAAATATCTAAAAATAGTATTGGTGTTTCACGAGAAAGCAAAAGAAAAACCAAAGTAACATTGTATTTAACACAAGTGCAATAGGACATATGCATATATAAATGTCATATTATGTAGCTCTTTCGTATACATAGAACTTTCATGGATAATAAAAACACATGGCAGCTGTATCAATTATAGCATTTCGTATAGTCAAGAGTTTTATAGTTATAATAAAACACGAGTGTTTCAAGTAAATAAGTGTCTTATCATATATAATTATCTAATATAGTAAATATACTAATATATCGTTCATAACAACGCATGTATAAGGATATAGTTTAACAAGTTTAATGAAAGAGAGAGAGAGAGAGAGAAAGAGAGAGAGAGAGAGAGAGAGAGAGAGAGGATGGCAATAAAATGGTACAGATGTCGATCCCTCGTTCCACTTTCTGACCCGCTGCTTCACCTGCCAGCTTCAACTTATATTACAATAATACATGTTATGGAACAAAAATACATACAATATTATAAGTAGAACACAGACATCATATTGATACTATGTTATAATATTAATTTCAATCAAACTTCTCTTGCTCGATACTTTTTTTTGTTACTTAAACTTAGAACGATTGGATAGCCTATAGTATTTGTATACGTGTATATATAAAAAAAAACACAAAACGTTTTATAGTATAAACAGAATATAATCGATTCTCATGACATTCTCAAAGATATATGAAGATTATGAAGCATTCAACTATTTATGATAAAAGTTATATGGAGATATATAGCAGGTATTAACCGCATCCCGATGGAAAGCTATCTGAAAACTATCTGAAATAAACAAATAATTATGGTAAAGAGAGATGATTCATATATAAGAAGCAGATTTTTATTTCAAAGGTGTAAAATATATCGTTATTCAAATCATCACATGAACCATGAGAAATTATCATAGATTTTATATTTTGCAAAGTTTAATTCAAATTCCCTGAAAGAGGTTCAATGATTATCAGTAGATAACATTTCCTTATTCTTACACCATTGATTTTTATAGTATGTTGGAATATCAAGCCAATATAAAAATGAGTATTAAATATCGTATCAAATTAAAGATGAATAAATAATTAACCTATTAAATAATAAAAATTTTCAAAAATAGATACGCAGCAATAACAAACAAAATAAAAAATATGGTTACTTCTTGATGCTGAATTTATATGTAATAATATCCAAGTTTATATTAGCTTAACATAACAACGGTAGCATTTAGAAAATCATATGAACTTCAACTAGAGTCATTGCTTTTTAATGCTAGTACGTACCAGCAAATTACTGGATTTTTTTGGAATCCATTGGAATTAAAACTTTTATACACAAAACAACTGTCAAACAAAGATCTATAAAAGCTTTATGAAATCTATTAATAATCAATTTGATCCAAGACACATTTATCGTTCAAACACTTCATACAATTTTCCGTATGCCCATTCATGTATATTGTATTGAGGTTAGGTTTACTTACAGCTTGCTTTTCTCTCAAAAATGGAAGTTTAATTCTCAGAAGTGGACTGTGTGTAAGGGTAATTCTGATACCCTGTTGGGAAAGAAGGGTTCTGCTGTCCCGTCTGTGGTTGCGAATTAGATCCAGCATTTGCTGCATAATAACCAGCAGGTGCGGAGCCAGCGTTCATCGTTGGATAACTTCCGTAAGCTTGAGGGAATGCGTTAGGCGTGGTACCTGGTGGACCAGCCGATTGTCCCTGAATGGTCTGCATTTGTTGCTGAGCCATTTGGTTCCCTTGCATTCCGAGCTGCATAATATTACATACAATATTAAAATACAAAAAAATAAATAACGATGTCAATGCGTTAAATTTTAAGGAAAACACACCTTGCCCGCCTTCATTTGAGCTTCTATCGCTTCCGCTTCTTTTATTTTACCGATGCTTCTGTAATACTCTGCCCATTGCACGCTATAATCGGCTTGACCACCATTTTGTGCGGCGCCTGCTTGCTGCTGCTGCTGCTGCTGCGTCGGTTGTTGCTGCTGTTGATTTGGCCCACCAGAACCCGGTGTCGCTGGATTAGACTGGTTTTGTGAATTACCTGAAATATTTCATTTCAACGATTTTATAGAAAAGTCGAAAAATTACGTTGCAAATCTCTCGGCAAAAATTTTCTTTCCAATGTAACACTGTAAAGATTTTTACCTCCTGGCTGATTGTGTTCTTGCTTTCCCTGCTTCGCTTGCTGCTCGATCATGTCCGCTTCTCTGTGCATGCCTAATGACCGATAATACTCCGCCCATTGAGCGCTATAGTCTGGCTGACCAGTCTGTGGATTGACTTGTACAGGAGCTTGGTTAGCATTGCCTGCAAGAGGACACGTACCACACGTAACAGACATGAAACTTACCTCCTGTCATGCTATCATAAAACCAAGGAATCATAAAACCATACATACTTCCGTCGTTGGATTGTGGTTGGTTTGGCCATGCTTGATACCCTGTATTCCAGTTCGGATTATATCCGACTGCACCTTGTGCGCCAGCGTATGAAGAACCAGCTGGACCCTTTAAATAATAAATAAAATCGAAACAAATCGTAAAGACGATCGCGTATAACTAAATAAACGCACCATGCCCAGCTTTTCGCTAAATATTCTCTTTGCGTGCTCGACTTGTTCAGGATTTCCTCGAATAATGAAAATCTTTTCGTTCTCATTACTTTGATTTCTTCTATCTAATTCGCAGTGCGCTCCTGTCTGTTGATTGATCTGTTTGATAGTCTCACCACCTAGAAAAAATTTTGATAAACAATAATCTATTAAAGAGAATAAAATCACTAAAAATTTTAAATAAGATTGGAGATTTTAACAATGTACATATAATTATGTTAACGCATATAGTAAACAAAATAATACCTTTGCCAATTATGATGCCGCATTTGGAAGAAGGAACGGTAAACGTTGTTTCAATTTTATCTTGCATAGGACCGCCTTGTCGTCTATCCCAGCTTCCATACTCGTTTGGATTACGATTGCCGCCGAAGCCGTTACCCCTCGGGCCACCTCTACCTCCCATGTTACTTCTACCATCATCTCTCCTCTGAAAATAACAAAGTTAATACCATTACTTTCTGCACTTAAAAAAATGAATAAAGAATATCGGTTATGCTATTAGCTTGCAGGCATATATGAATTCTAATGAAATTATAAATATAAAATTTATACCATGACGCTATCGATCAATTCCTGAATTCGTTGACGAGCTTGTTCAACGGCTTGATGCTTCCCTGACAATAGGCACTTTCTATCGCCAGGGCCATCTTCTCTTCCTTGTTGGAATTGAACTTTAGCTCCGCTCTCTGCTTGTATCTTTTTTATCATATCTCCGCCTTTACCAATAACGACCCCAACTGCAGCTCTTGGAACGAGTACCTATATTAAATAATAACTTCATAAATTTTAAGGGTAAAAAGATGTATCTGTCGACTTTTCTCTTTCTCTGTACAATTAAATTTTAAGCCAACAAACATCCTTAATTACATTCGCTTGTGACATAATAAAAATCATTATTAACCTCTACTCCATCACTATTTGCAGGACCGTGATTGAAACCACTCTCATTAGGATAATTTCCCGTTCTATCGGTACCACCTCTCCCTCCTCTATGAAACATTTGTATTTCTTTTTCAGCTATTAATTCATAGACTAATTGCTTCGCATATTCAACTTTTTGAGGATCTCCTGTTATTCTATAGAAGAAGATATCAGATGCTTTAAATAATTATGTCATATTGCTTTGACAGGTCGAATTAAACAGAGCAATTGTTCTTACGTAGAGAAAAGATGATTTGCATTACCTTAAAGGCTTTTCTTGTTCCTGAGACGGCCCTTCCTGAATAACAACCATTTTAGCTCCAGACTTCTCTTGCAATTGTTTTATGGTTTCTCCTCCTTTGCCAATTATCAGACCTACTTTAGGACCTGGAATCATTATCTCAACGAATCCTGGATGTCCGATTATACCGCCACCGCCACCGCCACCGCCACCGCCGCCGCCGCCGCCGCCGCCACCGCCGCCGTTACCACTCATATTCATATCACCGATTCCCTCACTTCTGCTTCTTTGATTCACTATCGATAATACAAGCTCCTTTGCACGACTGAAACACACAAGATGGGGATATACAATATCTTTTCAATTCAACTGTTTTAACATGTGTCAACAGATTTAATCAACAATAATAAAGTTTGTTTGCAACACATAAATATGCACTAATATCTATTTCGGATCAAAATTATATATCACATTTGTAATATTACTCTTTTCTAATAATCAACGTCTTCAAAAGGTATGACAAAAGGTTTCAAAGATTTTGTATCAAAAGGCCATATATAGGTATTAAAATGCCATATATAGATTTAATCATAAGCAGTTTCAAATAAACAAATAAAATTTTCTTCATGTTGTGATTAACACGTCCCCATGCATATCCTATCCTCCTTCCTTCCTCCTCCCTTTCTCTCCATATCCTATTAAAAGCAAAAAACTATTAGTAAATACAAAATTATTAAATCAAAAGGTCAACTCATTAATCGATTTTCAATGGCCAGAAATTCTGAAGCTTATAGAAAGTTTGAGCCCGCTTTGGCACATCCAGGAGCTAAATAAAGATTCTGTAAAACATTTCATAATTTCAATATGCGGAAAGCATACGTCCTACATTTGTGAAATGCATGTTAGGATGAAATTGTAGCGTATGTAAAATATACTCTGACATACAAGCTGTTATTAAAATCGTATCCCAATTACATTTTCTAACAAATAGGATCATAAAGCGTTGTGCAATATTTATACATCGTCATAACATCGCAGTTTAATATGAAATGATTTCTCAGTCGTTTATCGGGGAGTGACAAGATGGGAATATGGTGAAAAACATTCGCACTTAAAATAAATTAGAATGCGAAATATCCCTATGTAAATTTAAGGAGGATAGCAGATTTGCTTGGCCGATTTACAAATAATTTTGACAGAAAAGTACTCTTTTAACAATCCAGTCTATAAACGTAGAACTTGTGTGAACCGACAATCATGTCCCATTTCAATAAAAGACAAAGTAATTGCATAATTGCATTCAAGGTCAACAGACAAAAAGTAAATTCTTATCATTCATTGTGTGGATATATAAATAATGTTGCATTGCATACAAAATAGTTGAAAATTAACGAAATAAGAAGGGAAAACAAGTTACTTGACAGCTTCTCGTGAACCAGTTAGCGTGCAAACACGCTCAGGCAGCCCACCTTCCGGTGCCATTTGAATCTTACATCCTGTTTCGCTTTGCAATCTTGTTATCTGTTCTCCACCTCTGCCAATTACTGTAAATATATTATTATCACTTAAACGTAATTGTACATATCTAATCCTCCTACTATTGCATTTCAATTATAAGAATATATATGTACACATGTAAGAAACAAAATTAATATAACAAAAACAATATATTTATAACTATTCTAAAACGCAACAAATACTTTATGAATTAAGACAATGATACTTAAGCTATCAAATTTATATATTATATATATATATATTTATATATATATTATTATGTCACAATAAACAATAAACTGAGAATATCATAACGCAGCGAGTTCTTAAATTGTTACAGCAGATTGTAATGCAATGTATTACAGAATAATTTATACAGAGAATAGCAGTAATCTCTTTCACAATTTTACTTACTTAAACCAACCATTTTGTCTGGAACTCTGATATCTTCATTGCATATACCACCTAAATTGGAAGAGACTGGCGGTCTGGGTCCTTGACCACCTGAATCTCCAAGGGAATTGCCTGCTGGTCCTCCGCGAATGCCTATTAAAGGATCTGCTACTAACGAAGCCATTTTTTTTGCTTCTGGCTCTAAAAGCACAAAATGTTAACGCAATGTCAGTACAGAATGCAATTTGAAAAAATAGATTTAGCTCTATCAATAAAATAAAAGAGAGATCAATATGTATAGCTTAGACACGTGCATTACCTGAACTATCTTCAAGAGGACGTTTTAATTTGGAATCTTGATTGTTTTGTGTGCCACCTGGATTTATCTTCGCGGCAATCTGGAACGATTAATTGAAAACATAAACTCAGGAGAGAATGCTTTGCTTTCCAAACTGAGTTTTTATACAAGTCTGAATTATATACAAGTCAAATGTGAAGTACCAGTATTGTATCATACAAGTAGGTATTACATGGCCCTCTCTCAGAGGCCAAACTGAAACGCCTCCATAAAAACAAAAGGAGAAAATTGAACCAAGTTACAAGCGAATTCTACACTCGGGTATTAGGAAATTAATAAATGTAGACAAATTCTAGCTTGCGAGAGGTTCGCATGTCGCAGACATATTTCTCCGGTTTACTCTCGGCCGCGGAAAATAGAGCAATTGAAGAGATAACAGGTCGCGTCGGGACAGCCGCGAGCTGCGCTACAACGGACGTGACGCTCAACTCACGGGAGAGACGCGCGCTCGGCGCCGATCGCTGTCGTCGACGTGTCCGTCATCGCGATTACCTGCTTGGCACGTTGAAGTGCCGCCGCGAAGGCGGTGCTCTGGGTGAAGTTTTGAGGAGGCGCGACCGCTGAGTAGTCACTCATATTGGTGCATGTGAAGTTGTCGGGGACGGGTCGAGGGAATTTAATCACGTTGCTGCGGCTGCGGCTGCTGCTGCTGCTGGCTCGTTTACCACTTACCGGTGCCTGGACGATCCGCTTTGCTTCGCGGCGGACGCGCAGACGGAACGGGAACGGGTCCGCAGAAAAACACGAGAGAACGACACTCTTTACGAGGCGCCCGACGCCGTTCTCGCGAGGAAGAGGAAAGTTTGCGGCAGACTTGCGAGTGAGAGAACCGTACTTTCACGGGGGGGAACGGCACGGCGCAAGCGTCCGCCATTGGCTGCGCGGCCGTTTTAGTACGGAAACTCGCGCGTCTCGCGCCCTCGCGGCCTCGTCGCGAATTAATGCCATTCAATTCGGCGGTAATTAGAAATGTGGGATGACGTTGGGAGTTTGTCCTGAAATACCGGCAGTATTTTTTTTTTTTTTTTTTTACTTTGTTGAAGTTGACCGCCACATTCAAAGAATGGAAGAATTCTTTAATAGTAAAGTAAATATTTAGTAATAAAATAAAATATTACTTAGAAGAAATATTTTACAAGAAAATGAATTTTCTAATAATACTAAAATAAAATTTAAATGATATTATATAATATATAATATACAATATACAATTTATAATATATAATTTTTTAAATAATAATGTTAGTATATATACTTAATTTCTTCAGTTTTTTCTCATTGGCCAAATTTATGTCTTTGCTCTCTGCTAAAAATGTTTAAATTATTTCAATTATCTTACATTCTACTACTATGTATATGTACAAAGATTTCGATTAAAATCTAAGAATCTAACCTCTAATCTAAATGTAACCAAGAATTTTTTTTCAGAATTACAGACTCTTAAAATAACATTAGCATAAATTAGAATTCTTACGCTCAAAAGTAATAATAATGCTGTTATTCACACGATGACGATTATTTTCTTAGTGCAGTCAAATTGTTGAGTCATGCAACATGATCATAGTCCAGTAAATTAAATTGCAAAATTTATTTCCAATTTGTGACAGAATTTATATTTACACTCTTCGATTACTTCTTGTAGAAATTTTGCAATTTGATTTCACTTGCATTTACTATTTACGTCAATATTAATTATCCTTAACAAATAAAATTATTCATAGTTATATAATCAGTTTTATTCTTAACATTTTGGCGAACAGAATAACCAGAACCTTAACGAATAAAATCGCTCGCAATTACATTATTTTTATTAATTTGTAACATTTGTCGAACAGACAGAATACATTATTTTTGCGACAATAGCTGCTCATAATACAAAGCAAGTGTATATAACAAACAAAAAAGAATAACAATGATTAATTTGTCTTTATATGCTTCTTTTGTTAAGAATAGAATCATCATTGTTTTTTTTTTTGCAATCTCTTTCTGTATATCTCCTTTTCTAAAAAATTAATATACAATGTATACAATAGTTTTTAATAAAATGTAGAAACATAGAAAATATAAGGCAATAAACTAAAGAAATGTACATAATTGTTAAATAATCACATTTATGTTCATAACACAATAATAATTTCACATTGCATCCCATTTGCCTGCATTGTGTAAATTTCTATAAAAAATGTAAATAAACTATTTTCTTCACAATAATAAAATATATTTAAGTACAAATGTAAAATAAATATAAATATTCATTTATACTGTAATTATTTAATTTATTATAAATAATAAAAATTTGTATTGAATAGAACAGCTTTAGTATAGCTGCTGTCCTTTTAGTTTACACAAATCAACAATTTAACACACTCAAATCTTATATCATACGTACATACATAGTCAAACAAAAGTGCTAGGAGCAAGTTTGCGAATATATTCTAATAATTATTCAGTTGGACAAAACACTCCGATTCTCTTCCCAAGAAGAGTTCAAAAGTGTTGATTGAGTATGAATAAAATTGTAAATGGAAAGCGACAGATGTCGATTGTCGATTGTGCTTCTTAAAAGGAGAGCAGCCTAAATATTCTTTATCTTTTTTAATGTCATCACTTATCACCTAAAAAGAGCATCTAATCAATCAAATTAAAATAACTCCTAAAAGTATTGCATTGTATTAAGTACATGAAAGCGGATTATCGTTAATCCTTATATTTCTCTGTATTACGTATTCTCTCCATCAAAGCCCGTGTAATGTTACCAGGTACTTTCTGATGTTTTCTTATTAAATCTCGAAGGCCATTGGCAACCTGAAAGTATGTTGAAATATTTTCGAACAATGTTATTTGAGAAGCGTTCGTGTTTCACGTCCATTCGTAATCATTTACCTTTATCTGCAACTCTTCAGGTGTAAGACTCCCGTCGTATGGAATGGGCTTGCCTATATATGTTACCAATTTCACCGGAAAGCCGCCGAAGATCGGTACGAGAGGAAGCCTCGTCTTGGCATATATCTTCAGCCATATTCTCCTTCCCCAACTTACTGTTCTAAACGACTCTCTGAGATTTTTCGTAAAGAAAGGAACTATACTCTGTGAAACAATCGTTATTGTCAACAATGGAAGTCAAATAAAACAGTACGAAATTTCTGAAGAGAACATACCACTTTCGCATCCAGAGCGACCTTCGCAAAGCCCATTCTTTTCTTCCACATAAGTTCGTAATAGGGATCCCCAAACTGCGCTTCGAACACGCCACCCGGAGAAATAGCGAGCATATTTCCCTCTTTTAAAATAGCAGAACACGATTGAAGTGTGCCAGGTATAATTTTCAAAACGTCAGCGAATATGGACCAACCCGGGATCTTGAAGAGAAATCGATCTACCACCAGACGGATTAGCTTCGAATTGTATAGAAATATTTTGGATGCAAAATAGTACACATCGACTGGGATAGCTCCATGATAATATATGAATAATACTGGTTCGTCCTGTGGAATATTCTCTAACCCCACAATTTCATATCCTGTAAAAGAATTATTGCATGTTATTTATATGCTAATGAACAAATAATTAATATAGTTCAATTTAGGTGCACTCTAATAAGTCTTATAAATAGACTATTTTAGATTAGAACCCACCATGCCAAATCCAACCATGTGCATCCCAGACAGCTGCAACCATATGAAGAGCTGCGTCTCGCCAAGCAGTACCATAGGCATTTCTTAATCTAACTCTGAAAGAAAAAAAATTATTTCTTTTATGTATGTAAACAAAAGAAAACTGTTTTGAGTACAGACGACTTTGTCAAAAGAGAATATCTCACGGATTAAGATGTATGTTAAAATCTCATACTCGTAACTTTGCATGCTTTGCTATTAAAGATGAATTATTTATAATAGTCAGTTATTTATTATTATTATTATTATTATAATGATCAGTATTATTATAATAACTGGCGTAATACAAATAAAATGTCTGTTCTAATTAATGTTAATCAATTATATCAATATGTATATGTGTTTATACGTTATGTTCTGAAAAGTTTGATTTCTTTCAAACCTGTGTAACTTGTAAATGTACAATATTAAGACATTTAAGTATAGCAGCAGCCCAATTACAAGCGGGAGTAGAAATGTTATAAGTAGTGGCATTAAGAGCCATGTCAGCCACAATGTAAAGTCCAAGTCAATATATTGAACTGAAAATAATACAAAGTACATTCTTTAACAACAATTGAACTGCAATATCCTTCAAAATACATTATAAAAAGAAATATCTACTCATATAAACAAAAAGCGTCTTAACATGCACTCTTACAAATTAATTTTTACAATAGTATAATAGATGTAATGCAATTGTTATAACAGTGCTATGAACTTCTAATGTGATGTGTATCAAAGCTTGTGTTAACACAGCGTTTTTACCTATAATATCTTCTACCGTTGGCCACAAGTCGTATACAATTGAAAACATATTTAGATCATAAAAGGAGACACAGGATCTTTACATCTTCGTAGGAAGCACCCGTATACTTATTGTTACTGCAGCTCCAAGGATTTTCTCATGATTTACACACACATATATATATACATATATAAATCCAGCATGATTAGCATTCATGTATATTCCAGGATTATTTCCATCGAAATTAATTACCACTAAAATCCCATTAAAGTGTCTTCCATCATATTGTATGCATAATCGACAATTAATATTCGGCGTAAATTCGAATCGTCTCAAGTCGTTCCGCAAAGTGACACAGCACCAATTTCATTCTCGCGTTGGTACATTGTAATATCCTTATTTAAAATTGAAATGTATCAGATCATTATGCCTGTCGCATAGACAGTACAATTTCGTAATTCACTGACAGGGCTACGATTTCAAGCCCATTCGGCCCGTCAAGAAGTATCATGTATGGAAGGGAGCACATGCCACATGATATAGTTTTGGTCAAGTAGGATGAAGGCTGATTCAGCTGATTGTGAGAAGCAAAAGAAAAAAAAATCAATTGCGGCAATCTTGACTGATCAGAAACATATATACGTATCTCGGTGTTTTTCACAACACCAGCAAAATTTTTGATCTCCCCCCCCCAACGTCCCCCGTACACTAGCGCCAATTGCTTCCACTTCTGAGATGGAACTACGTAGCACCGCCATTCTTTGATACTGCCGATAAAATCATAGGCAGAGAGAATTCAGAGAATGGAAGTGATTCGAGTCAGCGTTATTCGAATTGATCAATCAAAATATCCCATTTTATTACGTAATTTGCCGCACAACTCCTTGCGGAACGTATCGATTAGGTTACTCGACATTTTAGAGATAAAATAATCTTTTTTTGTATGAAATCCAGGATTGCGCGACAAATTACGCAATAAAATGGGATGTTTTGATTGGTCAATTCGGACAAAGCGACGCGTGACGCGATCAGTGGAAACGCGCCTTTATGCCCGGTAGTTCGCCCCTTATAATTTATTTTGAATTATAATTATAATTTAGATTATATTATAATTTTTTAGATTATCAGAGAACCGGTGTTACGAGTCCTGATTGGACTCGCAAATTGCCAATCATAAGATTGAATCATCGGTATTAGGGCGAATTCACACCTTGACAGAAAAGCGGAAAACAGAAAAGCAGAAGCCAATCAGAACTCGCGTTGGTAATCGAGTTTTTGCTTTCTGCTTTTCTTGCTACCAATGAAAGTTTCTGATTGGCTTCTGCTTTTCTGTTTTTCACTTTTCTGTCAAGGTGTGAATTCGCCCTTATAAATGGCTGCCGAATAAATAAATTTATATCAATAATTGTTATGGTAAGTTGGAATATTTTATTTAAACATAATAATATTTATTCATGCTGTAGTACATAAAAAATATTTTTTAAACTTTTTTTCTTATTGTTAAGAACATATTTTATAATCCGTTTGCCATTCGACGCCATTTTTAATATTTTTCTAGTACTTTTGCGACACTGCCGGTCGCGTTTCTCTGATAATCTAGGACTCTACTCTGGTGGACGTCCGTGCAGTTACGCAAACTGGAAGTGGGAGCGAAGTGGACTGTGGAGTGCCTATGCGCGCATGCGCGTGCGTATGTATTGCGCGCGCGTGTGTGTGTTTACGTGTGTGCGTGGCGCGTACCTGTGTGTGCAGTGTACAGATGATACGGATTTTGCAATTGAACTCGATCCGGAATCCGTGCCGTCTCGGTCCTCTGATGCCGTTCGGCGGGCAGTAACGTCGACCGCACGACTCCACCTGACGCTGAACGAGGCGACGGGCTCGACCGACACCACCACGGAGACGGCGATCCGTGCCCAGGCGTGCTCGCACTCTTCCGGAGCAGGACACAGGTCCCCTCGCGCGGTCGCACAGCTCTAGCACTATCCCACGCATATGACGGACATTCGCGATTTTAACGTTTTCCCTGCGCAACGGCAACAAGAATTAGCCAGATGAAGGTAATCGTCAAAACTGTGTGTCTCGGTTAAACGCGGAACGGTAATGTCGCCAAAAAATGTAAAGGCCACGGAAAAGAGAAAGAGAGACAAAGAGAGAGTGAGAGGGGGATTACGTGTGTACCGTTCTGTTTGTTGTTTATTGTCGAGACGAGTTCTCCGCCTATCCTCCTTTTCACTCAGGCGTGTCGCGGTGCAGTTTAGTCGCGATAAAATTACCATTCGGAGGATCTATCGAGAATATTCGAGGAGCTTTGCACAGTAATTTCACAGCGATCATCGGATCGCAGTGTAGTTCGTGCCGTTTGTTTTTTTTTGTGGGGCGTTTTAATATTTCTTCTGTATCTATTAATAAAAATAAGAATCAGGATTATAGATAACTAAAAATTAAGAATGTCCTTCTGAATCTTTACAATGAGTTTTGTGTGCATAAGTCCTCCCCAAGTGTTTTCTTTGCATGTATAAACGTGTCTTCAGAAATACACGTGTATACGTCTGGTGTATATGCCTGTCATATAACGTACGTTATGCAATGAAATTATTTCATAGATAATGTCAGATGATGACGCTGCACTGGATTCAATGGATACCGAGGAAGAGATGTTTTCTCCTCGCAACCACAGCTTGGAGTCGAACGTCAGGCGGCCCAAGAGCCTGCGCAAGCTGAGGTCACATTCCGGCTCTAATTCCCACATAACTAGAAACAATCTGAGTGTACGTCGCAGTACACGTAATAGAATGCAAACTTATGACAATCTTAATACAAGCTGGATTCTAGGTACGATAGAACAGCACTTTAATACATAGATGAAGAATGCGCTACTTAATTATGAAGCGAAATAGTTTTAACCTTTAGCTGCTAATTCTATATGCAGTTGCATATATTGCGAATTCGTTTCTAGTGAATAAATATTTGGAGTAGTTAATATGTCTTTTAATTACAACGTATCTTGATTTTTTTTTCATATAATTTCAACTGACACAATATTTGTCAAAATTAACAGGAACGCAAACTTTGAAAGGATATCCTATGTTTCAACAACACCCTTCTTCTTCGGACAAAGAGATGGTAGATGATGTCCCTGGTAGGAAACGCGATGTCCGTGAACGTATGCCATTGAGATCACGCGAAAATCATCCTCCAAATAAAAATCCGACGAGGCATCTAAGGGAACGAACGGAGCACGACCGACAAAATAGCAGGGAACTTCGAGCTAGAGTAGTCGATCGTGAGCTTAAGGAAAGAACTGAGCCGGAAAAGGATGTCAGCGAACAGCCGAGACCAGCGAACGAGGAGAAAGACACTAGGCATGCAATTTAATCGAACGTTTACATACGTACTTAATGGAATTTAATGTAATCGAAGTTAAAATGTTTTCTTAGAACAAGAAAGTCTGACAGTCCAAACAGATTTAGAGAGGGTCCTGTAACCAGATTATGCGGAAGTGTGATTGAGAAAACTGAGAAGCCCAAAGTCGAGCAGGAGGAGGCGGATGACGATAGTTCGCGCGAAAGTGAAAAGCCAGATAATAATGATAACGACAATTCAGAAAACGAAGATGTAAGCAAACTTTTTATTGTTAGCTTTTTTTCACCTATCATTGAATTACGTGATCTATTTATGTACCATTTATTTTTCGTTAGGGATATGAGGATATGTATACGCGCATTAAGAGGACAAGGCGTACGGCTCAACGACAACTGCCAAGAGGTAAGAAGAGGGTTCACTGTTTACCTACACTGCTACAGCACAGACATATTTGTTCTCTTTTAAAAATATAATGTCAATTTATGTTCATGTATTTACATGTTTATTTATGTGTGCAGTGGTGGATAGTGATCTAAGCGAATCCTCGGATTCTCCTGGGCCTAGGAAGTATAGTTTACGACAAAAAAAGCCTACCGTAGATAGGTTTCAAGCTAACGTAGAGCCAGTTAGACGTTCTATTAGAGCCCTTAGAAGTGTTCTCAGCAATTCGATGAGAAGGAGGAAGCATAGAAGTAAGAGCACGAGTTCTGCTGACTCTAGCGACTCCGAGCCTCAGCGTTATGACAAGAAGAAGGGCAAGAAAGCACGGTACTTATATTACGAAAGAAACATTTGTCGAGTATTTCGTCTCTTTATTAGTACATGTATATATGAATATGTTACAGACAATCGGCTATACCGCAAGGCGGTCCACCAGATCGGAAAGCTGACATAAATCCTATCACCTTAGATACTAACATTAGATTTAACGACGTCGGAGGTCTGGAAACCCATATTCACTGCCTTAAGGAGATGGTCATCTTTCCTATGATGTATCCAGACGTTTTTGAGAGATACGACGTTACCCCACCGAAGGGTGTCTTGTTCCATGGCCCGCCAGGTATATACAGTAACCGACCTATATATTAAAGTGCAATGTAATGAAAGTTTATTTTAGTTTATGTTTATGCGACTCGGAAATTTATTTCAGGAACTGGCAAGACACTGATAGCTAGAGCGCTAGCAAATGAATGCAGTCAAGGCAACAAGAAGATGGCGTTCTTTATGAGGAAAGGAGCGGACTGTCTGTCGAAGTGGGTCGGGGAATCGGAACGGCAATTGAGATTGTTGTTTGAACAGGCTCAACAAATGAAACCGTCCATAATATTTTTTGACGAAATAGATGGTTTGGCACCGGTCAGAAGTACTAAGCAGGATCAGATACATGCCAGTATTGTATCTACGCTCTTGGCACTCATGGATGGTCTCAGTGATAGGGGACAGGTAATAGAAATGTTCTTTGTTGGCGCTATAGCGTGAATTGAATTTTGGCCTCCAATGTGAAAGTGCTACAGTCCATGTGGACTTTGGCTTTCTCATTGGCTTTCATTACAATTGCAATTTTTAAGAAAAGATTGTAAGCTCTTTACCCAACTTATATTTTGGAGAATATTTATTGTTGCTAGCGCCTACCTTCTCAGCGTCTTAGAAATTATATTACAAGGTTTATATGCTAGATATTTTTGGTAGAGTTTTTTAACTTTTTTTTTTTGTCGAAGGTTATGTTCCCCGGTTGGGGAACTTATGTGCCTTCGATCCAATCCTTAGGGTTCTATGACACAAAGTTACTTGTTCTTGTATAATTTTCTTAATTATATTATTTTTTATTTGTTAAAGGTTATAGTTATCGGTGCGACAAATAGAATCGACGCAATTGATCCAGCACTGCGAAGACCTGGCCGTTTTGATCGCGAACTGTATTTTCCCTTACCGGCCATGAAAGAGAGACTAGAAATTCTGAAAATTCACGTTAGCAAATGGAAAAATCCGCCGTCTGATCAATTACTGGAGATACTGGCGGAGAAAGCGACTGGCTATTGCGGTTCAGACTTGAGAGCTTTATGCACCGAGGCAGTGCTGCAGGGATTAAGGAGAACTTACCCGCAAATTTATATGACAAACGACAGATTATTGCTGGATCCGGAGAGAGTCGAAGTAGGTTATGTCACATGAAGAATGACAAGTATACAATCGACATTTTATTTTAGAAGTCGTTGCTATTAATGATATTAATCAACAGGTAAAGAAACGTGACTTTATGCAAGCAAGCTCTATGCTCGTTCCGTCGTCGCATAGAGTGGCTCCGTGCGCAGGAAGAAAATTACAGCTCTTTATGGAACCGCTATTAGCATCTTCGTTGGAAGAGTTACTTAATTTAATAAGAGGAATATTTCCTCAAGGTGTAAATCCTGCAATGGCGAAGTAATTATTCTTTATGCATACATTACATTATAACGATAAAATTATTAAGAAAAATATATTCTTTTGAATTATCTTATTGTTTCTTTTTTACAGAATGAGAAATGTCAAGGGTATCCATCGCCCAAGATTATTGATCTCGGGTGGCAGTCTTTCTGAGGGTCAAGGACCTTATTTAGCTCAAGCATTGCTGTATTGTATGGAACATCTGCCAGTTCAAATTTTAGATGTCAGCACACTGTTCGCAGAAAGTGCTCGATCCCCAGAAGAAACTTGCGTGCAGGTAACATTACTATATTGAGCCTTTAAATTTATGTATTCGTCTAAAAGTTTTAAAGCTCTTTAATTTTATAATAATTGAAAACGACGTCGATAAAGGATATCTATTTTATGCGTGTATAAAGTTAGCATTCCAATAATAAAATTCCATAGTTCTGATTATAGTTTCTGCTTCATTTTGAAGAGACAAAGAATTCTCTACTTTATGACAGTTCTATTTTATTTTGATAAGAAGTTAGTATCCCATTTTTAAAATTTAAATTAAAAATTGTCATTAAGTACAACTCTTGTTGTAAACTACAGGAAACTCTTCGTCTCTTCAAAATGAGGTGGAAACTCTAATCAGAAATGGAATTTTAATGTTGGAGTGCTAACTTCACATACGTCTATTTTATAGTTCTTCACTTTATGATATTACGTGATATTTATTATATGAAAGAAACAATAGTTTCTATTCCGATAGTTGCATGTTACAGAATTAATATTAATAATTGTGAAATATTATAGGTATTTAACGAAGCGACTAGGAATGTGCCGTCCATAATTTACATTCGATCGATCAATCAATGGTGGCCTCTCGTGCCGGAAACAGTAAAAGCGGTTTTCCTATGCCGTATCGCAGCACTCGATCCTTCATTGCCAATTTTGATTCTCGCAACGAGCGACGCAACGTATCAAGATCTCCCTGATCAGCTAAAGAACTTGTTTAGTGAATTGCGCGGGGAGGTGTATTCCATGAAGACTCCTACCACCGAGCAAAGAATAAAATTTTTCCGGCCCATTTTTATTGTTCAGAGTCTAAGACAGCCACAGATCAAAAGCAACAAAGTAGAGGTTTTAGAAGCACTGCCATTAGCGCCGAATCCGTTGCCAAAGAAATTAACGGAACAGGAGAAGCGGATCATGTACGAGAAGGACGAAGTGTCTCTGAGAGAGTTGAGAATTTTCCTGAGAGAAATATGCGCTAAATTAGCGAGAAATCGACAGTAAGTGTCGTACGAATTGTTTTTACTCTTTCCTTTCTCACAGGGATTTAATAGAACGATGTGTTTCAGATTTTTCATGTTTACGAAGCCAGTGGACACGGAAGAGGTACCGGATTATAATCTGATAATAAAGCAGCCGATGGATCTGGAAACGATGATGACCAAGATCGATATGAACTGCTATCTCTGCGCCCGCGAATTTCTCGATGACATTGATCTCATATGCAGAAATGCTCTAGAATATAACCCAGACAGGTTAGTAGAGATCTTTTTGAAATTTTTTTACCGGTCAAGGAAAACGATCTTCAATCATACGAGCCTTTGTGCGAGAATTATCTCCGTTAACAGAAGCAGTTATTGATATTGTGCTATAACTTAAGGTTCTTCTCTAGCAATACTGTCTTTTTCTATACTGACATTCATATATTGTGTGTTTTCATGTCAGCTTACGTGATAGGCCCTCCCTCGGAATATTAAAGAGGTAGTTGAGCTTTTTGCTGTTTATCCGTAATGCTGTTTATCGCTCCGTAGATAATAGTGGTTTTCAATTTAGAGCGCACCATAATTGTTGATGTTTTGCTAGACACACTATTATGACTAATTCACCACGCATCATTGAAGACCACTCCCATTAGTCATCATTGCTTTCTATCAATGGAATGTTAAGAGTATGAATTTTTTATGCGCTGCTGACGCGTTACGTTCTCTTTCCACAGGGATCCCGCGGACAAATTGATAAGACATCGAGCGTGTTCATTGCGTGATAACGCTTACGCTTTAATAAAAGCCGAACTGGACTCCGATTTCGAGGATAAGTGTCGCGAAATTTCGAAGAATCGTCGAATTTTAGAGAGCCATTGTGATAATGAGGAAGAGAGCAAGAATTCCAAGCAGGAATCTACTTCCACAAACGAGCGAGCGGAGAAGAAGGAGTCTGTAAATTCTAGTCATTCTCTCGTTGTGAACGGAAAGAAATTCGGTAGTTCGAGAAAGCGTAAAATACCCGCTTGGGCTCGCGGTTATGTGAAAAAAGTTCATAAGAAGAGAAAGATCGCTTTCGACGAGAACGTTACCGAGGCGGTCGCGAATAAATCGTTAAACAATGAAACCACCACTAGCATTGATCTAGAAAAATTCCAGGAATTTGAGACCGAGGCGAATAGCGTTTTGAACGGGCATATGGGACTGTTCGACAATACAGATTCGGAGAACGATTCGCAGAATGAGAATTCAAAGGGGAGTCAAAACTGCACTGTCACAGATCAACGAATAGATAATCTCGATGAAATGAAAATATGCTTCGTGGAGGAAGACAAGCCGGTGGGAAATGGCGATTCGAGTTCGTCGTCTCGACGCGAAAGCACGGACGAATTGTCGTTTGCCATCGAAAGCGATACCAGTCGGGATAAGATTGAAGAAAATGAGAAAGTTTTAGTTGACAGAAACGAGCTCGAAGATGCGTTAAATTTTACCGTCGAAGTAACGAAGGACTTTCCCGTCGAGGTATTGTGCGATATCTATGTGCAACTAAGCAGATGCGTTGGGAAGTATGCTCAGAAATACGATAGAAAATCACTGCCAAAGGTAAATATACCTACTTTTTATTGATTTGTAAAAATTACAAAAATCACGGAATGATGAACGCTATTGGCGTATTTAACTAGACATTGTATGTTGGTTTTTTATTGCAAATTTGGCTTTATGCGGACTTCCTTTTAAAGCAGGATTTTATTCTAAGGATTTAATTATAGAATTAGTTTATTTTGCTGTCTTTAATATTAACTGTTTCTTATTCAGTTTATTTTATTATATATTTTTTAGATGAATAAAGTTTTATAGATATATAAATTTTAGGAAAAATTTATTAATAAATTTTTCAAAAATAATTTTAATTTTGTTAAGAATTATAGTGGGCGGAATATTGAATTGAATAGTATTTTTTGATTTTTATTTAATTTACTTAGAATTTGAAGTAAAAATAATTACATTAATTTTATGTTGTGGGGGTATTTTTAACAAATATCGCGCGTTATTTTCAGGACTTGCTCAAGGAAATGGCAAAGTACAAGTCACAACGTCAGTAGAATACAATACGCAGGTATGAAAGAAAATGCATGTTACTAACAAGACAAACGTGCTACATAATTACGCCATTGCGCCACCTTCAGTCACACGTCGGAAGGTCTTTTTTTGTATATTTATACTGATCACAAAGCCGGATATTATCATTGTTATATCAAACAGAACTTTGGAATGCTATATTTCTTAGTTGTTATACTGCCAATTTTTAGGTCAATAACAGCATATATCTGCAGAGTAATTGCATTTCTTATGTAAGATAACAGGCAAATAATTTTAGTTGAATATTTAGTTTCATATATATAATTGGATTGGATTTTGTAAATATTCTAAAAATGCTGTAAATGTCCAATCAAGTGATTATTTGATATTTCATACAAAAAAAGATAATATCACTCTTAATCGTATTAATATACATACATGGCGAAATTAACAAGAAAGAAGTTAAATAGCCATTTTTTATTGCACTCGTTTATACATCTTTTTTAAAATTGATTTGATTTGATTTAAATTTAATAAGTAACATGTGCAAATTTGATTATTATTATTAACTTGATAATAATTCTATTATATCGCGTGATGATAATATTATTATAACGCGATATTATTATTATCGTGTTCAAAAACTTTTTATTTTTGAGATTATATCATTTTTATATAATTACAGTAATAAAAACGAAATAAGGCAAAAGTGAATAACATTCTTGCATAATATTCCTTTAGGATAATTACGAATTTTTGTTTGTGAACACTTGTATAAAAGATTTCAGATTAGATACAGAAGATTCAATTAAAAACTTATCTGACAATATATAACACGTATAACATTCAAGAGGATACAAGTTTTTAATTTAATCTTGGATAATTTAACACACATTATATGTATACAAATACATGTACACATTTTGCAAAATCTATTTTTCTTTCAAGTTACTACATTTGTCGATCATATAAGAGATAGAGAAAATAGTAGAATTGGTACATTGTGTACTTAACTATTTTAATTCAGGTAATCTTCGTTAAATAAAGAATTAATACGACGATTGTCCCGAATTTAGGATTATCGTCTTTTTTTTTAATATTATGACACGAGTTTAACATTTAACATTACATTGCTGACGAGGAATTAGGTCTAGCTATTTTCACCTTGGATTCAAATATGAATTTACACACACGTAGGGAAAGCCGAAATACGAAACAAGTATCTCCTTACATTTGTTACATATAAGATTGTGGTTTTCTCTTCGTGTATCGAAATATACCTCGCGCTACAGAATGTATCAATTCAAATTATTACTAGTATAAGATGGTACACTTGACGTATAAAAACGATCAAAGCTTATTATTCGAAGAAAAGATCTACATAAAAGGATTTAATTTTAAAATATTAAATTGCGAAAGAATTATTCGATGTCTGAGGAAACATGAGGTACTGAATATATCTATGTAATAATATCTTTTCGTCAAAAGCCTATTATCTTTCTAATCGAATAATTGTTTCAATTAAATGCGATCTTTTTTTATAATGATAATCTTTGATCCATCCTGTATTAATGCAATTCAGTTCATACGAAATAACTTAAAATACATATTCGAAATATGACTAGTAATCTGCAATTTAAATAGACCAAAGTTGTAAAAAGGATAAGGTTTTACTCGTTGAAGATGGAAACAGGGCACTTAATATACACACACGTACACTACTATAAATATGAAATACCTCGATAAAAAAATAAATAAATAAATATATATATATGATGCATAAATATATATATATATATATATATTATGCAGTGGCGGCTAGTTAGTCATGTTTAGCGCAGTTTCGAAGACTCCGAAAAGTGAATGACTTAAAAATTGCAAAATTGATCGTTCGCGCGTTAGATCCTCCAGAAATAAGCCCCAGCAAAATTAATTACATGTTAATGTCTGAATTATAGTTGAAAATTGGCGCAAGGAAAAAATACTCCATCTTACTAAATTTTCAGGAAAAATAAATAACATTGGGTTTAAAATCTGAAACCCGTATTGAAGCGATTGCAAAAAATATTGAGACTTCCAGTCGGTCCTAAGCACTCTTGAATATCTGGCCGTCATTCTACAAAATATCCCAGGACTATCGCACTTTCTTCCACTTGACTTCCTCTTTTATTTTCACGACCTCTCGATTTTTTCCTATTTGTAATTCGAAAGTGAAACAGATAATCTGATTTTTAATAGTTCACTTCGAAGCCTACGTCTTGATTTAGGAAAAAGAAAAAAAACTGCCGTTCTTATTACTCAAAAAAATTCACGCTCGAGAAGAACTGTGACGATTCTGGGAGACTTTGTGTTATATGTACATGTATAAATATTAGTGAATATTTAGGATATAACTTGCCTTCCCCAGATTCGTGTATTGGTTGTGACTTGCTGTAATTGTGAACAATTAGTTACCAGACGAAGTCGATATGCGACGAGACGAAAACTCGTTTTCACTTAAGCTGTCCCGGACAGTTTGAAAAAAAGCAGACTCTCTTCAATAACCGTTTTAAACAATACATCGGAGGCAACGTACATACAGGGCGCGATCCATCCTTTACTGTTCAAACCATACAATCGAATAGGAGCTATAGTAAAAACTCTATCAATAAATCTCTCATGTGATCCACGAGTAATATCTTTCTTAGGGATATACGTCGTTGTTGTTAAGATGTGAATTTTTTTCGTTCGCGAGTGTGCGCGATTTAAGAGCTAATTAATCTACAAGTTTTATTAGTAGCATACCCGTTTCTCTCGCGTCAGGTGATGCATTCGTAGCGAAGGAATTTTTGTAGTTAGCGTGATAAGAAATTCGTTCGGCGATTGGATCGTTCGTCGAAATTCGATTGTATTACTTGCGAAATTCTCTAGTAAGTAGAATCGAAAAGACTGAGGTTTAGAAAAAAAAAAAGAAAAGAAAAAGAAACGAAAGAAACGCTCGCTTTTCCCAGCGTTCGTATTATGAATGCGATGTATACACACGTTCTCGATTCTCTCAAGCCTCGATTGAAAACGAAGAAAGGACGAGAGGGAAGAAAAAGAAAGGACCGCTTTATCGTGAATTATCGTCGACAGGGAATCGTACAAGTATCCGGTATTTGCCAAAGAAACTAACTCGACAGATAATGCACTCTAGCAAGACCTCTACTCCCCGCATATAATTATAATAACTGTTGCAAAGTGTTCAGATAAAAATACAGGAAAAGTTACATCGTTAATCTCGCAGTCGGACAAACATGTACATATTTTTCTTCTAGCGATCACAGATTTTACATTCCGTTCTCGAAGTGACGAATCCGAAAGAGACGTGGCGGTTCCGCGATTACGTTCTCGATGCGATACTCGTCGGCGTGTCGTCGTTTTCGCTGTACCACCCCATTAATCGCTGAAATCCGCATTACACGTACATATATATATGTATAAATGTACGCGGTATCGGACCGAGAAAGCTATATCTTGCTAACACTGCCGATTACGGACGAGCGACCACACTTATCTGTCTCTAGCTCATTCTCTTTCTCTCTCAATAACGTCCCTTAAGACTACTCTCTACGAAGAACGAAGTATTAACCCGCTCGAGCTTGAGCTGTAGCATATCAAGTATCCGGCAAATTTTTTCTACTGACGACGAACGCACGCAGAGTAGATGGTAGCCTTAAGAATTTAGGCGCATACACGACGAAGTTGTAAAAGATACGGACGAAAAGCGACGAGATGCATCCACTGCCTTATTTATTTTATCATAAGTAATACATTTTATTGTCATATATTATAGTGAAATAAAAATTTCGTAATGTAACCGACTCGCCGGCGATTTATTTGTATCCCTTTACGTCCGTTCCTTATCTTAATCGTGATATAAATATTTATACCATGGTCCTCTTATATTTATACGATGATACGATTGAAACATGCGAACGTCGTATCGACGCTACAATCGATCCTCGTGACTTTCCGTCTGTTAGCTGACGATAATGTCAGGAATAATGTTGAAATTGAGCAGTAGGTTCTCATAACTCCGAATATAACACTAGCGTAAAAATTCCAGTGACGATACCGGACGTAAGATCACCTCAGGATGCGCGAATAAATCGTGGGATTTTTGCACCGAAACGTCGACGATAGTAAGTGACATTTTTCGCATTGATTATGTCGCAACAGAAGTGGAAATAAATCGGTTTACCTCTCTTTGAGTTTTTGAGAGAAACGAAGGAGAAAAAAAAATGTCATCCGGCGTGGCGAAGGATTTCTCCTGCATCGGAGGACTGGAGAAGCACATCAGGATCGTGAAGGAGATGGTCCTGTTCCCGTTGATGTACGGGGATGTGTATGCTAAATTCAATCTCAGACCGCCGCGCGGTATACTGTTCTACGGTCCTCCAGGTAATGTCAAATGCTTCTTCACGCGAGCTGAATCTCCCTTGGTTCCATTCTTCGCTAGGAACGGGAAAGACTCTCGTGGCCAGCGCGTTGGCGACAGAATGCAGCAATTCCGAGCGCAAAGTCTCCTTCATCTCGCGCAAGGGTTCCGACTGTCTTAGCAAATGGGTCGGAGAGAGCGAGAAGAAGCTCGAAAAGATTTTCTCCCTGGTTGGCAGAGTTCCTTATAATTCCATGAGCTCATTTTAATAATTCATATAACGTCCACTTCAAGGAGATAAATATTTAAATTTAAGATCAAGTTATAATCCTTCTTTTTAAAACTTGACTATCTTGAGCAAATTTTACCGCAAAATCGAATCTGCGTGAAAAATCTTACGTATCAATTTAAGAGTGAGAGTCTTCCTTATCTTCGATTCGAAAAAAAAATAATTTTCTCCAGGCGCAACAGACAAAACCGTGCATAATTTTTTTTGACGAAGTCGACGGTCTCGCGCCTGTAAGATCCAGTCGGCAGGATTTCGTTCACGCCAGCGTGGTTTCTACTCTCTTGGCCCTAATGGACGGTCTGGACAATAATTCCGAGATCATAGTGATAGGCGCGACTAACAGAATCGACGCGATAGATCCCGCTCTGAGGAGACCCGGCAGATTCGACAAAGAACTGTACTTCCCTTTGCCTTGCTACAGCGCCAGAAAGGAGATACTTTCGGTATCGATATCTGCTAATAAAAAGTATCACGAGAAGGAAGAAGATAGAGGAAAAACGTTAATGTTTTCGTATGTTGAAATAGGTGCACATTAAAAGCTGGAAGCAGAAACCGGCACAGAAGTTCTTGGCGTATCTGGCGTCGAAAACGCTAGGATTCTGCGGCAGCGATCTGCAGGCCCTTTGCGCTGAAGCAGTTATGTGCTCCGTTCGCAGAAATTATCCGCAGATCTATAATTCCAAATCTAAGTATCACATCAACGAACGTCACCTCAAAGTAAGGCACTTGGTCACACAACTACCGATTTGATCCTACGTAAAAAACAAATAAAATAAGTTACTTTGCCCAACAGACTTTATATAGAAATTATTTTTATATATAAAAAAATATATATATACATTTCATTATTATATTATTTGGTATATTTTGCATTATTCTTACATAAAATGAAACGACTAAGAGAAATGTCGATTTTTCGGCAAGGTGGAAAAGGAAGATTTCCTGAAAGCATGCCAGAACATCGTTCCCGCGTCGCATCGCGTCATCGTCGCCCCGATCAAGAACCTGTCCTTCAGGATCCAGCCGTTAATGCACGAAGATCTGGCGGGAATCCTGTCGCGCTTGCAGACACTTTGCCCGGCCGGCATGCTGACTTCCGACAACATGTAAGTGAGGTGGAAAAACATTCGGAAGGGGCGTAAATCAAATATTAATCTCCGCCGATCTCTGCATGGAATTGTGCAGTACAGGTAAGGCCTCGTCCAAGGCGAGTAGTTGCCCGCGAATTTTGTTGTGCGGCGACGACGATTCCCACACTCGTCATCTGGGCCCGGCATTGCTGCACACCCTGGAACACTTGCCGTGCCACATCCTGGACGTCACGACGCTGTTCGAGGAAACGGGCAAAGCGGCCGAGGAAGCTATGATACAAGTAGAAATCACTTGCTTCCCCTGTCCTTGGGAAAATGTCACGCGACAGTTGTCCTTTTTTTTGTTGTTGTGATAACAGAAGATCAAAACCGCGCGTCGCACCCTGCCGGCGTTGCTGTACATGCCCGGGGTCCTGACCTGGTGGGACCTGGTGGACGAGACGGCGAGAGTGGTTTTCACCTCTTTAATGCGCGGTCTCGATCGATCGGTCCACATGCTCGTGCTAATGACCGCCCATTGTCGGCACGTTAATCTGCCGCCGGAGGTAGATGTCCTTTTTGTCTTTTCGACACGCTCTCATTTTTTTTTGTTCATGTTTAATACATTCCTGCCTGTGTTTTGTACATATTATTAATTCAATACATCAAAGTTCAAGCAGTTATTTCTGAATTTAAATGATCTTTTAAGTAAACGCGTTCAATTCATTTTGAGATAAATATTTCAAAACGGCAGATTGGAAAAAATTGCAGTAAAAAACGTTGAAAGCAATATTTATAGAATTATTATAGAAAGTAGTCAAAATGGATTCAAGACAAGTAGCAGCATTGATCTCTTAAACGACTGAAAACTTCTAACTAAACTTTCAATGTTGATTGATTTCCAATGCGTTTGCTCTAATTGCAAGTGCACAATTATATTGACCGCCTGTGTCACTTATCACAGATTGCAGAATTGTACGACGATAATCGCGGCGAAGTATACGAAGTAAAATCGCCTTCGCCGCAAAAGCGACGTTCCTTTTTCAAACAGTTGTTCAACGGAAAATCCGACGGTCTTTCCGATCGCTCCTCGCAAGGTGATTATCCGTCTGAAACAATGTATGATCGTCAATAATAAATTAATTTCTAACAAACGCAGCGGATTTGGCGCCACTCTTGTGCCCGAAGAAGCTCAAGGGCGAGAACAGAAAGCCGAGGAATAATGTACACGCCACCGATTCCAGCGGATTACTAGGTACGTTTAAGAGTACACGTTTTACATACATTATTTACCCCCCGTATGGTTAATGTGCATCGTAATGGTCTCTAAGAGATTAGCGCGGCACGTCGCACGACCAGAAAGATTAAAACGCAATCGAAAGCGCGAAATAAGCTCGGAGCTGTACGATCCTCGCACTCGACGTCTTCCAGATCGAGTAACTGCTAATTGACAATCCTATAAGTCCAACCTATATATATATATGATTTCTTAGAATTGAGTTATAAACACATTAATTGTGTGGATCGCAATGGATTTGTGTACTTTTACAAGCTTGACGATTACTAGGAACGAATATTAAGAGGGAGTACAACGCGTCCGGCGAGGGTCCGCCGTCCAAACGACAGAGATTAACGTCGAGTGCCTCCTCGGCCCCATCCAGCACCGAGAAGCTTTTCAGCTCGCAAATTGAGGATTTGATCGAAACGATCGTTAGATCGACCGACGAGTGGCCGAGTCATCTGCTGGAGAGCCTGTTCTCCTCCCTCGAGCTCGCAATGGAGAACAACGAGGATCTGTGCGCGACGGTCAACGAGTACGTCGCGCGTTTCGAAGAATTGAAACGGGTCAAAATGCGACCGAAGCAGGAAGAGGATTGATCACTAATTTGATGAAATTGTCCCTCTCGTGAATCGTTCACGTGAATGTCCGAATTTGTGAAATGTAACGCGATCGAACGCAATAACTGATACGATGAAAAATTCGTGGAATGTAATATTGTGATGTAATCAATTTTTTTTAGAAATATGAGTGAATTTAAATAATAATCATTTTAAAAGTACGAGGATTTATTTTAGAAACATTTGACAGCAATTTCACCAAAAAAAAATAGCATGTATTTATATATATTATTTTATCTTTAATAATTCTGAAGGTCTAGCTTTATTTTCGACGTTCAAAATATTGACATGCCCATTCATCACTAGCATATCAACACGAATTGTTGTCTGACTGCAACACACCTGTTGTACCGCTCAAGATACAATGGAATGATTGGAATGTGTGTGTATTTATACAAAAAAACATGCTTGGCCTTGTATTGTTAGGAACTTCTTAATTGTTAAATGTTCGCACAGAATTATTACTTGTCAAAATTTCACAGAGCTGGTGCATTCATTTTATTGATTTTTCGATAATGATACGCTCGATCTCTTTGCTTTTATTATAAGGAAAGATAAGCTTCGCGATGTTTTAATTCCAATTTGACTTTCGCAACAAAATGCATTCATGTTGCGAAATGCAATGAAATGTGCTAGTTAGTAAATGTTTAAATGTTAAGTTAGCTTCAAATAGAATTGCCTCTTCGAGTTATATGTTCCGTGCATTTCTCTAATGTGTCGATGACGATGATCGTCTTTTCTCTCCCTTCGTGACTCATAAGATTCGAATCGGTTTCTCCTACTTGAGAGGGCTTCTGGCTGCAGTAGAGGGGTCCGGCAGCGAGATACAGCGAGCTTATCAGTTGGTGTGCGACTGCAGTGCATTGCTGTGGATCGTGTTGCATCCTGTATCTCGAGTGCTTCGTGACGGGAAATAACGTGCTCTATTTCAAAGCGAAGGGGGGCCTGAACGTTGTATATTAAAATCGACGGTGGTGTATCGTCGGAAATTTTCTCTCTTTCTCTCTCTCTTTCTCCACTCTTTCCCCATCGAAGCTTCACCGACCTGTGTGCGTGTCGGATGCGTGACAGCGACGAGAAGCGACGAGGAAGTCACGCAAGCAACAACGGTAACGCGTGGACGTTTTTATTTGCCACACGCGATATTACCATGGTACACGGATCGATCTTTTAGCGCGACTTTAATCATGGCAATCCCCTTCCTTGTTCCTACATAAAAATCATACTGCCGCGAGTTCTACGAAGTTCTCTTAACAACGCTACGGAAAAATATATAAAAAAATAGATTGATGTTTTTAACAAATATTTATTACAAACATGTAGAATGTTAAAAATCCTAAAATATTATAATTTTCTATATAACGTTGTAGCTTCCTTTCAAAAAATAGAAGCGCCGCTGATACCTAAGTGCTAAAGGGAAAACGACATTTTGGCAGTAATACTATTCTTAGAAAAATTGCTTGACACATACATAGTGCGCGATATTGACGAAGACGACGAAAACAAAAGTCGTGTAAACGGACGAATTTCTGAAAATTTGCTTTTTCTTTTAGATTTCATGACATACGTAGACTCACATGTTTCTTATAACACAAAAGAATTCATTAATAAAATAACATAAAAATTATATCTATATTTATACTAATATGGCATATACATAATTTAAGTAGGAATGTAGACGCAAAATGAGATGTTTATAATCATTTAGTTATAGCGGAATTATTGCTACGAAACGCTCGCTATTCAATCGTACAATCAAAAATTAAAAAAAATAAAAACTCAAATAATATAATGTTTAGACCTATATAGTAAAAACATAATTCTTTTTTCTCTCATTTGTTTAAAGGTCTTAGATTAACAACATTTATAAATTTTATTAGCATTTTAAAAACGTTTATCCATTTTTACAGCAAGAGCAAATAAACTGAGCGAGATTAACAATTGTGAATTATTCACATTTAGGTTTTGAACATCGAATATATTTGTATCTTTTTATAATCTCAGTTATATTTGCGATTTTCATGATAAAGCGAAAATTTTTCTTCTCGGAATTGAATATTAATATTACACTTATTCAATTCGTTTGAAATATCACAATCTTTTTGTTCATTTGTTTAAATAAAGAAAAACGCAATAGCGATAAGAGAGCAATAATAGAAAGTTTACTCTCTTTTATCGATATCTCTTTTAAATATATAAAGTGAATTAATGTTCATGTATGAAAAAAAAAATATATCATAGATTAATCATAAAATAACATTTCCTTCCTAAAATTTGAAGAAAACAGAAATATAAAAGAAAAACGAAAGAATTGGCACATTCTTTGTTTGGCCTTAAAAAGATTTACGGACTCATGCCTCCATAACGCAAGTTAAGGCTACAATAAGTTTTTGCCGACATACATTCAGTCTATCACAACAGCTACTTCATTATCATTCGTTTTTAGTTCATTTAGTTCACTGATATACATCGGATCGCTCGATTGCTTCGCTATTTCGAAAAAATCCTGGTGAGCATATACCGAGTACTCTTCTAAGTTGTTATTAATTTCCGGTAGCTCGTTGTAAAGTGTGATCCCGTAATGATGTAGATCCTCCAAATAAATGCCCAGCTTTTTGTCGAAGGAATTCGACAGAAACTGATAATCACTTTCAGTCATAGTCATGAATGACGAATAATCGGACGGTTCGAAATTCCTAAATGCGACGTTGCATTTTTCTGGATAGACGGTCGAGGGCAACGTAAACGTGTCGCTTATAGTGTTTTGCACCAGCATCTCTCTTTCCATGCGATTGGGCGATTCATGATTGATATCGCTTTGCGCATTTCCCCTTGTTATTCGCAGCACCTCTTGCACGTCATCGTCAACGTTCGAGTCAGCTCTTATCGATTCGGTTTTTTTGTTGAACCGAGATAAGGGAGGTGACAAACGTTTCGCTGTCGTGTCTTCGTCGAGGCCGTAACTCTTTCCTTGGTTAATAATTATTTCCACGGAATCTATTAGAGAATTGGCTAATCCAGCGGTTTCTTTGGTCCCTGCAACTTTATCAGACCATCTGATTGAATAGTGAGGGCTTTCGCTGGAAGAGTTTTGTTTGAACATGAGAGGTGATTTGTCGGACGTCTCCGGCTGGCCATTGAGAAAATCTTGAGCATCTTCGTCAATGAGCGAAATATCGCTCTGATAATATACATTTCTTTTTTCTCGTTCGTTCGCTATCCGAGAATTTTCCTCGTCGCAAACGTCTATGCCGTTTGCAAAAGTTTTGAAAAACACGTCCGCCGCGGTTTGCTGAGAAGCGAAGTAGCAACGATCTTTGTGCCCCTCGCACGAACTGTCGCTAACGGGGACTGCGTTTTTAAGCGGGGAATTCGAGATCTCTACGAGACTCCCCTTCCCCATCACGACAGCACGACGCGCTATTGCGTCGCCTTTGATAGACGCGAATTTACCTACAATGTATCGATTCGCAGCTTTGTCGGGCCGTATGTCGTGTTGCATGTGACTCTTGTCCACAATATGGTTCGGGAGAGACAAATCGATATTCCCAGCGCAGTCATCTTGACGTCTCTCATTTTTCAGAGAGACCAAACTTTGCGTGCAGACGTCAACGAAGTATCCGGGGCTATTCTGCGTTTTTATGTACCTCCGATCTAGCGTTACGTCTGTTGTCGTTTCGCCATTCAGTTTGAATCTCACGCGTACCGTCCCACTTTCTCTCCGACGTTTACCTCCTTTCCTGAATCCATGCTTATGTATCAGTCGCTTGTGAATCCTCAGATCCGAGACGATGCCGAAGGTCATGTCGCAGATGTCGCATTTCTGCCCGACGTCGCCGAGACTCATCTCGTGGTCCAGGATATTCATCAGCGATCCCATAGCAGCGTTGTGTCGCCATCGCGTGTGCAGAGCGACGTCACTCTCACATTTGAAGTCCCTGCCGCATATCTTGCATGTACTCCCGACAATAACGACGCTGCACTCACGCAGAGTCACGGCAGCAGGAAAACGAAAGCCTTTTCCGTCCGCTTGCATGTCGGCGATACGCAGCTCGTTCGCGTCCGACCCGTGACAGACTCTCCTCCGTCCTCGGCCTCGACCGTCCTCCTCCTCCTTCTTCCTCCGCCGCTCTCACCGAGCGTCCGCGTCCTCCTGCGACTCCGCGTCCGCGCGGCGCGCCGCAACTACCGTCTACCACCCCGGTATCCCCGGTGACTCGTCGGCCCCGTCGCCGACAAACTTCGTCGTCTGTCGTCAGCAATAAAACTTCGCTCGACTTTGTCCTGGCTCGGATGTGGCGCCACCTCGTGTCTGTAGATACGACGCGACCTGGTAGCGGAATAAAAACAATTGGCAATTGCGTTGCTTAATTTATGTGCCGTGATACCGTTGTCTGGTTGACAATCGAAGAAAGATTCGGTACCGTTATATATTCGAAATATATTTTGTAATTGTCAATCACAGGACCACAATATCCCGGAATAATAGACTGATGAAGAAAAAAAGTTGCTTGGTGTGTGTTTTCCTGTGACTCTTAACTTCTTCACACACCTTCTTCTTCACACACCCAAAACCCAAATGAAAAACTGGCATTCATAGTCTAACATACGGTAATTCTTACTTCAAGACCGTCTTAAATGTCTTAAAATGCTAATACTGTGATTATAGCTTATGATATCTTAAAATTATATATATACTTAAAATGGTCTTAAATATAAAAATAGATTATGAATACCAGCCGAAATTTTTTTATCTAATATAATATATTTATATCTATAATATAATGTATATATAATATATTATAATAATCTAATATAATATATAATATAAATATTATAATCTGTTATAATATAATACAAGATTCGGCGAATTCTTCCAGTTATTTTCCTAACTCACTTATACAAATATCCACTTGTTTCGTTTTCGACGAAATAAGAAGGAATGTTACACACACAAAGCTAATTTCACACAATTGAGACACACACAAAGATTGAAACGAAAATCTTTAGCAACATATATTAAAGTTATAGACAAAATTGAGAGCATTCCATGCAAATAAAAAAGGAAGAATATTACACCGGCTACAAGCTTCAATTCCTCATAAAATAAATAAAAACTGAATTATTTAATAAAAAAAGGATTTTAAGAAAGCGATATAAAAAAACAAGATAGAGCACGTCGATGATGTCGTCGTGCGAAATCTAGGAAATATGTAATCGACAACGTAATCATAATATGTTATAATGGAATTATAATCGTAATAAAATTCAATATAAAATAGCTATCTTATAAATGTTATTTCTTCTTTGTTCTCTGTATATATTTGTAAACGACTTTTTCCAATAACAATTACGCCAGACAGAGACGTTAAACGTTTAATAATAATATGAATTTGATAGATATAAATATTGAGAATAAAGTTATAATCATAAAATTATAAAAAATGTTAAAGATAATTATTAATTATAAAATATTAGAAAAATGGTATGTCAATTGTAAAATTTCCGATATACACATCCTGCCTCAATATTTAAAACAATATTTAATTATAATTTATTACGCGGCTGTTTTCTTCAACAAACATATTTGAAAAAACATTTCTACTTGTAACATCGTCTATAATTTTATTTTCTTTAAACGCACCTTGTATTAATTGTAAGATGACATTTATCTCTCACGTAGACGTTATGTAAAACTTCGTAGAAAATAGAAATGTTCTCGTGGGGATGTAACTCACTCAGTTGAAGACTGATCGCGCTACTACTGAAGACTGACGCACCTACTTCGCTTTCCGTACAATATGGGAGCACTTTAGGGTATCTTGCATTGGCGACAAAGAATTATTGGCAACACCGCTTGCTTACGTTTCTAGCTTTGTTTACAAAAATATGTTTATTAAGAACTGTGTACTCCTCTCTGTAATTTAAAAAAAATTATTCTTATAACGTATTTTGGATTATTTGAAAAACACGCACACACAACCGGAACACTATATATATACAATTTTCAACTAAATTGATCATTCTATTTTTAAAAATTGTTAACCCGATGTTACACATTAGAAATATACATAACTGATTTCGTCATGCGTCATTTCGCATATAAACTTTTAATTATATATTCATATTTGATTTTCAGATTTTAATAGATTATTCGACTGTGATATTGACTGTTATATAAATGTTTTAACCACGATAAGAACAGATATGAATCAATGGATAACAGTATTACAAAGGCATCAGGTGTTTGTAATTAATTCTTGAAAATGATTTTTTGGAAAATAAATTTATTATATATACGGTTGAATTTATAATAAAATAACCTTTAATTTAGTTATAATTATTTTTTAGTTTAAAAAAATGCTAAGTGATATATATTAAAAAATATATAAAAAAATGTTATCGTTATTTTTATTTAACTGTTAAAACTATTTAACTTTTATTGAAACATTTATTTCTATTTTTTATAGTTTTGACAATATTTGCTTTGAAAATAATTTATTTTTTTCAAAGAGATATTTCATCCCTTAGAAAAGCGTAACATGCATTTCTAAAAGATTTGTGTTTTATCTTGGGCTAAAATATAACATAAAAGTTTATTAAAATCGGAGGTGAACACTACTTTTGTGCATTTCTTTGTAAATAGAATTTATAAAATTACAATTAATTCAAAAGTTTAAATTGTAGTATCGTGGAATCGTCCTTTTCAAGAACTCTACATTTAATCACAATACTGAGCGTTTTTTTCCGACTCTCGTAAAAATGTGCTTTCTATTAATTTATTGCTTTACATCACGAATTAATTGTTGAGTTTTGATTCGGACGTATGATCTCTGTATGACTCCATCGACAGATATTGCATTTTCTTTTATACACAATTTTAAATTTTATTTAGCAAAAATTGTCAACTTGCACTAAAGAAGGCTCTGTGAAGCCAGAAACGTTCGTTAGAGAAACTTTTATGTACATCGAGTACATAAAACTTATATGAATTTCTTAACAACGTATCAGATTATATAAATCAACGTTTATTAAAAATACTAAAATAATAATTTATGCTCGTTATCATTGGCCCTTTTTACACGTTAATTGTTCATTATTTCATTATTTTAAAATTTTATTTTATTACAACAACATGTATAAAGAGTTTATGAAAATAACATTAATATTAGGATTTGCCATAATCTATTTTAATATATCGAACTAAAAAAGAAGATTTACTTCGAGTCGCAATAGTTGTTTATATGAAAATTACGAAACCGAAAATGCCGCAAAAAACAACATACATGCAAAACGTGATTTAATCTTTCATGTATCTGTTTCTTCCTAGATGAGTTACTAGCATTACAATAACATTAATATTTCGTCGTAATAGTTGTTCAAATGCAGATTACATCAAAATGTCACAAGATACGCATGTGATTCACATTTTATCTTTCATGCATCCGTTTCCTTTTAGATGAGTCTCTACCCAGTAAAATATCTTAATTATATCGTTTGCATCATGACATGATAATGTCAATTGGCATTTTTAAGCTTTTAAAAATAAATTGCATTGGTCTGTTTTTCCTTCGAATTGTTTAACATAAATAGAATAAAATGTATATATCTTAGCGATTATTTTTTAAAATATATATTTCTTAAAATATTCTTCATTGAAAGAACATGGAAACTGCTCACATTTCTTCTAGAGCAATCTTCTTATCCAAAAAAGAGGCATGTTAAGTCGATCAGTAATCTTATCGCGCATCTTTTTTTAGATAAGAGGATTGAAGATAAGAGGATTGATTTCTTTAGAAGGAATGTAAACAATTTTTATGTTCTTTCTCTGAGGAATATTTTGAGAATTTTTTAAAATTTATAACATAGAATTGTATATGACCGTGTATATTAAATTTATGACTTTGTACGTTATTCTTAAGCGGGTTTAATAACATCTGTATATATTTATAATTAAACCAGCCAATCAAAGCTATTCCTCTAAAGAAAAAAAATAATTGTGATTGGCCAATTTCATAACTACAGATGTATTAAATCCGATTAAGAGTGAGGTATAAATGTTTCCCAGATAGCCAAATGCAAAATGACTAAAACACACTATGATTTTCAGTAGTTTATTATACTGATATCGTATAAATCAGTGTTGTCAGTTACTGATTCAAATTATACCACAATGCCAGTATTAAAAAAAAACTGCGTGCTATAATTTTAAAAGCGCACGATGTTATTATTACGGGTTTTGTGCCGAATCTTCGTGCCCGTTCCGAAATCATAGTACGTTACGTAGTTTTTTTCCATGTTCGATTGTATTGTCAGCACAAAAACTTTATTAGTAGTAACATTGTGTCGGCAACGTGCCGTTAACGTGCTGTTTTGCATGATTTGTTTCATGTGAATTCACAAATTTAAACGCATGTCTTACATGAATGTAACATATGTACATGCGCGCACGGCGTATATACATATGTTTCAGAGAGCTTATCATGCCGACTGCATACAATTATTATGCTGTTTAATTGTTGTCTAGGTAGTCTATGTTTTTGACATTAAAACATTTAAAACATATAAATTATTAATTAAGTCAATCAAAATTTAATCAAAATTACCCCATTTTTTTAAATTGATGTCTCGTATTTGTCAACATATTTTTCTATCTTTCTATGTAGATGCTATTAAAAATTGTTATTTCTTATATCGATTGATCAAATTGATATAAGAATATCTCTGCGTCGAACGTTCTCTCTGCGGTCGTTTTTTTAATGTAACTATTTCTTTCGTATATATGTGTCAATATAATCGTTATTTCTCATTTCTTACTCATACATTTCGTACATCTTTATCTCCATCATCGTTATGCATTTATATTTTCGTTTAATTGTCTGGAGATTCACTTTAGAACATAATAGATATCAATTATTATTTTTATTGTCACTATTTCAGATTTGTTCGATCGCGGCAAATGTATCTGCAAACATGGATAATCGCGATAGCGCACCTAACTTATGCCCGTAAGTATTCTTCGCGACGATGTATTACCAAATTGCGTGGAGCTCAAGAATTCGTGATGCCGTATTTCTGATAGAGCACGTCGTCGCCAAGCACGGGCTATGCAACGGCTACAAGTCCGGCGAGGACGATCTTCAGACGTTCGAGTTTATCAGCAAGCTGAAATTGGATCTGCTGGACATGCGTTACAGCGGCATGACGAAGGTCCGGGGCAGTGATCGCACACAGACGGCGTACCGGCTAGAGAAAGGCACTGATGTCACCCTCCCGACGAAGTATTCAAATTATCTCGCGTAGAAACAACAGCTCGGCGACTGCAGACTCCAATTAACTCGGCGATTAATACGACTGGCAGAATTGCTTAAAGCAAAATTTTCAATTATATAATTTCTTGCCTCTAATATTTTTTCTTCCAATCTGTTTCAGTATCAAATAATAAAAAAATAATAAATATTTTTCTGTATCAAATAATAAAAAGTTCTGTCTATATGTTAATTAATATGTTAAATAATTGATTGAGTTAATCGAAGTTTGGTGAAATCCAAACATATTGTTAGTCGACATGAAATCTGCGGAAAAAAATAGTAACTTAAATATTAATTAATGAATGATTAATTCTTCAAAATAAATTTTCTGAAAGTTTTCCTGTTAGAAGCTAATATATAAATTAGTGAAATGCCGATTCTTTTTTTACGTATCAATTTCTTTTTCAGGAATATCACGCTCAGCGAGCTTCCAGAAGAATTCTCGTTGGTGTATACATTGAGAGCTAGGAAATCACCGAAGTATCCTTGGCACGTCATTAAGATAACGAACGCGAATGGTGACGCTCAGTTTCTCATCACGATGAATTCCCGAAAGCGAACGCTGGATTTTTCGTTAATCGATCACGAGGAAAAATTACAAACGATCTCTTTCCTTAATTATCGTGTGAGTGTCACGTCCTGTCATCATTTCAAAATAGCTCGTTTTGAACATTGTTTTTTGTGATGGTCCTGTATTTCTAAAATAAACACGTGGCATCGTTAAACGGAGCACTCGGGCAACAAAAATAAAATCGTCGTGGAGAATTGTCTAAATCAATAAATAAGTCGACTATATTTTCTTTTGTAAAAGATGTTGATATTTATGTTTCTCTCCTTTTTCTTTTGCAAAAGATGATATTTATGTTCCTCTCTCTTTGTTGAGATATTGTATCGCAGGTAGAAAATTCCAAAGCGAGCGCATCCTGATGCGATGACAACACGATGTGGAATGCACCGGTCATAAATTCTATCGAGTGGTTTCTTAAAAGTGTCGCCGAGAAGCAAAAGAAAGAGAGAGAGAGCCGGAGATCGAGCCTGTTGTTAAAATCGATTATTATGCATGAGTGTTTTGCTCCACGAATTTATTACGTAAGCTATCGCGTGTGATGCGTGCCGAGCCGCAAAAGTTGGCGCGTGAATGGTATCGTCATGCTATCACACAGAGCAGACATAACGGATGTAAGTCACGTCGGATCGCTTCGTGCGCAAAATGTCACTTCAAAGAGTCTCAGATGTTAGAAATCCTACCGCTGCAGAAAAATGAATCTCACGCGATCGATAATAAGGCGATAAGAGAAGACGTCAGTCTTTTGATCGATGAGGATTTGCAAGCGTGTTTTGAAACAGCATGCATTTATGAAACTAAATATTCTCTCGGCAATGAGTCTTAGAACTCATTTGTACCTTTCTACATTATTATCTTGTCTAGGATAGATTAAAACTTGATTAATTGCATTTTGCGTCGTTGGCTAACGTTGAGAAATATTTATGTAATTTCTTATGAAACAGGTGTTCGACAAGGGTTGGCACAAGGTAAACTTCGGGGTGTTCAAGGATAAGCTAGTTCTCAACGTCGACTGCGAATTCATTGGCGTGGAAGATTTAAAACCACACAACTCGATTAAAGTCGACGGGAACATATCAATAGCCAAAATGAGCAATAGTAAGATCACTGTACCGGTAAGATTTTGTTATATATCCCAGATTTGCATACGAACTTAATTATCATGCTGCTTAATCATCTACTGTTCAATTTGATCTCCCTTTTCATTGAAAATTCTTTAACGAATTTCGATTCTATTAAAATCGACTTGTCTGCATGTTCATTTAATGTTCACGAATTGCATCGCTATTGTCGGTGCGGAATGCGCATCTTTCAGAGACAAAGTTACGTGTCGCAATTAAATAGCCCGTTATTTAATCAACAACCGCTTCGTACAGAGCGAGTCTGAAACCGTCAGTAGGACAAACTGAATTTAATATTAGACTCTTTGGCTTATATCCAGAACACGACATTACAATTCTAACAAGTTGAAATATTATTGTTCATACGAAAAAAGATGTCAAAAGATATACGTTCTTAATAAAATTATACCTGAAATACATTTTATTAAATATATCCTAAGATTATAAATATATGTCTATTTACATTATCTTCAGATCGACCTGCAATGGATGGTTCTAAATTGCGATCCAATGAGACACGAGAGAGAAACGTGCAAAGAATTACCGGTAAGATTTATATATTTCGGCAAGATTTAACAGAATCGAACAAAAAGATTTAAAATCTGACTCTAAATGTAATGTACGTGATCGTAGAAGGCAATAGAAGCTGCTTCACTTCAAATAAAACCTACCTGTGATACGATCTGTCCACAAGGATCACCTGGATTTAATGGTACAAACGTAAGTTCTTGTTTTATATTTTTTAAGTATGTATTTATGTATATTATAAGTTAATTTTCAGTATTAAAAGTGAAGAATTTAATTAAATTTTGATTACTTATAAAAATAGTCATAAATCATTAAACGAATAAATTCTACGATTTTTCTATTAATTAAAATTGCATGAATTTTTTATTTTTTTCAATAATTTCGGAGATCATTGATAAAGAAAATCGTATCAGGGATTTCCCGGTCCACCTGGGCCACCCGGAGCACGAGGACCTATTGGTGCGACAGGCTCGCCTGGATTTCCAGGGCAACGTGGATCGTCAGGGGAACAAGGAAATACAGTATATTTTTCTTATTTATATATACTAAACATGATAATGTATAATTTTTTATTTTATTTAATTAATTTTTACACTTGCAAAATGTAGACAAAATATGCATGCAAAAAAGGAATATAAGAGATATATACTATCAGGGAGCTCCAGGTAATATTGGCGCCAGAGGTTTCCCGGGATTGCAAGGTTTTAAAGGATCGATCGGCCCCGTGGGACCACCGGGTTTACCAGCACAAAAGGGTGAAAGAGTAAGCGCTGCTCTTTTAAATTATACATTATTACATGGCTAGGAAATTTCTTTATAAAGAGAATAATTGAAAAGTAAATCTTCTAATAAGGGCGATATGGGATTCCCGGGTCTAAAAGGAGACCAGGGTATTCGAGGGCTTCCGGGCCCTCCAGGGAATATGAGCCATTTTTCATATTTTCTTGGATCGCCAGAATACAAGGGTGAGAAAGGAGCCAAAGGTGAACGAGGGGATAACGGCGTTCAAGGACGGCCGGGTGAAAAAGGTAATTGTACGTTATTTCTTAGAACGGGAACATCAGATAAACCACTCAATTAAGAAAGATTAAATCCACTCGTGAAATTCTGAAAGCGCGTATCCAACAATGTAATTCGATCTCGTTAGAAATCGCGTCGAGATGTGTAATTGCGTTATTCTGTGTCGGCGATGGAGCGAGAGAATACGGCTGCTCGATTAATACACTCGTTGTCACTGCAATGTCTAAATCAATTTATCGTCTAAATCTCGGTTATGTCACAATGAATATAATGATCTTACATAATGCTTGCTTCTAGATTATAACTATGACTAATTTTTTAATAGAAAACATGAGTGATACATAAATTCTGAAAATCTGAAAATCGTTCCATCAAAATTGACCGTAGATTTATCATAACGAGATGAGACAGCAATCCGCACCGTTCGCGAGATATTAATTTGTGCTCAAATGTATAAATCGGCCTCGCTTTTATGGTCTTTTTATTAACATTGTACAACATAAAAAGTCACGATTCAAATAGCGACTATTAAACGGTTCAAGCGATGCATGCTATTCCACGTATCGTTGACCCAGATGCGTTCATTCGCAGTCATTGTAAATCAATTTATCGCAATCTGTGGTAATACGTGCTCATTCCTAAATAATTCAAAATTATGCGCTTGTAAGTACCTCAGGAATCAAAGTTAATTACGCAATAGAGAAAGCGAAATTTTATTAAAAGTATTTATTACACAGTGTTACAGAAAAATTCTCTCTGAAGTACGATAATACGTTTCTAGAGGCAAATTCTGTCAACGGTATCGTATTCGGCGTGAAAAAATTTTCGAAAAACGTTATAACGAATTGTTGCACTTCGGAGAGGAAAAAAAGTGTTTTTTTGTCACACTGTGTAAATATTTAAGTGATTTAAATGACTCAAGAAGCAGAAATTACTAAAAAAAGGAAGCATCTATTGTAAGCGATTTTCGCAAACATTCCGTAAATTTCGTAACAACTGCGCCAATGTCGCAACTAATGATTATAGGCAACAGTGGCGCAAGATGAACTCAAAAAATGCAAATGGCTCCAAAATTCTGCAAAATTGCAATTATTCCTCATAGTAATTGAGTAATAATTGCAAATTGCTGACACGCGCCAGGGAATAAAACCCACGGGCCAGCGAATCACGTCGGAGTTAATCATGAGAGTTAAACATCGGACTAAGTCCGTCGCTGTTAATCGAAATAAGTGCAGTATATAAAAAAGTACTGAATAAAAGTGACATTTATTGTAAAAGATACTACAATCCTCTTCGCGACGACAATTTTCTACTGTTGTACTCTACAAAGTACAACACGTCATATGAAAGTGTATTAATTAAATCACTATAAAATTTAACAATTAGGCGAACCTGGAGATAGGGGATTTCCAGGATCAGCTGGAATCGACGGTGCACCAGGTATTCCTGGTTTTCCGGGACCTCCTGGTCCTCCTGGACCCAGAGGCAGCAATGTATTTACGAACACTTCCAGTATTCCAGGACTACCAGGCTCACCAGGACTGCCAGGATTGCCGGGACCTCCTGGTAGGCCTGGATCGAAGGGCGATATCGGAGAACGTGGTCGAGATGGTTAGCAATCTGTTAACTAAAAATGAAACAAGTATTAATACATCACTAATGATAACTGATCTTTTATCGATGTTACTGAGATATTTATTATCTTTCAAGGCATACCGGGATTGTCAGATAATAGCGTCGTACCTGGCCCTGAGGGACCTATCGGTCCTCCTGGCCTTGACGGTCTCCCAGGTGCAATCGGACCGATAGGCCCTCCAGGGCTATCTGGAGATCCAGGAAAGGCTGGAGATCCAGGATTACCGGGACCGCAGGTATTTTGTTACTTCGAATTTATATATATATTTAATTATAATTTGATTATTATTATTATTGGTAAATATTTCGATGAAGAGAGACTGCTCCAATGACCTTGACCTTAACATATGTCAAGGTTATGATCCTGAGTAACCTTCAACAGATTTTAGCCCTCGCTCGTTCTTTGTTAAAAAATTATTAATAAAAAAGGTTATAATATAACTATATAAATGTACTGTTTCACATGGGTTTATGATTTTCTACGCAAAGCGAGTTTCAACCCTCCTCTCCCCCCTGTGTAAACCCATGTGGAACAGTATAATTATAATTTATAGACCTCGTTTCGCCCGTACACAGAGGGAAGGGGAGGGTTGGACCTCGCTTCGCGTTGTAAAGTAAAATGGTTAAAATCTAAGGTTGAAGGTCACACAGGGTCATGTCCTTGACAACATATGTCAAGATCAAAGTCATTGGAGCAGCCTCCTTTCATCGAAATATTTAACTTATTATTATTTTTGTCCCAACGAATTAATAAAATAATACACTTTTTTGTGACATTGTTGCACGCAATAAGGGACTTCCAGGACCACGTGGAGAACCGGGGTCTCCAGGGTCTCGAGGTTTAGATGGGCGCACAGGATACCCAGGAATCCCAGGAATGATAGGCCTGAAGGGTAACAAGGGACTGGAGGGCGAACGAGGTCCCGTCGGACCTCGCGGGCTGCCAGGAAATTCGGTAAGAGAATGAGCGAAATGGATATTATATTATTCGACAATCTGCCAATTGTATATTTATTCTATATTTATTGAATGGTCGACCCACGTAATTTCAGAATAATATTAATTATCATATCAATTAATTAATTTACTTAATTAGGGCTCAACGGGCTCACCAGGAACACAAGGTTTACCAGGAATGGACGGTCTACCCGGTCTACCCGGCCCTCCGGGATCAATAGGGCCACCGGGACCTCCAGGTCCTCCCGGTCTTTCAGCTACGAATAGCAGCTTTGATAGCATCGGTATTCCTGGTCTTGAGGGACCTAGAGGTCCACCAGGTCTTCCAGGCGTAGTAAGCATCTTTAAAAAAATAGAAAATTTCATAAAATTATATAAATTATAAAAATAAATAAATTAAATTATATAAATAAATAAATCTTTAGTCACAAATAGCTCAGAAGTGCCATTGCGAGCCGACACGGATGTTGGTGTATAATAATTTTTTCTGTTACAATATCTTGTAATATACAATATTTATACACGCCAACAATTCCGTGTCGGCTTGCAATAGCACTTTTGAGCTATTTATGATTATTCATTATATATACGAGTCTCTATTTCTTCAATTTAAATAAATCTTTAATTTCCGATGAATGAATTAGCCAGGTGAAAAAGGAGCTCCTGGAGAACGAGGACTAGAAGGTCCGCCAGGATTCCCTGGAATGCGCGGTGCAGACGGACCGCCTGGATTTCAAGGCCCTCCCGGGAAAAGGGGTGAAACGGGATTACCCGGCCCTCAAGGTCTGCCGGGACGTAGTATAAGCGAGGCGGAAATTCGCGATATTTGCACCAATGTTCTGAGAGGTGATTTTCACTACGAGAGACTATTTCTATAAATATTAAAACTTATTAATATTTAATTGATCCCTCAAATCGACTCTTTTCCATAGAGATAAAAATTAATTAAGTCGTTTAAACTCCAGTTACTTTGATCTGCAAAGTTTGGAACGACGGCTATTTTATTAACACAAGAAACTAGGGACGCACGAGTGGACAACGCGCGATGCGTCATCACACAGGAATATATAATGTGATTTTTTTCTTATTATCACCTATGTGCATACAGAACAGATGACCGAAATGGCAGCGCTAATGCAAGGCCCACCTGGCCCGCCCGGCCAAGGTCGTCCGGGCCGTCCTGGAGCGCCAGGTCTCCAAGGTCCCCCAGGTACACCCTCCGAGTCAGAATCTTCAATCCTTGCGTTTTTCCTTGCACTCGGCACGATATATTAATCGCACTCGAGATCACTTACTACTACGTGAATTTTTTTTATTAGTTTATAGAGGAATCTTGGACGTAGAACGGGATCTAACTCAAGGGAAGATATTAATTGGCAAGCAGCAGCCGAGTGTCGTATAGTAGCATCACCATTTAAAACACTTGAAGTACCATCGTCATCGCGTCCCTAAAGCTATAGCTATAGCATATGCGAATCATTCATCACGATGCTCACGGCATTTAACAATATCGACTGTTCGATTCGGGATCAATGTCCCGGCCTCGTCGCGGTTACGCCCATAACGATAATGGTATATTGGCATGTGTCGCAGAGAGACTGAAAGAATTAACAGAGGGTCTACGAGGGCTGCCCGGATTACCGGGACCGGCTCGACACGGCCGTCCCGGTCAGGCCGGAATGCGGGGCATTCCAGGTACCTATCGCTCGGAACGTAGCGACTCATCTCCGAAAAATGCCTGGAGAATGGCCTGTTTGGACTAATGGACGCTTTTGTCGTGTGCATGCGAAAATTAGATTACTCGATTAACTTCGTCAGCTAATTTTGTTAGCTTCTCATCATCGAACTTAATGCTTTTTTAATGTATTAAAGCGAATGTAGCTTTTAAAGACAAACTCGTGCTTGCGTACTATCATTGAAAGTCCATTCTTTATCTTCGCTTATACTTTCAATTTTTATATTTCTTTATCCTTGAATATTATTATTATTATAGAAATCTTATCAAAGTCAATATCACTGTTTAAAAAAAATTTCAGATAAACGAAAATTAATGCATGGTGCACATTTACATTTTATATCACTGTATGCATGATTGCGATATTTTTTAATCACAATATCGTTTCTGGTCGTTTAGGCGATCCGGGACCGCCAGGTTTGCCGGGAGAACGTGGATTCGTCGGCTTTCCGGGCATGCAGGGTCTCATCGGTCCGGTGGGATCACCTGGCGAGCGTGGAGAAAAGGGGGATAGAGGTCCTGAAGGAATTGGTTCGGAAGGCCCGCCTGGTCCAACAGGTCTACCAGGTTGTATTATATTCAATTATATTACACCATTAAAAATTAATTGCACATAGCGACGAAAGATTATTACGTTAATTTTGGGATGGTAATACGATAATCGCATCGTTTGCGTTTTAATCGAGGAAATTAAGCGCGTATCTGGTCGATGGAATATAAAATTGAATTTTTCAACAGGACCTCCTGGTAATGACGGCGTTGGTTTACCCGGAAAGCAGGGGGACAAAGGTGAACCAGGTAGACAAGGTAAAAAAGATATTTAAGAAACAAGATTCTGTCAAAATAATTTACGAAGTAATCAAACTCTCTACGGCATTTGTAATCACAAATATGCAAGACGTTAAATTAATTCTGTGTGTTAAGGTTTTCCTGGTTTGGGAGGGCCGCCAGGAATTCAGGGACCACCCGGATTTTGCGAATTCTGCAATTATCCTGGCAGCAATTACTTGCACAATCGTGGCAACGAGAAAGGTCCTTGATAAGCTGTATAGGAACTAATTTCTGAACACGTAGCGGAAGGAGCACTGCTAAGAGAGATCGTTGAGAGAAGTTATTCGATGTATTTTCTGACACGAGTGTCTTTATAATTTGGCGCTCAATAGCGAAAAAAAATCTTTACAAGTCCCTTATGAAGGGACCGCCATGTAAAGCTAGCGATTCTCTGAATTACATTTTGTAGTTACTTCAAATTCAATATATTATTCAATAAAGCTGCTTCTCGATGTGTGTCAGCTCGATATACGTTATCAAATCGCAGACGAGAGAGAATCCGTTGCCTGCTGAATTTCTAAATTAATCAACGCGATCTAAATTATAACGCTATCGCGCGCGTGAATGATCTCCGAGAGGGGAGAGATTTCGAATCCGTCGCGCGCGTCGGCCGCGGTCCGATTTCCCCGTTCTCTCCGGTTCACGTACGGGGCGATCAGGCGCCACCGGCGCGGCGGAGAGGATCAGCGACGGCCCAGTGATGGCCGCGACGTGCGTCGGATCGGGATTCGTGCGGCGGGCTTGTTTACCGTGACGTCGTCCCCGGTAATCTCCGGGAGGAATCCGCGTCTCGTTCCGCGTCCGTTACCGGGATTCCACGAGGTGGTCGCCGTCGGTCTCCCCCGCGTCGCCCGCGTGTGCACGCGCCGCAGCGTATCGACCGCCGCGAAGCGAGACGGACGTTTCACGCGTTTGTCGAAACCGCTCCCGCGGCCGTCCGCGAACGGTGACCGTCCCCTCGACGAAGAGAGCGGCCGCTCTCGGATTAACGACCGGCCGAGTCTCGCCCGTGGACTCCGCGATCTGTCCGCCGCGATTTAATGACGAGGTGCGTGCGATAAGAGCGGAGGCGAGGGTGGCCTTCCACGGGCACGGCGACGACGACGACGACGACGACTCCACGCCCCCGTCGGTACCCTTTTTTTCTCGCGGAAGAACACGCGCGCAGAGAGCGCCTCAGGTAAGTGTAAGGCAGGTAGATAGGTAAACCGACCGGTAGAACAGGTTAGGTGCCTGCAAAGGTGTCTTGGAGCTCTTTCCAGCTCTAACCTCTCACGATTTTTTCTCTTAAATACATATATTTATATTAAAAATATATATATATTTTTTTAATGTGTTCCCCTTCGAATACGAGTAAAGTGTAAAATGACGCGATTAAATTCATCATAATTTGATCTAGGATTAGAAACGTTATCTTATAATTAAATTGCTATAATAAGTGAAAGAAGGAAGAGTAATAAATTGATAAGATTAAGGTTTCATCGATACGTTAGAAATGTCATCTGTAGACGGATCTTTCTAATTAATGCAGTACATGAATATCGAATACTTAAATATTGATGTCTAATTGCTGTCGTGATATAGCGATAAAGTATCAAAGCAAATTACGAAATAGAATATCGATATCTTCTGCCGGCGTCTGTGTATTTCGAGCTCCTGCAAATCCGTAGCTCGTACTCCCGACCGCGAATTCGGAACGGGGACCGCGTTAAGTGACAGCTTGATACTGATAGGCGTTTTGAATTATTGATGGGTAACCGTGGAGGCATCATTTATTGACGCGCGCCGTCCGCCTTTGAGATTGATCGGGGAAATTAAGCGCGTATCTGATTGACAGAATATAAAATTGAATTAAGAGGAAAAAAAAATACATAGTCGGCGCTGAACGCGACGAAGCGAGAAAAATGGGAGGACGTGGTGATGTTCGTTTAATTGTACGTCTCGTATTGCCGATTCGATTGCTGAATTTTAATTAGCGCGAATCCCGCGCTTGCGTTAATTAAAAAATATTTTTATACTGTATATAGTTGCAATCAATCGAGAGGAGGATCATCCTGCTGTCCCAAGGGCGAGCGATCTTCTATTAACTTAATCAGCAATTAACTTTTTTGTAATTTTAAATTATTTGTAATTTCGTAGACATTAACGTGGATTATTACCTTTCTGTTGCTTGACGGTCGTAAACATGCTGAAAGGGAGACAAAAAAAATTAGGGGCACCGAATTACATGATTGAAAATGTCGCTTCGAGTCATTCTGCCGATCGAATTAATTAAGATTAATCGAAGTTTGGTCGCCCAAAAGTCACCTCGGAGACTCCGAGGACGAGGATCCCTCCCAGGCCGCGCAAGCGCGCGTATAATTTACAAAATTCCCCGCGCAAACAAATCGAAGCTTGTTGCTTTCGCTGATTACTCACGCGTTACACTTTCCTCCACTTGTAGCAAAACAAATCGAGTAAAAAAACATATGGCTCGTCTCTAGACAAACTACAGAATTCAATTCAATTGAGATCAAATACGTACGCACGAGATTTGGAGAAACGGAGAAAAGAAAACTAACAGGTTAGACCTTAAAGCAGACCTTAATGGATACAAGGAATATCGCTCTGCCAAGCTCGATAGAAAGTCTCTGCCGGACGTGTCGAACGTAACGAACGTAAACTGCAGTGTGAACACATAAAAAACGCACCGTCGCGGTCGTCGTGGATGCCGTCACGATCGCGCCAATTTCGATTCATCGTCGTTTTACGACGCGGCTCCGATTGTCGGTCAGATTACTCGGATTTCTCTCTCAACGCGCTAAAGTTGACCGCGCCTCCGCGCGGTCGCTCCGTTTCGCGCGTTCCGTCAAACGCGCCCGCGGCGGCGGCCGCCCGGCGCGTTCCTTTCCCGGCCGTTCCCCCGTTTCTTCGGCCGATCTTACATTCCTCCCCCGCCCCCACCCCTGGTCCACTTATCGTATTGATTCAAACTTAGGCATCCGCGTTCAGTTCCCTCATTCCACGGAAGCTATCGGCCGATTATTCCCTCATTGCTTCCTGATCGGTCTATTCCGGTCCTGCGATCTCGATCGATTATGTTGAGAATAGACGCTGAAGCTCGACGCCGCGAAAGGCGAGGAATAACCGCAGGGTAAATCGGTGACCGAAAAAAAAAAAAAAAGTAATCCCCGGACGATGCACGGTCGGTTTTAAATCAATTACATCTTGGGGCGGGGGGTATCGACTTTCCCCAACTAGGTCAATCGTTTTACGTAAAATGGATTATATCATCACGGTTGAACAACCTTGAATTAATTCTTCTTCCAAAAATATAGTCTTCATATATATCCCCGCAAAAAAAGTCTACAACGTAGAGTCTGTCATGGAGGTGGCTAATATTAACCGTTCGCGGATTAAATTATCTCTCACGAACGAGCAGAAATCAAATATTTCAACTTCAATTTTAATCTAATCAGCTATAAATACTATCAGGCAGCGTCAATAATTATCTAATTAGCGATCTTTCTTTTATACTCCTGCAGTCTTTAAATATCAAAGACGGATAAAACGAAAAGATGTTCTGATTATCTGACATGGACATTCAAAGTAATTTGCGTATTCAAATTAGTAATTAAATTACAATATAAACATAATTCTAATTATAAATTGTAATTATGCTAAAAGTATTTTACGCAAATTGTATCGTAGATTCACATGCAAATCCGGGTTGCAAAAAACGCTCGTATACGTTAACGGTACACGGTGCGTTTCCGTAAGACAAATACATGGCGTGTACTCTCTAATCGTTACTAATTAACTCTCTCTAGTCCGTCGATGATGAACAGTCTCGGTCTCATCATCGGCGCAGCGTGACGCAGCGTCCTATACGGGCTACAAATTAAGAGCAGCTTCGTTAGTTGTGTTTCTACGCGCGTGGCACCATCAATTCGCGACGGAATGTATCACTTTCGGACTGTGGAGCTAATAGAGAATATAATGAAGCAACGTTAAATGATGTCGCGGCCTTCTAAAGTACTCTGTTGATACGCGAGCTCCGCCAGAAGATTAATTTCAACGATCAATTTTGACTGAGAGCTGTCGCTATTTTTGAAGCGAGACACACAGTAACGTATATCCCGTGCCATTTATTCCATTTGAAATACGATAAAATCGTCAACGCTGTCTCGTAACGCACAGGTTGCTGCGGAATATCCGTTAATGATACACGAGGCGGCTCGCTGTCGTCTAATGACTCTACGATTAGTCACTCCAGCGACCTTCGCTTCGCGCTGTACTCGTCGATCTTTTGTGTCATGCATAAATTTACCGCCGTAATAAGAAAAAAAAAAAGAAACAACAACGCAGTCGGTCCCGAGCGCAGGATCGTACCGCTCCGTCGCGAGACGGCGTTACTCGCTACGAGCGGTCGCTCGGAAACGTGCAGGGAGAATCGACGAGGAGACGCTGCATTATTCCGCTCGTTTTTCGCAGTGAAAATGGCAGAGGAAGGCGCGGGTGGCTCGGGAAACGGGAGCAGCGGCGAAACGAGCCGTTTGCAGCTTCTGCAGGAGATGCGACAGCAGAACTTCGACACCATACGATTCGCGTCGTACCGCACCGCCTGTAAGCTGAGATTCATACAGAAGAAAGTGCACCGTGAGTATATATTCCTTCAATTCAATATTATAACCTTTCAGAAGCAAAGCGCACTCCATATAAAAATTAAAAAAAAAATCGAAATTATAATAATTATACGGAAAGAACAATTTTGCTGAATCCAGAGCTGAAAATAATTTTTGTTCAATAATCGAAATAATTTTGTGCGAAAGTCAAAGTGATTGCTAGAATATCAAAACGTTTTATAGCAATGCTTATTAGTTTTAACATTCTAACAAATTATTTTGATGATTCAACAAAAAATTATTTTCAGATCTGTTTTTAGCAAAATTTTTAGATCTTTCGATTTTTAGATCAAAATTGTTCTTTCCGTGTATACAATCAAAATTATATCATATGTTCTGGTACTAAAATTAAGAGATTTACAAAAAGTAGAGTGATTAGTTTAATTTTTCAGACTCATACGTTGCATGCACACAGGATAAAATTTTTTTTAATTCAACATACAGTAAATTATTGAAATTTTCATCATCTCTATTTCTCTCGATATTTTCACGATTATTTAGGGCAAAGATCTTCAAGTCGCGGCTAGGATATATTAACTCAGAAATGCTAATTTTCTCACACTTATATGACTACGCTAATGATAATTAACAGTATATTCGTGTCGGCGTCGGAATTTAAAGAGAACGTGGCGCTCGCGCTTGCGTTAATTAATTTTTTTGCGCGAAGAGACGTTAAAGGTAAATGTCAAGGTATGTACCTTTTTAATAACGCATGCATGGTTTTGCGCAGTGCACAACGTCGATATATGGAACGTGATCGAGGCATTTCGAGAGAACGGTCTGAACACGTTGGAGCCGACGAGCACCTTGGGAGTGTCCAGACTCGAAACGCTACTGTCTTCCCTGTTTCACGCGCTGAACAAGAGAGTGCCGGTTTCGCAACAATCCAAAGTTGACGCTACCACGGCGTTACTGATGAACTGGCTTCTCGCTGCCTACACGAGCGGGTATAGTCATAAACTAAAAAGTTGCAACACTTTTTTTTATCATTTTCAAAACACTGTTTACCGAGCGATTGGTTCCTACCAACGGATCTAACCAAACGCGTTCAACTGCTCCACGAGCAAAACTGCGTTCCACAACAAAGTAAAAAGTGTTGCAACCTACACGCTTGATAAGCTAAACAATTCCGCTATTCCCACACGGAAAGAACGGTTTTGTTGAAAGACCTAAAAATTTTGCTAAAAACAAATCTGAAAATAATTTTTTATTGAATTATCAAAATAATTTGTTGGAATGTTAAAACTGATAAGTATTGCTATAAAACGTTTTGATATTCTAATCATTTTGACTTTCGTACAAAATAATTTTGACTATTGAACAAAAATTATTTTCAAATGGATTCAGCAAAAGTGTTCTTTCCGTGCATTATACACGATCGTCGGCATCCAATTAAACCGTGCGATCTTTTTCTTTTCAGGGAGAACAATAAGATATCCGTGTTCTCGGTGAAGGTGGCCCTGGCAACGTTATGCGCGGGAAAGCTCATGGACAAATTTCGATGTAAGCCGCAAAGTATAGTTTCTTCGCTGTTTTAATCGATCGCTTGAGCTAAGTTCATTAACGGTAGTTTATCCTGTGAACAGACATATACTCGCAAATATCCGACAGCAACGGACACATGATACACTGGAGGTTCGCCGATTATCTGAAGGAGGTTCTAGCTTTAACCGCGGCGGTTTACGAGTCCCCGTCGTTCGGATATTCCGACGGTCTTGCTAACACCATTTTTCCCGCGGTACGTACGCGTTGTATGTATGTGTGCAAAGCTGCTCTCACACACTGCTAATACTAAACTGATAATAAACTTGTATGCGACAGAATTCCAAAGTCACTGTAAACGACTTCCTGGATACGCTCATGTCGGATCCTGGACCGCACTGCTTAATCTGGTTGCCGTTGTATCACAGAATGGCGGCCGTGGAAACAGGTAATTGTGCGAGAGTTAATCAATTAAAATCGAATCAGCGAAGATCCTCACGTAATCCTTCGTGCTTCCAGTTGCTCATCCAATTATGTGCGACGCGTGTCACAAGGAGAATTTCACCGGGTTCCGATACAGATGTCAGAAGTGCCATTCGTATCAGCTGTGTCAAGACTGTTTCTGGCGTGGTAAAGTTTCGGGAACGCACAATAACGATCACGAAACGAGAGAGTACAGCAGCTTCGTACGTATTTTCGTTATATTTATGTATTCTAAAACATTTAAATCTCTAATTATTTAACTTTCAATGATGTAATTTTTTGTCGAAATTAGAAATCGCCAAGCAAGCAGATTGGCCACTCCTTGCGAAAGAGCTTCAGATGCGTTCCAGAAAAGGGAAAGAACAGTCTACCGCGATTCCCGGAACAACCCGAGAAGACGCTAGATTTATCGCACATAGTGTTAGTATCTCTATCGTTCGCGTAACTTTATATCATTCGCTCGTCTCTCAGCATAATTTTACAATCCAAATAAAATTCATTACGTTCCAGCCCGCCGTCACCTTTACCATCTCACAACGGTTTTCCAGATCCAGGGTTTATGGCCCCGTTTGATTCAGGATCGGTGGACAGTCGTTCGACCCTGAGAAGGTAAGCCCGAGCAGAATTCTAATTTACGCACAATTTATTTGCCTTTGCCAATTGCGCGCAGACGCCATGCTTTTACTTATTCCTTTTGTATATCGTCCAGTATGGACAGTTCAAGACTGGACGATGAACATAAATTAATAGCACGATATGCACAAAGGTTGGCACAAGAAGCGAGGACCGTGGTAAGTCCTTTTTAACATTTTACATAAATTTTACGCTTACTATCTATTCACAGTCACGCGTTGTAATTTGCTTCAAACGCGCTTTAAAGCGCGAGTGTTCTTGCTATCTTAATCCGTTAAATTTGCAAAAGCCGCGAGAGCCAATTAAAGCATTCTACCGTTTCCATTGTCGCGGCCGCCGCTCTCTGGCACTAATATTAATTTCATAACTGCCTCGTTAACAGCCTCGTACCGCGTCCAGAATGTCCCAGGCAGATCAAGCGGTAAGTACCTACACACTGTTTGGACTATTTAGCTAGGAATTCGCGGAGGGAATCGTTTTCACGCGGAACGACATTTCTGTTTGCAGGGCCGAGCACCGTCGGACGTGAACCTGGCGTCGTTAGACGCGTCGCGGGCGCAGCGTGAGCTTATATCGCAGCTCGAGGCGAAGAACAAGGAGATAATGCGCGAGATAGCAAGGTTAAGGTATACCTGTGTCGTTTATATTCCTTTGTATCAAACCTAAACCTCGATTTCATCCTGTCGACCCATCCTAGAATCACGCATGTTCAGAACGTTCTGTTTCGCTTTGTGTCACCTTGGTTGCATAGCACAAAACGCGCACAACGAGAACAAAGAGAAACGATACGATATTTATAGAGTGCCGATTAACAGCGATAAAACTTTAATTCGCGTTTAAACGAGTTCATTAATATCGAGCGTTCGTTATCGGTGTATTCTTGTTCGCGGATTGACTTACATATTCATACATACTCGTTGTATAGATTCATACATTATACATTCATATATTACATTTACATACTACATTCATATACAGCATATATTACATTCATATACTACATTAACCGCACATCACAGCGCTTACAAAATGAATCAATGGAAATGGAATATTATTATTTTCTGAGATTCGTATATGTGATATATTCCACTTCCTTGTGTTAAATTGCGTCCAACAATTTCTCAACGAATTTTTCTATTCTCGTTATAGAAGGCAACAGGAGATAGAAGCTGCGGGTCTAGAAAATCCGGCGCTAATGTCGGAATTGCGAGCTTTGAGGCAGAGGAAGGACGAGCTGGAGACTCATCTGGCGACATTGCAAGATTCCAGGAGGCAACTAATGGTGCAGCTGGAGGGTCTAATGAAAATGCTAAAGGTACTTTTACAGACATGTTATAAGACTACTTTTTTAAACAGTTAAAATTAAAGGTCCAATTTAATTCTTTGTCTCTAAAGATGAATCTAGAAGAATTGATGAAATGAGGACGTTTTTATAACAAAAGGAAGAAACTATTGTTTTACGTACATAGGAACGCAATTAGTATCATAATGCAATTTACCTCGATAGAATCATCAGGCATCGCCACGATCGACGCCGAACAGTTCACCGCGAAGTACGAAGTCACCGCCTTTGCCACCCGGTGCGATACCGAGCAGCAGATCGGCACCGCCGACTCCCGGCGGACCCTTGTCTACGACGCCTCAACAGCAGCAGCAGCAACAGCAAATGCAGCAGCAGCAAATGCCGCAACAAATGTCTCAGAGCTATCAAAATCCCGTACCGACAACGACGGTGGCTAACGTGCAAGGCAACGCTATGCTCGGCACGATACAGAATCCCATTCCAGATAGCTTGTCGTGCGTTGGCGGCGATGTAAGGTAGGCAAGCATGCACAAAGAGAGAATACGTTATATATAAACGAAAGGATAGAACCTTCTACAGCGCGAAAAGAGCGAAGCAAAAGACAAAGGAGAAAATTATAAATAGAATATGCGTGATACACAATTGTACACGTGATTTTATAATACAGAATTAATATATTATAGTCAGCAATTTGTTCACTTAGACATTCCAAGCGAACTTTAAAAAATATGTACATTCCATGTGTACATAAAAATACATTCTAACAATGTAGGTATATAATTATAATAGATTGTGCAGCTAAATACTTGTAAATATTAATTACATTGATATATTCGCGATAATGTAAAATAATAGATATCGCTTACCTACATATTGAAAATAGTTTTATGCCACGCGTCGCATTGGAATTAATCCTTCCAAATTTTTATCGATCAAGAAAATGACTTTGAGACACAAACGCTCGAAAAGTAGGTTCATCACTTATAGACGGAATTATATATATCTCGATCATGTGTTTATTAAAAAGTTCATTTCCCCTGTCAACATTATTGTAGCTAATTGGCATAGAGATATTATTGCACAGTATACAATTACTTCACAATTAGCTGAAGAACTCCTAAATTCTCCTGCATGCGAATATATGAGCGATTTTTAATTAAGCTAGTATTAAGAACAATGTGGTACTAGCGCGAAATAAGTGAGAGTACCTCATAAGATGTTACTTAAATCGTCAGATTTATATCGACTTATAAATTATATATATATATTTATATATAGTAGATATATTTGTATATCCCATGTCATGTCGCTTTTAACCCTGTTTGAATCATTTCTTTTAAGTTTTATTAGGTTCGAGATGTGAGTTTCTTACATGAACATCCTCTTTTAATTTCGCTATCATTATTAGTCATCTTAAATGTATCATTTTTATGTACAGTACAAAAGCAACCTACCCTGTAAGGAAAATACTGATGCGTTGGATATATAAGTTTGACGCGTACAAGTTACCCATCCGATCCTTCTTTTCTGCTAAGCTTGTGTAAAACCACCCCGTCCATCCCTTTGAAATATTGTTATATCGTATTTATTACGCGAGCGTTGCGATATGTAAATATTACCGTCCTGCAAGTGCTGTAACAGTCAAACGCGGCAAATACTTTTAATAGATCGGAGACGAAAGCATTTTGCGATGCGCTCACAATTTTGCCATATTGATATATTTTTGTTAGATTAGTATATCATTACATTAGACACCAATAAATATCGTAGCTTCCTGAAATCGTGCATGTGTGTATTGTTTATAATCGATGAGTTACTAATTTTAATTTGAAACTTCCGTAGACGCTTATATGTCTTAGTCGCGAGTAACTTATAGCGAATTTGAATGTGTAAGACTTACGTTTTAAGCAAACTAAATAATGCTTGCGCAATAAAAATTGCATGCCGCAATTTTTGTTTAAACAACTTTTTATTTGGAAATTGCTTCGCGCCAAGAAAATAGAGATTTTCGATGTCAGGTCTGCGTTCAGGACAAACAGCTTACCAGGGAGCGGTTCCAGCAGTGCCAATAATAGTTTGGGCCGATCCTTAAGAAACGACTTACTGGTAGCTGCCGACAGCGTAACTAATGCCATGTCAACGCTCGTGAGGGAATTAAATTCAGGTATGTTGAATAATGATGCGCTATAAAATAGATTAGATTATCATTAATAACAATTAAATAAATTGGACGTAGGTGCGGAAAAGCGTAACTTGAAAATACTCCAATTAAGAATATGTGGAAAAAAATATGGGGAAGAAAACATGTTTTTTTTTCTTTCAATTAAATAGTGTGAGAGATGTTTTTTAAGATTTCTAAAAATTCGATGAACTTAATACCGACGAAAATTCGCCTGACGAAGCTACGTCCAATTGTGCTTCTAGTTTTTAAATAGTATAATTTTACACCGATACCGCTCAGCTTATTTTCCATGATAGTATGTTAAACTCAAGTTCATAGTTGATACACTTAATTTCGCAGACTATAGGTATTACTATCTCACAAACAAAATTAAAGGTAATTTTTGAGAGGCAATTATAGCGCCTCGTCGTGAGTTGTACAGATCAATTTGATATTGCAAGCTTTTAGCTACGAAAGTATGTTAGCATCTTATCGCCGTGTTTTAGCTGATGGTTTTAGCATGTTAGTAATACGGATTATCAAGCGATTTCGTTATCAGTGGCGCCGTAAATATGTCAAAGATTCAGATTGTCTCGGAGGCAAGGTGAGCAATAGATAAACTGATCTGCATTCACCACATTACCGTGCGTAGTATTTTATACAACAAAATCATGTTTATTAATACTACACTTTATTACTATTGCAACCATTTTTGCTCCTGCTACTTTTACTACTGTTATATCTCACTATTACCACACTATATACACAGATGTTTATATCAATTCGTTTGCGTGTTTCATGCTACATTTGATAAGAAATGTTTCTTCCTCACCCGATCATTTTAAACATATAAATTAAAACAGATACATTTCAAATTTTTTTAAGATAATATGCTAACTTCTCGCACAACGCGCATATTATTTTATGTGTTTTTAACTCGATTTAAAACTGCAAGAAATATGACGCGGGATTTTATCTTTCAACTATTTGCTACTAACATTTATCTCTGAAATATTCTCAGTCATCGCATTTGAGCTGAATGTACAGGCATGCCACGTCGCATTTATATTCTCTCATGTCATCAAAGGATCATATAGCATGAAAAAGATGCGACTATTCATCTGTTCCTAGTCTCGATATTCATAGACGATCTGTGAGATGATTCGTACAAATACTATATATCTTTACGTAAGATATTCTATTGGATATACTCGAATCGAACTTGGATGCACTTTATGTATATACATTCATATTCTAGAAAAACTGCGTAAGTATAATATTTATTACAGGAAGGTGAATAATGATCGAATCTTGTCGATCCAATTGTAAAACATCGAGATACCATATATGACTCTCGAGTCTAGTTTCACAACATCTTGCATTATACACATTTTTATGCAAAGTTTTGATAATGATACACGAAATTATATACGAAAAGCATATAAATTTTTCGTTTCAGAAGATGTAAATATCGAAATATACATGGAATATACATATATGGTCGTCTATTACACTTTCTTTCTGTATTTATGTTCATTTTAACAAAACATTTTTTTTTCCTATTTAAACTCGATTGAAAGTCATTATTCAACAGGATCTACTTGCACATTTAGACTTTAATTTTAATCGTATTTAAAATATTTTTTAAATTCAAATTTATTATTTTTTTCAAGAGTAACAAAAGCGAGTTTTCTTAATTTACATTCTAATATCTAATGAGAGAAAGTGCAATAGTCCTGGGATACTGTATATATTTTCTATATACAGTTCGTTTCTAAAACGTTCGGTATAACTTAGCGCATTCTATTAAACAAAGTAACGAGAAAAGTTTATACGAATGAGAGCCATAAATATGTCACCTCTCCAAATATAATCCGTACGCAACCTTCCTCATTACTTCTGTTAGTCTAAGAGTAAGTGCTAAAGTTAGTCCGAACGGTTGAAAAATTGTCTGTATATTTGCCTGTTGCCATTTCTACACGGTTTCATTTATTTTCTTTCTAGAATAGAGTTAGTTAATATTAGTCTAGTGGAATAGCACACGGACTACACTACACGCAAGACCACAGATGACAGCAACAACAATCTGATCCGCAATCCTAAGAAATTCCGAATAGACATTAATTACTCCGTAAAGAAATCTTCGAGAGTCGGATTACTTTTTAGATTAACGAACTCGTAACTTGGTATAAGTGTAAAATGAAAAATTAGAACAACTCAAAATTACCTAAGTCTAAGAAAAAATACGTTACATAAAAAATAATTAGAAATCGATATAAATATATAAATATTTCGATATGGATAAGGGTCTATACAATCTGTCTAACAAGAGGGTGATCGGCAAAACTGTTCGTTACATCAAAAACTCGAATAATCAGGTGAAACCTTTGGAAAATCTTTAGACCTTTGAAGGATCATAAATATTGCGAGAATCAGTTGCGAATAAAAAGACATAAGCAAGTAACTAAAGCGAAACAAAAATCGTCAATGATTAATTATTAGAAAATGGTGCACGAAAAACGATAGACAAGGAGGGTGAGGATTGTGTATTTTCTACTATACTTTTTCGATTAGCGAGATTAAAAAAAAAAGAGCATAGATATATCCAGTGAGAACACTCGAAATTCTCTACATGAAATTTCAATCAAAAAATACTATCGGTTTATCTTGATCTACTTCAGTCAACACATTTCTCTAGCAAATCATTATACATCTAGCAACATATATTAACAAAGTTAAAACTTCGTGAATAAGAATGATGAAACAATTAATTGGATAAATTTGTTCGAAGATCTTTATCTTGAGAATACGCTGCCAAGTAGAAAACACACGGCTTAAGAGCATGAAAGCGTCATAGCATTAATGCTTAATAAATGTGCAATTTTTATATTTTATTTTATTATAATAAACAATTCTGAAATTATGTCACGTTCTTGTTAGACAGACAGTATGCATATACTTTCCTAATTGAATTTGGCCGAGACAAATATTAGACATTCCGTTATACTATATACAATATACAAATGACACTTTAGACGTGTTGTGGAATGTGTGTAATGCACCCCCCGTGAATGTGTCCTGGTGGCTTGCAGACTCAGACCAGGAGGACCATTCTCACAACTCGGGGCTAATGAACATCAGAAAACCGCTAGGTAAGTATCGATCTACATCGACTTTGAGACTTTCACTTTTACTTTTACTTTCGTTTGCACCTTAGATATTTCGCAATGTCGCTATTCTAATCGAAGCAATCCCGAAAACTTTTCAAACGCTGATCATCTACGAGTTTCATGTCGATATTTCGGTTTTAACTTTTTCTTTGGTACTTTCAACATTAATTTTGCAAAGAACGAACTGTACATATATGTACATACTCGTTATTCATATTCTAAAAACTGCATCTCTACATATTTCTGTTATCTTCATAAGCATCACGCACACACTACGATGTATACTTCTGACGATAATATTAAGATAAGTTGTCCTACAGATTCTTGTCGTACATCTTTATAAACAATTATTTTTATTCGTCTATAGTTATAAGTCTATATGTGACAAATATGAGATAATATTTCTCTTGGTAAGACTACGTAAACCCTCTTCGAAGTTGAGACCTACTTGGTGAGACAAAGAGAGACGACACAGAGAAAAATAGAATTAAATTCAACGAATACAGATATTGCTACTTTATCTTTTATCGTTTGAACTAAAAGTGACAAATACGATAAATGATCTCATGTATTTGTGCGACTGAATTTTGAAACGGGTCGCGTCTACTTATAGACTTTGAAGCCGGCGAGGATGGCGATGATAGCAGCGGCGGTGGGAATTCCTGGCGGGAGGAGCTGGAGCGGCGTTATCAGCAGGAGAATGACTTCTTGGCGGAATTGCGATCTCGTAACAGCATACCGCAAACACCGTCGGCCACGCTGTCGGTCAGCGAACAGGAGCAGGAGAGAGGCGAGAGAGAAGAGGCGGACGGTGAGAAGGAAGATGAGGACGAAGCCAACTGGGCGGAAGCGGTGAAGAGATGGGTAAATCGATAAACCGATTTATGGAGGAGTACCAGGCGTTAGGTGTTGAAGATACAAGTTTGAGGAATCCAGAAGAAGATGCGACAGCGTCCGAATCACATTCACGCTGTGGATAGATACTTCGATAATAGTATACAATGTAATCCTAGGGAGAATTGAATGTCGTGCGATTTCGAAAAATCTATGCGTTTTGTAAGGCGGTACTGGCAGTCGAAAGACGACGTGAAAATCGACGAATGAATTGTACGAAAGTCATGAAGATTTTCAAGTGTGTATGAAACCAAGTACCGTAATACAATTTTAGAATGGCATTTGTATCGCGAGCATACAATGATTTTGCTACTCCGTTTATTTGCAATTTGTAATGTAATAAGACTTAAAGTTTGTTAAATATACATTCATATACATATATATAAATAAATATATATATATATATAAAACTATATAAATACGACTCGAAAATAAGTATTTGCGTTTTATTATATTTTTTATTTATTGTTATTGTTACTATTTGTAATTACTATTAAGCGAATTAAATGCAATACACAAGAGTACTGTCTTGTAATCGCTTTAAAGCTAGTTTAATTTTAAGGGAGCGTATATTTGTACATATTTGAAACAATAATTGGTAACTGACGAAATGGTTTTATCATCTCGCAGCATTACTCTCATTCACGTAGACGTTTATATTATATAGTTCATACGAAAAATTTTGCACAAATTATCGTACCTATTGACCAAACCTGAAATAATTAACAGTAAGCGATTGCAATTAAATCAATTTTTTAATATGTTACAAGTTTGGCGGAAACTTGGTTTGGCGAGCCAAAGTGTGTTTTGTACATTCGTACCGGCGCTTGACGTACAATAACGTTATTAAAGAAAAAAATAAGTAATAATATGTAAACGAGTATAAAAGTATTGACGCATTAGATGACGCTTCGAATGACGACTTTGTTCGTATTTACAATTGCAGAATATGGAAAGCATAGATGAACGATACTAGTCTTACGTACAAAAAGTACTCGTTTTTCAGTTCCTAGGATATAAGAGAGTATTCCGACTAATAATCCAATTGTTAAAAAACACGACTGCTACTGATAAGAACCAATGCGTTTTTTGTAACATTTAAATGGCATGCCCTGTCCGCGAAGTATCCCGTGTACATATACACATGTGACGTCAGAATTCCTTTTGTCTATCTCTTTACGTATGAAAATGATGTAGCGCTTATGAAAACTGAATAAAAGTTTATAGATACACTTGAAAATCGCTTAATCTCTTGACGGGCGAGTAATCCGTTATACTAATAAGCTCACTTATATTATACATGATTTCATCATTACTCTTTTTTTATTTCACTGTCTTATATTCTGGAAATATTTTTGGCACGTGGTGGTTATAGTATTTGGTTTACATTAAATTAAACGTGGATTATAATAAAAAGATATGTGGAACTTAATTGAGTAGTTACAAGCGATTCTGAGTTATGCACTACGTTGAGAATCACGTGTAGGTTTCTCTTGAGGTAGATGACTACAGATGCAAATGCACATACACACAAAATATATACTCTGTATTAAAAAAATAGTTTTCAGATTAAGTACACATTATTTTACAACACGACGTATTGACAAATACAATCATTAATGTAAAAAAAAGATACAAATTTTTATATTAATCTCAATATACATTTTAGCGTTACTTTCGAGAAAGCGCAATAATATTTTAATTACTGTTTGAAGGTTTAAAGTACAGATATTAATTGAGACATTACATCTCATATAAATTGTCCATAGAAAGATGAAACAGTTCATAATAATTATTATCAAAAAATTAGTAAAGATTCTTCATTTTATTTGCCACTATTCTGGAATCTCCCTTTTTAACTTAAAATTTTCTTCTTGCTCGCCATGTACCCTCATGACGATGCAAAATAAAGTGCACTATCAAGAGCAAACCTAATTGGGATTCTAGATTTGAAGAATGAAAATTGAGGAAGATATTTCACTATAAGGAGAGATATCTCCAGCTTAATATTTCATGATGTACAGAATTCTATTCTTATTCCATAATTTAATCAATGTAGCAGATGTTGATGTAGCAAAAATTAATCTTAATATGAATTATTTTTTACACGAACGCTTAAATTTAAGGATGATATCACAAAATACTTTTTTACGGTTTTAACATTTTTCCTGTTTTGATTGTGAACTTATCCCTGCGGTGCTCCTAATATCGTTCGTAATCATATCATTCGTCTTATCGCTACTGTTACCTGATCGCAAACACAGTTTCGCTTTTTTTGTAACGGTTGGACATTCGTCAAGTGTAGACTTATGTCTAGAGTACATTTCCTGGCTCGAGTCACTAATGATTTCAACTTCTGCCTCTGAAGACGATGAATCACTTTGATCTGCACTTTCCTGTTTTGTGTTTATTTGCTAAAGGATGAGAAGCCAATTATACATATAGGATTAAAAGAAAGCGTTGTTTAAATTAATATAACTTTCTTTGATAACGGAATATATAATCCTACATATATAAATAATTAATTTCACATGCAAAAATTAACGAAGAATTAATCTGGTTCCTAATTTTTTATTGTTTTAAGATAATCTTATATAATAGAATTATATATTGTTATATATTTATGATGTATTGGATTTGAGAGGGTTTTCTATTTTTCCTTTTCAAAATGGATTAAAATATAACATACAGCTATGTGGAAAGGACACTTGTACATATATAGCAAAATACAAAATTTGTATTAATACCAAAACTAAATTCCATTACAGCAGATTCCAGGATTAAATTAATTACCTGGATGTAAGTATTTGCTTTTACCCTAATTAAAAATTTTTCATAGAATTTCTTTCGACTATTAGATTCGGTAACATAGTTTTGAATCGTATTCAAAAGAAAAAGCTTTTCTAATTCATTAACTCGATGTTGTAGGATTAAATTTTGTCTTTTGTAATGTGCGGAACGTACCTCAAAGTCTCTAAAAATCAAAATAATATAATGAAAATGAAAAGTTCATAAAATCATCAGACATAGCTGTATTGAAAATACATACACTTTTTTAGATCGCTCTTCTTCTAGGGAGCCACGGTGTCTTAAAAGCTGACCTTGCAGATAATTGATTGTTCTCGTTTTCTTAGACATTATCCTGAAATAAGTGACAAGTGAGTTGTCAAAAAAAAAAAAAATATATTAAAATATATCAAATATAAAAACATATGCAGAGTTACTAAGACATACTTTTTCATAACAAAAATATAATTCATTAACGTGTTGCGATCAGTCGTTTCCCTAATTATATCCTGCATATCATCCAGCGTACTCGTCGACAGTGTTTTATATATGCTGCAAAAAGATCACAGAACAAAGATCAGATCGAGCATACAAGCTGCCAACGATTAAATTATATGAGACGACCAACAAACGTACTCTCGAAACTGCTTCACCTCCCTTTTCTTCTCTGATAACTCCTTTTTCAGTACTTCATACTCTTGATGCTTCTCCTTGAAATATCTTATCTCGTCCTTTAAGGCATAAATATTCGAGTTTTTCTGCCTGATTTCGCTTTCCACCTTTCGCACTTCCAGTCTGAGGCCAGCGTTCTGCTTCTCCAGAACCGCATTTTTCGAAATGTAATGCTTGATGTTCCTTTCGTTCAGTAAAACTTGAAATTTCAGGCTGTCGATCCTCCCTTGCAAATTGTCCTCGTTATCCTCGGTATTCGAAACCGTGAAGTGGGCCTTATGGATTCGATCTTCTGCCGTTCTGGCACGACATTGCGGACAGGTCTTCGACCTGTGCAAGTGGAACAAATACATGTAAAATAGTTGTTGACGTCCGATCGATTTGACGTCTATTTTAAAAACGAAATGGGAGATCTCACAACGGAACGACGGACTTGTTTCATCTGCATTCTTCCGTAGTCGCATTTAAAATTAATAAAAAGAGGCATATCTCCGAGAAAATAGACGACGGAAGATGCAGAAAACATAATCGAAACATCAACGGTTCTGGCGATATGCGTCGTCCATCGCGTGGAAATATAACCAATAGACCATGTTTACCTTTCGAACCACTGGGACAGGCAGCGGTGATGAAACACATGTCCGCAATGAGTGAAAAAAATGTCTTCGGTTGGTATTAGCAGATCGTGACAGATAATACAGAGAATTTTCATTCTAAAACGGGCAACGAAAGCGAAAGCAAAAGCGAAAGCACAAACGGCAGCGATCCGCTCGTCCGACTTCCGTAATTCCTAGCTTCTAGCGTTCAACGTGTGTGGGCCGTGTGGCGTGTGCCCGTCCGTCACGTCCGTGTGTGCGGCGTGTGCTGCTGGCAGGCGTGCTCGCGCATGATCGTGGAGCAGCCCGAACAGCTGATTCTCGCTCGCTCTCGCAGCCTCGACCGTCCCGGGACTCCCGGGTCACTTTGGAGCTTGTTGCTGCTGCACTGCACGTATTACAGCGGTTGCGTTGCGATTCGTCATAATCAGCAAACAAATCTGATTTCTCGGCCCGCAGTTAAAGAATGCAAATATCCCTCGACAGGAACTTCGGTCGGTGTTGAAATCTTTGAAGACCAGTGCATTGCAGCGAGATTAATTTTGTGGCACGATAGACTGCATTTGCGAAAGTTAACATGCACATTTTATCAGCTATAATAAAAACAAAAAAAAATAATAATACGTGAGCCCTTTCTTTTGTATCAAATTTAAAGTTCTGAGATTATTCGCAATGTATAAGTCGCAGTTCGTCGGTCTGGACGACAAGCCATGCGATACGAAATGCCTGTTGTGCGATTGCACGTTTGTCCTTCCGACGAATGAGGCAGATTTTCTCACGCACTTATTTAAGGTGCATCGCCTCGTTATAGGCGATTCTTGGAAAATAGCTAGCTTAAGAAGGTAGAATGTTAAATTATTATTCTATTGCCTGCCATTTGTTTTCTTTCCAATCAGATATAATAATTCTCATACACACAATTTCAGTTATGTACACTACTGGGGCATAAAATTTAAAGAGGCACCATTAACGACCTACTGCAGTACAATGTTAATGGATTGTACGCCGGATGGACGGTCAAGTAAAAATGAACATTACTTCATGCTTTCTGACTGTCTGTCAGAGGACAAGACTCTGAGAGAGGAGATACATCGGGCCAAACTGGTATGTGCGTCAATGAAAAGTCAATAAATTATAGTTGCTAAGCTTAAATAATATATAACGACCTTTTGAACCGATTTGTAATTATTATTTTAAGGAATGGACACTGGGGCAACAGGCAGCTGAACGTGCAGATACCAGCTTTAAGCGTGGCTGTTTATTCTGCCGTACCGAAGTCTGTGGATCGCGTGCCTTGTATGTAAAACACCTTTATCAGAAGCACAATCTTTACCTTGGCAAACCGGAAAATTTGGTGTTCATTGACGAGCTTCTGGACAAAATCCAAAACAAAATTGAAAGGTATTGCATTAAAAAATTTACATCTGCATGTATTCCAGTAGCACAATGTGATATTAAGAATATTTATACATTATCTCATTTTTTTAGTTTAATATGCATTTATTGCGAAGGAATATTTAAGGATCGCATGGTATTAAAGGAGCATATGCGAAAAAAATTCCACAAATGTATAAATCCTAATGATAAAGCGTACGATAAATTTTATATAAACAATTATCTGGAGCCAGAAAGAGCTTGGAAACGGAAACAGGTAATGCGCGATTTGAGGTGAGAAATATTAATACTTCAAAAATATGATTTTTTTAAATTTCTACAGGCTAATTCGGAAATAAATCCCGAAGTAGCAGGCGGTAGTAGCGACAATGAGGACGAAGAAAGTTCATGGTCCGATTGGAATGACGAATCTATCGGGATAACCTGTCTATTTTGTAATTATAGCAACAATGAATTTACCTGTATCCTGGGGCATATGAAAGAGGCGCACAGTTTCGATTTTGAAGAAATCGTCAAAGACCTGACCTTTTATCAGAAAGTAAAAAATTATAGCAATAATTAGTTTTTAATGATACACTTCTCCGTAACACGTTATTGTCAAATTACAGGTGAAGGTAGTCAATTACATAAGAAGGCAAATACAGTTACAACGATGTATTTTCTGCGAAACAGAATCGGACAATGTCTTAGAACATATGAGGAATCAACAACATTGTAAAATTGCCACACCAAAATTTTGGGATCAGCCGGAGTAAATATGATTGGAATTATATAGAATTTATTTACATAAAAAAGAAGTTATATTAAATACTTTTTACTATTTATTCTAGATATTACTTTCCTATGACTGAAAATGACTCATTTTTATACAATCTGGACGCAACTAGTAACAGCGATGAAGAAAATGATGTTGACAATCTTACTGAAGCAATGTAAGTAATAATTGAAAGAAAAAGATACGTCGATTATGAAATTGAAACAAATAATGCATTTAAAAATTTCCAGGTGTACTTTATAAATGATTTTCCGTAAACAGAAGATAACTTTTCTACTAATTTTTTGTTAACTTGTAAAATATTATTACATCTTATATTAAGATCGTGTACATTTGAGCTGCTATCTAATAAATCTATATTGCTTTTTGTGATATACATTTATTTACTTTTATCGAAAATGACATGATTTTCTAATAAATATTTTTTTTGTATATTTTACAAAATATGTGTATTAGATTGTAATTTATGGTTATTAACATCTTAAAATATGTTACACTAAAAAATATCTATTAGGATATATTATTCACATTATTTGCTTATTTTTGAGAAAAGTCTCTTACCACGTACTTTAGAAACACCTTTGCTGGTTCCCGCACCTTCATCTGTCGGTAAACATTTCTCACGGAGAGCTTTATATAACAATTCAGCGTCATTTTTATTTTCAAGTATTTCTCTTAGTTCTTCCTATTTATAAAAATCATTCATTTTTAATATTTTTATTTAAATTGTAACAGAAAATTAAATTATAAAAAGAATTTAAATCTCTTAACATTATTCACTTACTTGTGACAATTTGATAAGATGATCTAATGATTCCCCTTTATTCAGTAGAACACGCAAATTTTTCGAATGCACGCCCGGCAATTTAGCTATAAAATCTTGGATATTAGAGTTATATTTTTCTGCCATTACTTGCTTGTTTTCTGTCTCTTCATCTGCTCCAATTTTAGCGGCTACGTTTGCATCGGGCTGATCTCGTCCTTGCTACAAATATACAACTTGATTATTCTCTATTTTCTCTATTTATCTAATTATATATATATATATATATATTGATTTTAAATTACTTTGTACATATATATAAATGTATATATTACCTTTAATTCTTCAAACAATTGCGCTGTAGCATGTGGATTAGGAGACCATATAATTTTTAGTTTAGGAAAATGAAGAGTTAATAATTGCAGTTTTGCTGTTATTTCATTACTTTTAAGATCTCTACTAACATAGTAATTTCCCTAAAACAATAGTTAACAATAATTATGTAAAGTGAATTGCGTATTCTTATGTCATACTTATAAAATTGAAAAGAGAATACTACCTGAAAAGAAAACGGTTTATTTTGATCAAATTCTATTAGGAGCATGGGTTTAGCGTAATGTCTCGTCATAGAAACTGCTTGATTATACAATCTCCCAGAAAATAAAGAACCAATCAAATCAGATATACTTTTTCTCTCAACACATATTTCTGGTGTTAGAATATAATCGCCCACCTGTAACATTATAACATTACAAACCATGTAAAAGTGTTTTACATTAATCAATTTTATATATGTATATTTCACTTACCACTAATGTCACTGGTTCAATTTTTATACCGCGCGAGTAGAGAATAGCTGGTAATTCACTTCTAAATTCCCTCATATCGACAATAACTTTTGGAATTATTTTGACTTCAGGTTGAGATTGCCCTCCTCCTTTACGCGTATTTTCCTCCTGATTTTTATCATCTGACTGAATTGCAAGAGCCAAACAATCGTCCGATTTTCCATCTTGATCTTCTGGCACAACCATGGTCTACGAAGTAATAAAAATTGTAATTACACTATTTTTAAATAGCGTACTATTTTTGAGATCGTTACTGGAATACTTACAGTTTTCGTAGTAATCAAAGAATGAAATGCATCCTTTTCCCGTCGTAAGGAGGTAAGATACTCTTGTTCCTCAACCGATCCACCGTAAATTAAAAAATATACTTTCAATTCTAACGACGGATTATTATTCTGATATACCTCCAATTGTCTCACAACACCAATATCGGTTACGTACAAAATAATATTGTTTGGCATATGCTCGGTTAACATTCGTTGTAAAGCCATCGGATCCCCTCCTTTCTTTATGGCTTGTATGAAAACGATAGGCGCGGATGCAGCATAATTTTCTCTAGTTAAATCTAAATCTGCAATCTTTAAAATCAGAGAATAGAATTAATAAAAAAAACTACTTTTCCTACTAAACTACACAAATATTTCTTAAATGTTATTTGAATGTAACTTACTTGCGAACATTCTTCAAACAATGTCTGATGTTTTACATCTTCTGTGGAAGTGCTTGGCTGGGTTCCTTCTGGACACTTTTGCGACAATGTGAGCACATAAGTATCTTGAGTTTCCTCTTGCGTTTCCTCATCTGTATTACTTTCTGCGGTATTACTAGACGTCGATGGTTGATCTTTTGTACTCTTTCCTTTGCCTTTTGTTCTACCACTCGCTTTTTGCTCTTTATTATGCGACAGCTTTTTCAGACCCTCGTAAAGTAAGTATTCATTTGCACCCATAGTTAAATAATTCTTTAATTGGCGACATATATTGTTATCATGCACCAAGATAAGAGCCTTATCGATATTCTCGTAGTCTTTTTTTTTATGCTTCTGTTCTTGAATCTCAACCAAGACTTCTGATAAAGCTTGCCACTTTGGATTTGGTTCTGGTTTCAGTTCAGTCTTTTCCGTGTAAACTCTGCTTCTAGCGTATTTAAACAGATTCTCGAATTCGGGCAACATTATCCAACCACCGGATTTCATGGCGTATTCCATTGTCCGTAAACGATTTAGCATGGCATAAAATGAAACAGAATCCTCGTACGTCAGAGATATAATCAGGGAACGTAAGGTTTTTAAATCGGAAAACAATTGTTTGGTCGTCGTACTGAGCTGATGCCAGATTGGATCTACTTGCAAGTGTAACTGCTTGTGAAACTTCTTTGCTATTGCGTTCTCCACGGTCAATTCGTCTAAATCCAAGTATTTATTGAGCCTCTTCAATTCTTTCACGATATAATTCATAACGTCGAGCAAAGTGGTTTGAATGCTCTGCATCTTCGGTGTGATCTGCACGTGGAGCTCTATAACCTCGGGCTCGCGCTTCGACAAGCAATTGTTGACAGTAGCGTGGAAACGCGGCCATAAATATAATTTCTTCACGAACAGAGTTTTCATAATTCGCTCCACTTGCATGTACCCAACTGTGAAAGCCAGTGACGAATTCGTGAACGCCTTGATAAATCCAGTCTTGTTACTTTGTCTGTACAAACGCAGCGCAAATGCCTCTTGATAAGCATTCAGAATATTGTGGGCTCTATATACGAGAATGCCGGTGACCAAGTGCAGTGGAACTCTGTTTTTTAATAGATCTACCACCAAAATACGACCCGATATAAACAGCACTCCACCCTCCAAGTACATCACTTCCCTGCGTTTGATAATTGATTTTATTAAATGATGTATGTAAAGAATATATGTAGAATAAGAATATTTTTTAAAATTATACCTTTCATTAGAAGAATATTCAGCATTGACTACGAGCGGTAATTTACTTGTTCCATAGCTTTTAAGAAGATCAATAAAGTAACGTTCATCGTGATCAGTGGTTCCCAGGATTATTACCAGATTGCCCGGATCCGAGTAAGCTTTTATCACATTTGCAAAAATAGTTTCTATACCAAGACCCCTATAAACATTTTCCAATAAACAATAAGATTGTACTCTTATGCAATATATATGCCAGCAACGGCAAAATATAAAACTTACTTAGCCATAATAACTAATCCATCCTCCTGAAGGATTTCAAGGAAGATTTCGTTTTCGTATTCCAACATGTTTATCAACAGTTTCCAATTCGATGTCTAGATTTTTTATTCGCTCCAGCTTTCAAAACAATAATTCAAACAAGAGATCCAGATTGGCAAACAGTAAAATATCTCTAAGCTGAAATAGATGAAAAGAGAATAAGATACTTATAAAATGAAATAAATATGCATGGAAAGAAAGAATTACATAATAATTGAGACTTACCCTATCGCGAGTTCTGTAAGTACTTCTCGATGTCTCGCCGTAAGACGAGGTGTCGTTGTCGTCAACTATTACTTCGGACACCAATAAAGTATATTTACTGATTTCATGTGACGGATGGCCGTAAACGCCAATGCTTACAGGCCGTTTGAAGCTGAAGAAATGTAACATATTAGAACTGTAACATATTGATAATAAAACAAATTTGAAACACTATAATTTGCAGGGTACCTCTTAGGGATAAAAATAATATCTTCTCCACAGGTTGCTGACTGCAGACAATAATGATCCGGCTCGTACGTCGGCTTGCTTGTGATCTGCGACGCATATAAATCTGCATCCCCCGTACTAAAAAAAAAAAGTACAAAGTACACAGTGAGTGTATCGTGCATTGCAACATTTAACAAAGGAAAAAAATTCTATTTTATCAATAGAACAAGAATGTTGGAGAGAGTAATGAACATTAATAATTAACTTGCGTGTTAATAATAATAATAAATTTAATAATAAATTAATAATTAAGTTAATTAAAATAATAAAGTTAATAATAAATTAATAATTAACATGATTTAACTCCCACTTACATCGATGTCAACCGTATCTTAATGTTACCGTCGTACGTTAAGCTGTAATACTTATAAGAACCGCCGGGTACATCGTCACTAACGTAATGCAACAATTCCTCGTCCAGTGCCGATACATAGGTTATCTAAAATTTTAACAACAGTTTACTGCGTGGAATTTTCATGTGGTTTCAGAAGCTCGCTTCTGGATGAATTTCAGCGCATGTAAACCTGACTGTACCAGTGCCGCAATAAGAAATATCTTCATAGTACGACGCATAACAATGAAATGTTATCGAAAAGCACTGTTGGACGTCGAGCTGCTCTCAAGGCGCTTCGTATAAATAACGTAACGGATTATGATACAGCTCGTGCGTGACATTAGAATCAAACTATCGAAGTCCCGTTTACGCACGCATTACGTAAAGTTCGCGAAATTATATATCTCGTGTTGAAACGGTTCCAGCGGGATTCGCGAGCACGCGAGCATCAGCTGACTGCAACAATGTCAACAATGGCGCCAAGCCGCTCGAAATTATCATATATCTATTTATGTTCGAATAACTCGCATTCAATCTCGTTCGTTTCTCCACGGTCTTAAATTTCATGAATAATATGATAACAACAACACAGTCCCGACGAGTAATAACTAATAAATTCTTTTGTACAGAGAGGATTCCGAACTTGTTGACAAAGTTGGAGACGAGTTTCTTCGATAGGTACAAGTTACGAATAACAGATGTCACTTCTCTGCTTAAACCAGGCCGACCGCACTTGTACTCGAAATAATACTTTGTCAGTCACATTTTATATTTCATGTAATCTCAGCAATATTAATTCTTGATTTCAAAAATATCTGAATTATATCATAAATTTTTTATTGCAACAAATACAAGTTATTTCCATAGAAATAAGAATTTATTGAATACAGCCCTCTTCGATAATATATATATACATATGACGGGAATATACATAAAAAATTGAGTTTGAATGAGGGAAAAATTTTCATCCTTGATGGCTTTTATCATTTAAAATGAGGTTAACAAGACCACTTTGTGGTCCATACGATCCTCCGTTAGATTCATAGTCGTGGCAACGTGACTCGTATAACGTATACGCGAAACAAATGATTCCACGTGATCCCCGCGATGATCGCGCAACAATTAGCTCGAGATACCGGTCGGCGCGGCGATTAATTATTATTATAACGAGGGTAAAATTACTAACGTCTCGCGTTTGAATAAAGGCACCCATGTAAGGGATACCGGTGCTACGTGCGATAAAGCGCGCGATGCAGGAGCGGATGTCGGATGACGGGAGAAAGAGAGAGAGAGAGAGAGAGAGAGAGAGAGAGAGACTCGCTCATCGCCAAGTTTCCTCCGCGTTGGACATCCCATTAGTCGGGGCCCCCATATTTATGCAAATTTACGCGCGCTTCGCGCATGGCCTACGACAATGTGCGAGCAGTGCATATATCGAGCTGTGTTCCCGTTTACGGGCCCTATACGATGCCCCTAACACGTATAACCGCGATCAACTATGATATCCGGCGGCAATTCGCCATTAGTAAATAAGGTGTAGTAATTACGCTGCGAAGGAGGGCGAGCGAGCGAGCGAGCGAGCGAGAGAGAGAGAGAGAGAGAGAATCAAGGGAGACTTAATAATGAGCAATTAAAGCGCGAGTTGCGCGGAGGATATATTTTATTTTTCTCCGTGTGCTTATTCCCCCCCCCCCTCTCCCCTGCCCCCCCCCGGCAAATATATGTAAATCCACCTGCTGTCCGCAGGCGTGACCGCAATTGCTAATTTGTAGGGACGGTAGGAGGCGTCTGTTTGTCGCCCCGCGGGATTTTTCTCTCCCGAAAGCGCCGCGCTCCCTCGCATTGATCGCGCTTACGTGAGAAATTACGTGCGCGAGGGGGGAACGATCGCGAGATCGCTATTCCATCTTTTATTTCGACAGGACGTTTCGTGCCTCGAGCTACCCGCGCGTACAAAATTCCCGAGCAGCGGCCGTGTTCGGGAGAGAAAAGCGCGCCTTATTAAATAGCGAAAATGTAATATCGCGTGAATATAAGAACGACGGGTAGCGCATTCCTTCATTTAACGCGCAACTTTCTCTCGTTAATGGAGAGATGTGTGAACACGAGCGTTTCGGAGATTGCGAAAATCCGAGTCTTTATATACCGTTTCGAGAGCTGCTATATATATTGGGCCATGAAAGGAAGTCCGGGAACCCGAGAGGAGGAACAAACAAAGGTACGACGTCTTATTGCGAATCACTGTCTCGGATCCGTGGACCGTTATGTAGGTTTAGCTTAAAATGCGCGAAGTTAAAACGAAGACAAAACGTGTTGAATTTGCCGATACGCACGTTTCGCGTGCCGGTCTCAATTTATTGAAAGAGGCGAGTGCTTTGTAATCTGCATATTTATGCAACTCTCCTGGTAGATTTACAAATCGCGTGCTGTCTCTCTGTAACAAGGTACACTCGACAGGATCATCGATATTACATCGGATCGCTCTTTCCGTACATCGCTCTATCGGTACGAAACACGACGATCGCGCGGCAATTGAATTTTTCCAATTTTTCACGTCGCTGGCTTGTCCAGCGCGAGCCAATCAGCGCGGCCCGTTGACCGATCACGTGACTCGAATTTCGGTGGACTCTACATTAAGTGCCAGTCGTGCCCCCTTCGCCCCTCAGTTGCTTTGCAATCATTTCGCCGCGGTCACGTACGCTCGTTTTTTCGCGGTCGTACGCATCGTACTATAAAGTTTCGCGAGAGTCGCGAGAGTCTTCCGCGGGATATACGCGAACGGGCCTTACGACGACCCCCTCGAACGAAGAGCGGAGACGCGATCGCGGCGGCTAAAGACTCTCCGCGCGCTCCGGCGTGCACGCAACGCGAATCCGCCGCGCGCGTTCGTTCGCTGTGCGCGCGTAGTACGTACACGCGCGCACACATATACACACGCTCGCCATTCGCGTTCGCGGGCGAGCGAGCGAGCGGTTACGCTCTCGTGGTGAATCGAACCTAAGGGCGCCGTTGGAGTGAGGTGCGGACGGTCGCGGGCGCGAACGCGCGCGCGCGCGCGCGCGCGTCGAACGAGAAGTGAGAGGGGCGTTGGGTGAGTGGGGAGGGGGGGGAGCCCGCGAGACGGAGGGTCAAAAAATGCGAGGCTGCGCGCGCAGCCGCTTTGTCTCTTCCGTCGAGTAGTGGCGCGGCGGTGCGGTTGGTGAGGGGGAGGGGGGGGCGCTCGGAACCACGAGGGGGCCACCAAGGGTCCGCGAGCGGACCATGGCGGACCAGCGGCGAACTGCATCCTCTCAGTCGGCCGCTGAACCCGCGCGCCGTACGGTTGGTACGCGTGCGTTTACCGCGCTCGACCGTCCGTCCGTCCGTCCCGTTCGGTATACGTTACGTTCGCCCGCTCGTTCCGCGTACCGTTCGTCGTCTCTCCGTCTATCGTCACCCGACTCCCGTCCTCGCGACCGAGGCCGACGCGTTCAAGTGATATCTCCCCACGTTTCTTTTTCCACCGTTTTCTTCTGCCCCCGGAGGCTGCCTGCCCGGCCGAGGACTGTCGCCGTTCCGGCGCGGTGGTGTTCCATCCGAGGGGAAAGCGGCGGGGCCCAACACCACACGGCTGCTACGCGACCCGGCGTGAGACTGCGGGTCCTACCCCCTTGGATTTTTCGGCGGTGATCGTCCCCCCACGTCTCTGGTGCAGGGTCGTCCTCGTACGCGGTCGAGACGCAAATCTTTCCTGCATGGTGAGTGCACGCTTCGAATTAGAGTATAATACCTATCCTACGCGAACGCCGCATTGACCGGCCGCCGCGGCGGTTGCAACGGGAAACTGCTACCCTCGCCCGGCTATACGTGATTCACGGGGGTGGATTGAAAGGGACGAGTGGATGCGGGGATTATCATTCCCGCGAGGATGTACCATGCCTCCATGGCCATGGAATTGAATAGTAAATATCATCGATATTCGAGTCGAGGGGAGGAGCAGTGAAGTTGCCTGTTCTAAATTTTGCGAATAATTCGAATAGAAGCGTTCTGAATTCGAGATAATCTCCATCGTGCACTTGTCCCTTCAATTTGAATTTTATGCAATGATGACTTCGATCGAAAGTGCATCGTGACAATCGATAAAAAAGATAAACGAGGTTCCCAATATGGCTACTGACAGGTATTTTTGTCCTTGCGAAAGCTCGTGTCCCTTCCACTGGGGCACGCTCAAATTTTGAGCAGTGAATTAACATTCGCACCGATATGTTAGCGGATCGCGGATACAATTTTCTGTGCAGGTGCGACCATTGTAATATGAGCATTTCTCGTTTAAGAGCAAAATAGACAGGTTTATGCTTTCTTCTCTCCGCAATGCCCATACGGAAAACCATCGTGGTTATCTAGCTTATTACCTCAGGAAGATATATTACCTATTGTATAAATTTAAAAAGTATATATGTGTTTGCATGTATAGAGAAATATATGTAGCACTGATTTTTCAATAATCTTATAAGTAGAGTCTAATTTATTCTAACGAAGTCTAGTCTAGAAATAGAAACGTATAGGTTAGGTTAGATTATAATTTGCGTCAGGTGAAGATAATCACGAAAATGTATCAAAGTGTGCGCTCTATGATTTTCTCGAAAAATATATTTTGCGCGAGTGTGACAGCTCTGAATTAGGAGTTATAAATAAAATTGCGTCGCGCGCGAAATTTGCATCTTCTTTCCGGAGTAATCCTCGCAGAGACGTTCGTCAGCCAAGGGACGTCGTTTTCAATTTTAAACTCCGCATTGGCGCGATCAGCACCGAGTTGTCGTCGACCGCGTTTAATCTCGGCATATTCGCCTTTTTTTTTCTGTCTGCAGAAATTCGTTTTCACCGCCGGTCTAATGTATGGATGTCTCTTTTCATTACGGATTCTTTGGCTAATTGTTTTAAGACGATTTTAGCTTCTAAAAAATAGATCGCGATTTACTGCAACTTTCCAAGTTTCAACATGCTATGTTTTTGTAATTCATTCTTGATTTATGATTCTATTATAACGAATTAATGTGAAACGGATTGATGAATATGATTTCATTTTCGTTCAGAAACCACCGGCCACCGACTATTTATTTTTATTGTAGAATTTTTGGCATTGAAATGATATTTTTCAGCTTCCGTAGAAAATCGCGATTTATTGCGAATTTTTAATGAAACCATTTTTATAATTAATTTATATCTCTATTAAGAGACTTCATGTGAAATAATTTGAAAAATATGATTTTGTTATTTATTTTCTTCAAAGTTTACAATTATCAAAAAATCCTATTATTATCCTTTATTATATGTTTTCTTTAAAACTTATAATTATCGAGAAATTCTATATATATATATATATATATATATATATATATATATCTTCTTTTGATAATTCGAGATAGCTCTGGATAATTTTAGCTAGAATATTCACTGACAATATATTTGTTTGGAAAATATCCATTCTAAATGGGACAAAAAAAATTTGTGACGAGAAAGATACTCGAGATGACGTTTTGGGACACCACGACATGCACTTCTAATAATAAAAGCTCTCAGACTGACTCGCTAATGAGTACGCCGCGAAGAAAGGGAACGGCCGCGCTCGCCGGGTTTTCACACGTGCACCACACGCCGACGCGAGC